TCGTAGAATACATGGCAGGGCTTGCTGAATTATGATAAAAATCCAAATCAAACGTACACTAGAATTTGGTAATACATAGGCATACGCGTTTGCTATGCATATTCAACCAGGCACGTATGCAAATGCATTTGTGTACTAATCCTAAGTATGCAGTATTATGAGGAGAAATGTTCAATAATTGATTTCATGAAAACGTTTCCATGCTGCGGCATATACGACTGGTTCCAAATAGCCATCGTGATTATCACTTATCCTTAGCTAAGAAGATGTCAATCAATCTGAGGACGAGCGTCGGTTCGGCAGACGCTTAAGTTTGCGTGCAATGGGGTGGCGTTTGGCTGCATGTTGTTAATACACCTCTGCAATGCTTTCCCCATTTATTGGGCAGTAAGGAATAACTGATCGCAGGTTTAAATTGAATTTCACCCCGCTCTCAATGTAATAAGTGGGCACGTGATTTTCGCGCGAAAATATCCTGCGATCATTTATTCCATAATGACCAATCATTATATAATCAATAAATGATATTGTTCTTTATTCAAGGAGTATATTTTCATTCTAATTCTACTTACGTGTCACATTTACAGAGCGTGAATCAAGATACAAAACTCACTTTTGTTTTTGAGATAACAAGTGTTAGAGACATCTGGGATTACTGAAATTTGTATGTACCGTACCCAGATAGTCAGGGAACAGTTTGCAAAATAACTCTTAGTTCTGTGCATCAACATGCCCCCACTCCCCCCCACGGAGTGCGAGGTAGCCGTAAAAGAGTTTTCCAATGATGAATTGTACCATAAAAAATTGTTAAGAAACTGGCGACAATTGAATTCAATGCCAGTTGAAGCCATAGGTCCAGTGTATTAAATGACACTAGCATAAAGAAGCAGGGATCATTGGCTGGAGTTCCACCTCCACCAAAGTGGCGTCCAAGATCAGCTAGGATCGAGGATGTGTTGTACTATATCGCAAATTTCATCAATAAGGAAAATCCGTCATGACAGAAAAGTATCCAAAATGTTGGGGATGAGTCAGGCAATAGTTTTTAGGGTCAGTCACTCTGACCTAAATAGATTAAAGCGGAGGAGGACCATGTGTACGCCCCCACGCAGTCTTACATCATGTTTTTCAAAGCAACTTCGCGATAACTGAATGAAAACTTAATTTCCAGAAATAAATTTTGTACTGAAATTACTCTTGACGAGTCGCATGACATTATTCAGATAGATTATTTTTGATTTTGATACTTTAAGCAGAGATTTTCAAGCGGACTGCTCGGGCGCTGAGTGGGTTTTGGAAAACTTTTCAAAACGAGTGGAACCAAATCACTCCAAAAAAGTATCAAAGGTGATAATAGCGTGGAAAAAGCGACTGCACCTCGTTAGACAAACTAATGGGCTACACATTGAAGCAATTTACAAAATTCACAAACGAAAAATTAAGCTGTAGAAAAATAAACTAAAGTGAGTTTTGTATCTTGATTCACCCTCTGTATTTTTCATGTTAAAAAATTTATAATTCGTTAAAATAAGGTAATTTTAAAGATTATTGAGACAAAGATTGACACACGACAATGATGGATGATACGTAATATATGCATATTAAAATAATATCGTTAATAAGTTATCAAATTAAATAAAATCAGCGGACTGGATCTGTCGCATTGAACTGTTGTAATTTTTTCCCAACGTGTCGGTGTCCATACATCCGCGATAAAATTGGTGAGTTAAACAATTCTCTGAGTCTGTAGATTTCGCACAGGGGTCCTTATCCTTATCCTTCTAGTATATTTTCATTCTAATTCTACTTACGTGTCACATTTATTTTTCATGTTAAAAAATTTATAATTCGTTAAAATAAGGTAATTTTAAAGGTTATTGAGACAAAGATTGACACACGACAATGATGGATGATACGTAATATATGCATATTAAAATAATATCGTTTCTAAGTTATCAAATTACATGAAATCAGTGGATCTGTCGCATTGAACTGTTGTAATTTTTTCCCAACGTGTCGGTGTCCATACATCCGCGATAAAATTGATGAGTTAAACAATTCTCGGAGTCTCTAAATTTCGCACAGGGGTCCTTATCCTTAGGTCCTATTGGCGCCATCCCACAGTAAGCACCCCTGATGTCACATTTTTGTACGAGCAGAGTGTTATTGTTTACACAGCGATAAGAATTGTCCATTCCACAGCTTGTGTGCGGGTAGAATTTCTTAATCTCATAGCCACACATCATAAGATGTTGCGCATGGGTCCTGGTGCATTTCATTTTCAGGCAATATTGGTGATATCCCGCAGAAAGAATCCCTGGTGTCACAAGTTCTTACGAGCACGGTTTTATTATTTATACAACGATAATAGGTGTCCGCTTCGCAGGTTGTTTGAGGGTAGAACTTCCTAATTTCATAGCCACACATCATAAATGTTGTTCCATAATATGGGTTTGAAACTTTTCCAAATTTTCCATATGATTTTGGACAGATGCATCCCTCATCCCCCTGAAATGATTTTTTTAAAGTTTTAACAAGACACACATGTACCATTATCAACTTACCATGCAAAATCCGAAGTGTAAAATGATTAGAAAAATAATGAACTTGCACATTCTTGAACAGGACAAAAATTGTCTGGTTCACTCCAGAGGTTTAAAATGTGTGTAATCTGAATCTTGTGCATAGCTAGATATCATTTACGTGCGGCAGAACAATGGGGGAATTAAATTTTTACATGTAATTAATTGCAGAATTGCTTGGTTGGCATTGACATTCGCATTGTTTTTCACTGGCGTCCAATGGTCTTCACAACTCTATGGAAAGCTTACCGAAAATCCTACTGTCCTTGTATTCGATGAAACTACTCTCCCCATTGACAGGGTCGCTTACCCAGAGGTCCAGATCTACAAACGGAACAATCTTAACGGCACACAAATAAGAGAACTTGAAAAGTACGAGACTTGGCGTAGATTTTAATTGGCACATTATTTTATATCAAACCTCTATTAGATCTTAAATTTATTTTTCATAGGCTTCATGGTGATGTAACTATCATTGGTTCTGCAAAAGATTCGGATGATACTGAATGGCAAGACGAAGAAACAACCGCTCTGCTTTACACGGCCCAGCACGTATGCAACCCATTGGTTTCTGAAAGAAATTGGAACAACGCAAAGCAAAATGTACAAAACATCGAATTTAACCTTCGGGACGCTGATATTTTCGAATATGATGAGAATTCTCCTAACAAAACCTTCATCGAAACCAAATTGATACCAAAACTGAAGCAGGTAATTTTTAATTTCTCTCCTGTCGCAAAAATTATTTTAAGAAATTCTCAACCACAACCATTTCTTCCTAGGCAATCCCATCATGCACTGGCGATAATGGAATTATCATGGATGTATAAGGATGAAGCGACGAGAGCTCTTTGTTAATAGAGTAAGGGGGATAAGTTCAGGCCAGTGCCTGAGTGGTGGCGACTGTGTCCTATAGAAACTGATATAGCGAACTTGCACGCCACATATAGGACACAGGCCTTCTTTTCATCCAGCCTCAAATTGTGTCTCGGGTTCTGTGATAGTTATTATTTTCTCTGTCAGAGCGCTCCTCTTCATCCGTTTTGATCGAGTCTCCAATTTAACTATGGTGTTACGAGGCATTGGGAATTATCAAAGCCTGCGTTTGGGGTTCAAAAAGAATTGATTGCAACGATGCTATCACCGATATCATTACTGACACTGGGGCTGCTTGCGCATTTAATCGAATGGCTTCTTCAATATCGGGAAAGTATGTGACTAAATGCATGACATGTTGATTAAATAGACTGTATTTAATGTAAATAATAATTGGACATAATATTCAGGCACGATACAATCAAAACACTTCTCGCCGATGAGAAAGTTTGCAACCAGTCCGAGTCGGAATTGTATCTAAACAAGCACAGTGATCTAAACCTTCGCACCCCATCCAATCGAACTACGACCTGCAAAGAGCAAGCACATCCTTATCAAGATACGATTCCGCTAACACAAAAGTATGCTGGACCCCGTTTTGGATTTGGATTTGTCGCCCAGTTTGATTTGAAAAATACGGTATGCCCACAAACCGAGGGGCTTGCCTACATCCTTGGAATTACATCGATCTATGACGAGCTCAACGCTGACACCGGAGGAGTCAAAATTCTCCTGAATCATGACGTGAAAATCATTCTTGAAGCCGTGATTACTATTTCTGAGAAAGACATCAAGAAATTAGATCGTGTAATTTTTTCATTTATATTTTTTTCCTACTTAAATAATTTTTACAATTACACTATTTATTTACATCTTCATCTTATCTCAAGGAGGAACGTGACTGTATTTTGGCAAAGCCGGACAAAAATCCGCCAAAGTTTTATCAATTCTACACCCAAGAGAATTGTATCAAGGAATGCAAATCAAAGGCAATCTTTACTAAATGCAATTGCAGCTTGGCTGGACTACCAAGTAAGCTAATCCAAAATCATAATATTTGATCAGTTAAAAACACGTTATTAATGTAGATGAGCCTGGGCGAAAATTGTGCACTACACTGAACGACACTATTTGTGCAGCGAAAATACAAAGTACAATGCTTAATTAATGCATTAATCTTAATTGTGAACTTTTAAAAATAATTTAATGTTATGCATATGTACATAGATGACGGCGTCAATTGCCCCAAATGTTTACCAGGTTGCTCCCACATCGCGTACAAAGTTGCGTCGATCATTTCCGTTCCGTACGACGAAAAAACAGCTCCGGCAATCGTGAAGGAAATGACAGGGTAAAAATAAATGTCCTCTCAAACCGTGCAAAATATGATATCAAATAAAAATAAATAAATGTGCAAATCCCTACAAAATTTCCCTATTTTACAGAAATGCTCCTTACACCTCCCGTGTGCAAATCGGTTTCAACGTTCATCAAATGTTGGTGATGGAGAAACAAGTCAAATATGAATGGACCGACATCATAGGCAAGTTTTATTTCTCACAGAAAAAAAAATCTTATGAGAAATTAATTCGTAATTCTATTTCCGATAAGCCCTCATCGGTGGCACGATGGGATTGACAAGTGGGATTTCCGCCATTGACGGGGCTCGAGTCGGGGAAGCTACTCTGGATCTTATTTGCAGTTTGATCTCTCTTCTTTGGGCCTACCTGACCAGGGATGATGATGACGAAGATAATGACGACACCAACAACAATGGTGCGAATGCAGCAATTGAACAAGCTCCAAACCCACAAGAACAGGCAGATGAAAATGCACCTGATAATAAGCAGCCTGAAATTGAACCACCGCCACAACCGGACGAGGAAGATAAGCAACCAGAGGAGGAAGAAAATGCATCCGATAATGTGACCGAGCAGCCTGAGATTGAACAACCACCGCCACCACAACAACCGGAGAAGGAAGAAAAGCAACCTGTGGAGGAGGAAACTACATCAAATGACGATTCGGACGATGATGAGCCCATATTTTGTCCTGGTTTGACACATCCTGACCATGTCTTTCCACGCACATGCTCATCCCCACCCCCTCTGCGACGGAGGAAACAACAGGAAGGTGACGGATTCATAAGAAAATTTCGTTCCCTATTTCGATCACCAGGCAAGTTTGAGATCGATCCAGAGGACCCATTCAGACCAACGAGTGCGATGGAGGACACCATGAGCACCCTGAAGCATTTCGCCATGGCCCCCATTTTTACGGTAGGATCGGAAAGGGAACAGGGAGGGTCAGGCGTCGGAGAAAGCAGCCCACCAACTGATGATGGAGAAAGCAACGTGGTAGCTGACGATGGGACGCCCGTCCCACAAATGATGTATCCATCCACTAATGAACCTGATTCAATGGATACACAAGGTCTCAATTCGCATTTAAATTTGTAGCCTATTTTTTTTTACAAAACTAATGATAATTTTGTATACTTGATTTCCATATGTAAATACAGAGCCTGGCTGCTCATCTTCTTCTGTTCCGACGGATGGACCAGACCAGGAGGATGGACAAGAATCTGCAGGTTTGATCACAGGAGAAATTCGGTCATCGGCGGAGACTGAAGAAAGCAACTTGGACAAGGAAAATAATTCCATCCCAACAACGGCATCCAATTCTGTCGCAGAGATTGACCCCCAAACAATCAGTCAAGGTTTGTGCATTCTTATACAGGAAATTTCACAAGATAAAACTTGGGTCATACAAAATTGATTGCATAATTCCAGGTGCAATTTCCTCTCGAAGATTTGGTGACGTCGTCCCACTTGACTCCTCCCACTCTCGACCCCACACAGCTGGGGGGCAAAACCGCCCTCCACTCGGTGACGCTGGGGTCGTTCCCAGCACAAGTCGTCAAATTCATTCTGCTCCTGGAAATGCACCACGGATCTTAATACCATCATCTACTGTTTCCTCGACACCTGAAGTTAGTAGCGTCATCCCCCCAGTTGATGTGGACGTTCAACCATCGTCAAGTCATGTTTTGGACCAGTTAGGCTTGCTTTAAGCAACTCGATAAGCCAATTTGAAATAATGTTTGAGCCAACTAATGCAAAAATATTCTAGTCAATTTTAGAGAAAATTAATGCAAAAACATTGTAGTCAATTTTAGAACCAACTAATGCAAAAATATTCTAGTCAATTCAGTAGATCACTAAAATATCAGCTCAATTAATATGCCTTCACTAACTAGTCATAAATACGCTTAGACAATCCCTCTGAAATTATTTTTAATACATTATAATGACAACTGTGACATTTTTCGAGATTATGAGATGATTTATGTTTTTGAAAATAACCTGTTAGAACATGTACAATAATTATAAAGTCTTGCTCTTACCTAATTATCTGACTTATGATTTTACCAATGTGCTAATAATAAATACTCACTCACACATAAACTAGAAATATTTATAATACTTAATACTTAATTGATGATACTTAATGATTATACTTAATTCTACAATATTTATGTTAATTTAAACACAAATTTACAATAGGCTGCTATTGTATTTACAATAGCGGCTATTGAATAGCCATTCAGTCAATGCAATCAATTCGTATTATAACTTCCAGCTTAAATCAAAATGCGGAAGCATAACGCCACAGCTTAAAATTCAAAATGCATCTCACCCTTCCAATTATTCGACACTTTTTCTGCAAATCTTTATGTAATACAAATGTACTGTGTGCATGCAAATAAAATCTGATTAATTTTATGCACTAATTTTGGTGACTATTTACTAATCTAACAAATGCATAGACTATTCAGACCTGCATCTAAATTTGTGCATAAAAACTTCATGTAATCAAATTGGGAACTAAAATGGAAGTGTTTTCATAACTTCAACTGATGATCTGATTGAAATAAAATCCCCTGATTGAAATAAAATCCCACAATTCATACTTTGCAATCATTTGCATATTTATTATTTATAAGTATCTGGATAAAACTTGCATGACAGCGTTTCAATAGCCTCCCCGAAACATTTGGTCTCTCCATCTCTTGTCTATCTTCATGATACCGATCGTATTTCTTAACGGTGTCATTGGAAGACGGGTTGCGTCGATATTATTGTCGTGATTTGAGGTCAATACGTCAACTTGCTGGTTATTATTGTTCGCGTCGTCGTCTACTTGTGACAATATGCTGGGAATTTTCTCCTCTGATTTATTCTGCAATTGTACATTTCGAGAGATGACATCAGACTCTAAATGGCGTTCCTTTTCTGCTTCTGACTGATTTTCAGAAAATGTAGTAAACGCTGTGACGGAAGTAGCCTGAAATTCGTAACAAAAATATTAAGGACTTGGGATACAAAAAATTATCAAGTTTTTACACAGCGTTTTACGCACATAGTTACAATTCGACTCTTTCTTTATGACTTTATTATTGTGATGATGCACATTTCCTGACCCAGACGAACTTGGCCAGGAGAACGACCCCGTACTTACGGAAGAGTTATCGTCATTATTTTCTACTCCCGCAGCAGCATTATTATTATTCGCATGGATAACACCATTTAAAATTTGTGGAAGATATTCCTCCTCCGCGACCCTCGCATTATTATAAATTGCTTCGTCCTCCGCTTTATACTTGTAGTGCAGCACATTCTTCACAAAGTACATGAGTAGAAAGGACACGTTAACGGAAAACATGATGAAGTTGACCTTGTTGCTTTCTTCGTAGTCTGGATATTCAAATTGGACCCGGAAGTACCACCGGGTTATCATGGGGAAGACGGTAAACAAGATGACGTTGGTCTTCACTTCAGCATAAATCTGACAACCGGAAATTAAATTTTCATGGAGAAATGGGTCTAAATTTGTTCACAATTATGGAATTAAAGTATTACCACTGACACCATAGGCTCCCTCCTAAATGGACCCCGATACTGGTAACTTCGTTCCATCCCAGCAATAACATAACCCACCAAGACGCCCCCCAAAATTAAACCAAAGTAGACCAAATGTTCTTGAAATAAATAGAATCTGAACAAGCAGGCGAGCAGGACGAGAGGAAACCCACACACGAATATTAGCACGACTTCCATCGTCTAAAAAATATTGAGAAAAAAATATGAAGCTATTTGACATTAAATTAAATTAATATTGTTTCCTAAAATTTCAATGTCTTACATAAAAGATGGAAAACATTGCGCAATACTTGAAAATTCCTGGACTGACGAAGGCCACCCCGGAATTTGCTTGGTCGAACCGATAATCAAATCTGGCCTTTCTTCCCAACGCATACCCCACGAAGCAAGCAGCCAGCAGAAATCGCATCGTGACCAAATTCTCCTCATCATATTCTAACTCTTTCCCAAAACGTATTCTGAACTGGGCGAAAAGTTGATAAAATGAAATGACGAGTAAGACACGAGGGGGAAAAGTTCGGTAAAGTTTGTACGCTAAACTAGCCCTTTTCTTAATGTTGAGTAACAATTGTTCCCAAAACATGAGGTGGAAACTTGTTTGGAAAAATACTCCACAGGCGAGGATATAAAATGTGAGGTAGGTTTCCCAAGCGTTCGTCAGCTTTTCGCCAGTTATTTGCTTGCAGATGGTCGAGGCTGAAAATGACATCCCAACGCCAAACGATATCCACACCATGAACAGAACAGCTTCAAATACCTGCGGAATGAAGAAAAAATGTAAAAGCGTGTGGAACTTGAAAATAGAGCCAGATTTTTGAAATTTTACCCAGTACAAGACCATCAATGTAAAAATTAGGGCGTGCAATATCATCGTTTTACACAATGGCTCACAACTCATAATTCCTCGTTTCACACTTTGATATCGAAAGAGGAAGATAAGTTTCCTGATATTTCCGCCAGCAATGATTTTCTGAAGAAGACGACGAGGTCGAATCCACTGCCAAAATATGAAAACTGTTTGCGATATTTTGTTCCGGAGATGTTCTTTGTGAGGGGGTGGGAGTGGGTGCAGCTTATTTTTTGTGGGTCCTCCAGTAAGCTTATAAGAGAAGAGGGGTAAACATGTCATGCTGGGCAAGGGGAAAGTTTAGGTAATGACTCCGCATTTCATCAAAAATGACACTCGAGTTGTTGTGTTATTTATGCTTTTGACAAAAACAAGACATAAGTTGCAGTCAATAAAATTAGGTTAAATTCTTCTCTCTAGCAGAAAAAAATTAGGGGGAGGCAAGGAAACGCGGTTTAAATACCGTTTAGTATTTATTAACATGCTGTTTTTATAAAATTTTTAACATGTATCTGAATATCGTATCTGAATATCGTTTCTAAAAAAATCTGGTTATTTTATTGATATGTTGTTTTGTTGAATAAATCTAATACTATATTTTGTACTATATTTCTGATTCGTATTTCACTTGGAGTCCACCCTGCAACTTTACAAATTTATTTCACAAAGCAACACATGAATAAAATAACCAGTAACAGATTTTGGTATATAACGCTTTTGTGTATGTAAAACAGGGGAAAATCAAGTAAATCCAATCATCAATAAATACATACAAATGCGAACAAACTTATCTAAATAATTATCACATAATCACCTAATTACAAAATATCACGACATATTTTTTAAAACATTTTACAAACATCCGGCTTCAAAACGTGCAACGAACGGTAGTAGGACGATATGAAATACTATAATTTAAAAGCAAGCGCATAAAATTTGGTTTATTTCATATGATTTTATGGCGATAATATTGAAACAGGATGCATCTTTCTCCGCTAGAACTTTCCCTCTTTACTGGGACCTTTGTAATAATCTTCATCTTCATCCAGACTGCGCTTGCAGGATTTCTGGTCCTGAGTGGGCAGTAAACTTGGCAAAGTACGGGGGACGACATGCATTGCGCGATAAATAGGTTCGTATTCTCGAAGTTGACGCATAAAGTTGTCAATTGGGTTGCTACAAAATCGGATAGCTTGAACGTATTTGTAGGCTTCTTCCGTAGTCACTCCGTATCTGATACAGTGGAAGTGCAAACATTAGCTTATATTTTCTTTGGAAGTATTACAAATAGTAAGCAAATAATTAATTACGTTTCCATAATGTAGGCAATCACGAGAGTTACTGAACGAGAAATGCCAGCACTTCCGTGAACCAACACCTTCCCCCCACTGTTTAAAGCGGATTTGATGAATGGATTTACCGTTCGAAAGTGTGGGATGATATTGGCCATGCTGCTATCTGCAGATTAATTAAGAGATGAGAATTAAAATACGCATATTCAAAGGAACATTGAATAAGTCCGTAATGACATACCTTCTACTTCTACAACCAAGTATTGAAAACTATCTGGATGATTCGTACGAATCAAATTCCTTTCGCGAAACTCACGAACGCAGACAATGTGAGATATTCCAGTGTCTTTGAGTTCTTGCATCTTTGATCTGGTAGCAACAGCATAGGGACCTTAAATTAAAGATAAAACATTTGTCTTATCAACACCACATTTTTAAATGCAAACAAAAGTTATAGTCATTAATATATGTATTGTCTAACCAAGATACAGTCCAGGAATAATTTCCTGCATTGATCGTCTCATAACGTATTGCCAATCGTCCAATTGTACAGCTGGAAGTACCAAGTATTTTGGTGCAGCATAAGTACCAATTTCTTTGGCCACATCAATATTTTGCGGTGCTTGTTTCTCCTGGCTGTCCATTTCCACGTCACCCTGTTCCATGATTCTTTGTCTAACTACGTACTATTGAGATACAAAATTGGGATCAAGATTAATACTTCGTCCCTAGTTATCATCAATTGATCTGCAGACAAAAGGACAGGAAATACATTAGAATTGTTATTGTGGCATTTACAATTGCAGAAAGCATGTGTTTTCCTCAGGATTTATGATATGGTGTAGGTTTATGATGTGCAAAATTCAGAGGAGAGTAAATAAAATGTGGCAAGTTATGTAAGTAAATTTTGAAGATGATCTAGAAATAAAGAAATCAGTATACAAAGTGCAAATTGTATAACACTTTAATGACAATTACAAATAAATAACAAGTGCAAATTAGATATAAAGAAATTAAATTATATATATTAAATACTATAAAAGTACAGGTAACCACTTCATTAATTAGAAGCGACGTGTGACGATTTTCCATGGTCCTTCACATCAAATCCCATTCCCACAAGATTTGTTCGAACTTGATCACAAGCTTCTAGTAAAGGTTTCCTTTCAACTAATTTCTTCTTTCTGATTGACTTGTCTTCCTGTACACAAAGACAAAGATAAAACATTAAAAACAATAAAAACATTTACAACATAAAGATGACTATACAAGTATATATTAATTAGCAGCAATTTTTTTTATCTTACCTCATCGGAAGCTAAAGCGTAATTCCTAACAACACTTCGAAATTGGTTAATTTCAGTCAACAAACATTCCATACTTGTAGAGTCACTTATAGTCTGGTCATTGGAAAGCCCAACAATCGAAACAAAACTACGGACGAGTTCCTTGCTTGCTAAAACTAACCCAAAATCTACCAAATTCGAAATGGAATTTTTCTTATCGGATGGAACGTAGCAAAGATTAAAGACATCGATATATTCGGAAATTTTATGGATTGCGGAAGGCGTATCAAAATCGTTAGCGAGAGCAGAAGATACGTCGCGTCTTGTTTCAACTAATACGTTCCATAAGTCTTTATCTGTAGATTGAACAACAACTTTGGATGACTGGAGAATTGCAACCGTGTCGGAAATGAAATCCTTAAACTTTTTCAAAATAGATTTGGCGTGATTCAGAGAATCCTGAGAATATTCCAGCCCTACAAAAAATTTAAAAAATATAGCATCCTACAGCTGCAAAATTAAAAATACTTTGCATTACTAACCGTGGCGATATTTTGACAAGATGCAAAACATTCTTAACGTTTCGGCAGAATTCTCCTTCAGGAAATCTCGAATAGCTATAGTATTGCCTAAAGACTTGGACATCTTGGTATCCCCTTTGATATTTAAGTGACCCGTGTGAATCCAGTGTGTCACCCAGTCGTCCACCCCAAAGTTTGCACAACACTGAGCCTCCTCGTTTTCATGGTGTGGAAAAAGTAAGTCGACCCCACCAGAATGTATGTCTAACGATGTGCCAAAGTAGTGACTAAATAAAATAATTAAAAGACACTGTTGTTTTTAAAGTTTCTTATAAAAGCTTAATCGTATATTGTGGACCTCGCCATTGCTGAGCATTCGATATGCCATCCTGGACGTCCTTTCCCCCAAGGTGAGGTCCAAAACGGTTCTCCAGGTTTCCATCCTTTCCATACGGCAAAATCTTGTTTGTTCTTTTTTCCTTGTCCTTCCTCCACTTCAAATTGCGCGATTTCTTCTACCTTTCGTAATTTCCCATATCTTTGATATTTGCCCGTGTCAAAGTACACGCTTCCTACATACGAACAAATTATTACATACTTACGATCATGAGCACAATTAGTATAAATTATTAATTTACCATCAGCTACAGGATACGCGTATCCCTGCTTGACCAAGGAACTTACAAATGTCACAATTTGCGGAATAAAATCCGTCACTCGGGTCCTTACATGGGGAAGTTTCACATTTAATGATTCCAAATCTTGGAAGAATTCTAGCTCGTATTTTCGACTAATACTTTCCCACGGAGTGTTCAGCTATACATTTATTCATTATGTTTATAATCCAACCATTCAAAAATCTTGTTTAAAGAAACGCACCTGATTCGCCTTGATTATGATTTTGTCGTCAATGTCAGTAACTCCCATGAGCTGGAGGACACCGAGACGACCATCAATGCCCTCCACCAGCCTTCGAATTACATCTTGGCGTATGTACGAACTAAATGTACAGATATAATTACGTGCACGGGTCACTAACCAATATGATCTTCATGATGAATGTCAAGTTATTTTGTGACTATTGACGTAAAGTCACAAAGTAACTGCAGGATTATGCCACCAATGCCAGTATTATGATTTTGCAAGTTGACTAGTGTCAAAAAACAGCAAAAAAGCAAATTGTCAGTACCTGGCGTGACCAATATGCGCCGAGTCGTACACAGTCGGACCACAGGCGTACCAAGTCAGCAAATTCGGAACCTTGGACCTCAAAGGGTTCGAATTCTTCTTAATATTGTTCCAAACTGTGAGACCTCCGTGTTCCGGAAGGGTAGAGAAAGTGCGGCGGAGAGTAAATTGAAATATTGCTCCTCGCATTTATTATAACCACAATTTGTAGAGAAGGTCAGCTAGAGTGAGAAAAAATTACAGAAATATTTTCAAAGTTTCCAGAGTTTTCACAGAAATCAGACTGAAAAAATAATACTTCGCTCCACTCAGGTTTGCCGCATCGTCTCATCTTACATCTCGGTTCAAAAAGCATGCTTTTGAGAATAATTGTCTCAAAATTCTCTGAAATGATAACTTTTTGTCTCACTCCGTTTGTGTGACGATGATAACTCTCGTAGGAGCGATGGATTTCAGTCAAATTTGGTATTCGAATAACTGTGACCGTTGTTTAGGGCTGGAATTTCAGAAATCGACATTATCTCGACTCCTGACTTTTGTTTCCACGTTTTGTTAAGAATTGCATACATTTTTCCATACAGAACTTACATAAGTAACAAAAGTTTGTGAATATGCATTTATGTGGCATGCTTTACATAATGTGCAATACTGGCAGTCAAAATGAGATGACATTATGACACCTTACATATATGACACAATCCCTTAACTGGTCGGACCCAGTATATTTGTACATCTTATTCCATGGTCGCACCATGCATTCACTTTTAGCCTTGTCACACTTGTCTTGTTGGTAAAATTTCTTTACTGGTTAATAATTCAGTTTTGGTTCAATAGTAATGAAGTAAAGAGTCATTGTTATTTGCGAATTATCATCGTTATTTTTAGTGCTTTAAAAAACATGGGTAAAATTGTGTATCTCATTTTTGTGGGGGTTGTGATCTTTGGAATATTTGCATCAGTAAGCATTTACTAAGACCTCCTAAATTATACGAATAAATGAATTCTAAAAAATATATTCCTTAAAATCTAGACCAACGGACAAAACGTCACCACCACGGCAAGACCCAGGACACCTTCGGCCCCCCGACAGGTCAAACCGTGTATAAAACATCCCCCAGATTTCCAGCAAATCAGCCTCCCATGCGCCGGAAGGACGCGAGAGGAATGCCTCTCCGAATGCAAAGGACTTGGTCATACTCGAGCGTACTGCAAAAAAGAACACTTTTGTCTCTGCCATTCCGGTGACTTGTACAGTTGTTAAAATAATCAGGCAAAAAAAATCGTGCAAATTTTATGGTACATACATACATATTACATTTTATTGTAATATACTTAAAGTAGCTGTCGCTTATCTTTTGTACTTATATATTTTCAGTACATGTAAAATTTTCTATACACACAAATTATATTTACAATGGCACAAACTTAATAATAATATAACGAATAATATAATAATACTAAATAGTATGTTAGAAGAGAAAACAACATATTTTTTCCCTACGTAATGTAACCTTACACTGAAAAACTTATCAATTAACAAGAAATAAAATAGTGGTGCAAAATATATTATTTCCCCCTTTTTAAACTAACCCTTTAGCACTATTCGTCGTGGTTACCTCCGAACTTTCGGACGCCGTGGAGTCCGCCCCACTCAAACTGGGATTCGATCTGTAATTGTATTCTCGATCAATACTGATACCCACTTGACCCCCACTTGCACCACCACCACCACCACCTCCCCCATTATTTCCCGAACATTTGCCCGTGTCAAGTCCCAAGTCGAGGGCTATAACTGGCTGAATATTTTTCCTCAGGTACTCCGACAACTCGGCTTCGTCCCCAGAAATTGTGGGGGGATGCGCCAATCCAGCAAACTGCAGGACACTCACCCATTCTGAGCTAATGTTCGTGAAAATAAAAATCTTCCCATTCTTCTTCATCCCTTTCACTAGAGAAATTAGCGTATTTGCTGCCGTGTAGTCGTAGGTGTCCCATTGGCTAAAATTGAGCACGATAACCCTGCATTTTTTGTGTTTTAAGGAAAGTTTCTGAATTGTGGAAGAGATGTGGTCGACGGAGGGGAAGTTGACGCCAGAGTTTGCTGGAGAGATGTGCAAGTAGGGAATTCCGGTGCGGGAATCTTCTCTGATTTCATTTTGCATTTCTGGGTGCAGAGATTTCAAAAGGAGGCAGCCCACGGAGACGGCGACGCCGATTATGATGCCGTATTCCATCCCGAGAAAGAGAGAGGCGACGAAGGTGATGATGCAGGAAATGGCGTCCATTTCTGCAAAATAGTTAAAGCATTGTTAGATTAAAATTAGGTGATTAAACAGAGTTTGCAAATTAATTCTTACTTGCAATTCTCCACATTGGAAGGATGGATTCATACTCAATCCTAAAAATTGCAGAGGAAAAACGTTTTGTAACATTTAATAAAATGAATTTTAAGTCATTTGAGGTTGTTTACATGAACATGACTGCTGCAATAATCACCGCTGCCAGACTTGCTTTAGGTATGTAGTAAAAGGATGGAGTTAAAAATCCAAGCGACAAAATGACCAAAACTCCAGTAAATAAACCCCCCAAAGGAGATCGGACCCCACTCGCTTCATTCACTGCGGATCTCGAAAAACTTGCAGAGGTTGGAATTGAGCTGAAGAATCCTCCAACGATGGAAGACATGCCCAAAGCGATCATTTCCTGCAAATTGAATAAAATTACGATTTTGAAAAGTTTAGTCGATTTCAATTTTGAACATTGAATGAATCACTGGAAATTCCAGTTGTGCGATTTCAAAATATTTAGCAATGTGATTTCAATCAAAAATCTCACTTGCGTAGCGTCCACTTTCTGCCCACTGCCGAAAGCTTTAGAAATCGCGACGTTTTGCAGAATTGAAATCAGTGCAATGACCAACGGTCCGGTAGAAATGAGTGACCATGAATCCAAGAAACTCAATCGTTCGTCAGCACCCTCCAGAATTGTCTCATTCGTGGCGTCCGGACCATATCCAGCTTCAGATTCTCGCGATGGGAGAAGGAATGGGGGAAGTGAGACTGTTCGAAAATGCATCCATTAAGCATAAGTTATTTGCATGACTTTAAATTAGCTGAACATTTTTCTGTGCACCAACCTGAAGGAAATCCTCCCTGAACATTTCCGACAAGTTTGAATGGAGGCGTTTTCCAGGCCCAGGCAATAACAGTGGTAATTATTATGATAATAACGTTTCGAGACAATGAAATCAGCCAAAGCGTAGTTTTTATGCTGAAACATAACGACAAATTATATCAAAAAGTGTCCACATATTTTAAATGTGACATGTATTTTTAGACACTCACAATTTGTTGTCGTGATTTACGTCCTTGAGTTTCTATACGGGTAATAAAGTGGTAATTATTAATCGAATTGCAATCCAATACAACAAACTACGTATTTATATCAATCATACCCGAAGAAGCATCAACGAAATGAAGGCGGAAATTCCCATAACTGCATCTCCAGCATGAATCGTTGGGAAGTCCTCAATGACCTTTTGCCAATACCCCACAAATCCGGACCCCTTGTAACCATATATTCCCAGGAAGGATTTTATCTGTGAGGATATGATTGTCATTGCGGCTCCTGCTGTGAAACCGACTGTAACTGGTTCAGAGATGAACGACACGACCCAACCTTTAAAACAAAGAACAACAAAGAAAGTAAACATGAAGGGCTTACTACTTAAATAAACAAGTTAATAATAGTCCGCTAAAAATAAATGGTGAAAATACAATGAGCTTATTTATGCACTCACCGAGTCTAAGGACGGCTAAAAGGAGTTCAAAAACTCCGGAATAAAACCCTGTCAGAATTGCGCACGATGGATAATCTTGACCACAAGTTTGAAACGTGAGAAGTCCCATAACTGCCTGTTTGTAAGGAGAAAAATAAGCCGAAATTAAGCTATAGCCTTGGCTTGCATGCCATTATTACATATTACGCGCTTATTACCGTGGGGCCGATCGTGGCTTGAGCACAGGAACCAAGGACAGCATAGATCAAGACGCCAATATAAGAGGAGTAAAGTCCATACTAAATTAAGCAAGCAAATTAAATCATGGAATTTTCATAATTTTTGATGTCGAATTATTCGATAATCTACACTTTTGCATCTAATAATTCGCACTCAACAATTGCGAAATGGTGATGGATGTGAATTTTTGGATGCAAATTGACACCGAATTCCTTTACCTCAGGGGACAGTCCTGCAATGGCTGCATAAGCCATCGACTGAGGAACGACGGTCAAACCAACGGTGACGCCGGCGATCATGTCGGAAATAAAATCCTTTTTTGTGTACCGTCTTATCCATCCGATCACTGGTAAGCGACGCTTCACCATTTTGAAGGCTTTCTTCCCACATGATGGTTCAGGTGGGGCTAAAAATAAGTAAAAAAAAATGTATGAAATCATATGAAAATAAATAAACATTCCACAAAAATATGGTCATCATTAATCCAGACATCACCCCACATACTTCATAACTTGGTCAAGGTATGTGATTCCTGTACAAATAATTTTATTGTGCAATTCGGAAAAGCGAAAAGGTCAAATCATTTCATTTAATCCGACATGTGCCTCAAATTCAGCAGACATAGTGCAATTATGCACATTTATTACATTCCAATCGGCCCGGTTATCATTGTAAAAACCTTTAATTTGTTACTGATGACAATGACCGACTGGACTGTAAGCTTGCTAAATACATAAGAATCGATAAATGTTTACAGATTCTGATAAAATCTTTGACTCAATCCAGAAATTCCCAGTTTTGCCAAATTATTTTATCAATGGATTCACTTATTTTGCATATTACTTATCTTCCACAAATCAAAGTTCAAACAGTACGCTGGCCAACATTTTATGTAAAAGTATGGTTCGGTCGGTGGTTTTTGGATTAAATAAAATGTACCAAAGTCATCTCAAATATTCGCCAAATGATTAATTGATGTGCATGCCTAACTAAAAATGCGTGCTGCGTTCATTCATTTTCATTGCGTAGCCCATCAGACCGGTCGAACATGAAAGGATCATCACGTTGCGTTTTCCATTGTGTAATTTTGCGTACCACGATTAATTGAGGAGACGAATAACTTAACCACAGGGACAAAACTCCAATTAATTCAGAATAATAACAATCATGAATTGATGATCATAACAATCAATCCGACATGATCGGATGCATACATATTTACATCGTTAAAAAATGTGTTGTGTGCGTATCAACCAACTTGGACTAATTTGCATAAATAATCTCAAAGTTATTGACTCGATCAGATATTCAGAGCACGCGTGACGCAGTTATTTAGCCAAGCCAAGCATTGTCAGAGGATCAACAAACGTATTTAATTATGTACGTACGGCGTTCTTTCTTTGATTTGAATTTGTTATTCATTCATTCATTTGTTTTAATAAATCAGATGCGAAGCTCAACAAGGGAATTTCGCAAAGTTTGTATTGTTTATGTATAAATTCCAAACTCGACGGGCAGATTTTTGTAATAAAATCATGTAAATAAATAAATACAAGTAGCACAATAACACTTTCACTCTCGTCACTCTTGTCGAGATTATTGTGCTTGATGTCCACTAAAAGTGGTAATTCCATTGATGTTTATACTGAGATTATAATAAATACAACGATGCGTATGTATTTACACACATTGTTTCTGGCAGACAGATTGACACCAGGATGATGATGACTTTACATACATACATGTTACGTAACTTTTTGGTGAAGAATGCGATACAACAAACAACAGCTCAATAATTATTGATGAGTGATTGTTTAAAAAAAACAGAATAATTTCGAAAACAAATATTTATTACCTGAAATGTCCAAGTTTTTCATTTTTCACGGTTTTTCTTCTTCCTGTCTCGGGTGCTTAATTCTTCCTTCCGAGTGGACGTTTGTGAAACAATGTCGTCACAATTTTTCTGACGCGAGGTCTTTATAAAGGTTCCGAGGGTGCTGGGATGGGACGTTATTTGCGATTAGTGATGGACGTCTAGTTTCATAGAATTCATAAATAGATTAAAATTTAGTGGTCTGTCTGAACGCATGCCATGTTTATTCTTGTATACGAACAATCGTTGCTTTGTTGATAAGTAAACATCATTATAAATTCAGAACTCATCGCCCAGTGAGACTTTCCCAACTCCAAACTCAATCTGGACAATCAATGTCAACAAGGAAAGGAATGCATGAAATGAATGAGGGTCATTGTAAAAATTCCACTCTTTGTTCAGCGGTGTTTATGCACACATTATTTGGCCCGATTTAATTGTTAAGTGAGAAAATGGACACACGAATGGAAAAATACAAGCGGAATCGCGTTTCTATAAATTTCTGCGTACTTTTCCCTATATAAAAATTCTTGAAATTTTTAAAATGCGGGACGAACAAAAAATTTAATTAGCAGATAAAACTAATTCGAATGCGTAATATGTGGTATAAAAAACTGAGTTTTTTTCCTGCGTATTATAATTCTTTAAAGATTGGTCACTTTATTTACATATTTATACAAATTAGGCAGACGTGATAGGTATCACTCCTCCTCCTGAATGAATGTCAAGCTCAGGCAAAATTGGATTCAAATTAATCCGGATAACAAAACAACAACTTGTTATGAAGCTGTCTATCTATTTGCCTCGCAGAATTATAACTGCTATAATTAGAGTCTCTTTTTCACCTAGTTTCTAAACATGGTTTAATTAATATTAATGAATACGCAAGATAAATACTTTTTTTCTACCGAAGACTACTCGACTTATATTACTTATTTGCCGTGTGAAGTAGCGAAGGGGCAAATAAGTCTGAAAATGAGACTTTTTACCCGTGAGGCAAAATGAGACAAAAATAAATTCTCCACTTACCAAACCAACAAGAAACTTGATATCTTTCTTCCTTCCTTTTCAACGCTAAAATGTCACTGACTAAAGATCCGTCTCGAGTCCAAACTTACTTCACGTTTTTATTTAATTCTACCAAAAAATGCAGACACAGCAACAAAAATTGACACCTTATCGACCGCCTGCCACATTAGACACTAAATAACTCGTGAAGAGAACAAAGGTTTAAAACAATTGGAAAGAAGAACTATATAACATAACTTTCAACCAAAACCTTCACTCGAATTCATATCAAATCAACAAACAACACAGCACAATGCACACAATCCTCGTATATTTATACATAAAATAAGTAAATACCATGCATAACGCGTATGAATATGAATGAACCGACCGACCAGACCCCTCGTGTAATGGTAACAAATAATAATGTGTGGACCTATATTGTAGCAAGTTCTTTATGCCCATTTTATGTACGATTGTATTGATTTTTAACTGCTCCTGACGTTTTCAACTTTTACATTTTTCTGAAAGAATGCATGATCCGGATTATAATTATGAAGAAGAAAATATTGCATGGATGGAACAACAATGAATTTCAGAGGGGAAGAAATTCCTTCGAATCTCGACTTGCACGTGGCATTGCGTGACAACCGGATAATTGCAGTGCCCTCTTAATCACGGTGTTGGGAAGTGATCTGTAAACGTAATTTATTTTACGCTCATTGTTTCTTCACAAATGTATTGGCAGACAGACAGAAAATGTCAGATTTGAGTGACAATCGTCTTCAGAGATATCAGGTCGAAAAGTGGATGGAGTGATAATGTCGAGGCCAGGTTAAGTGTGGCGACGACGTGAGAATTTCCAATGCATGGACGCCTATTGTATAACCACCCACAAACACTAATTACGTACGTATTCTGAGAAGTTTGAAATGCTGGTCTGGTGTCTCGCATAAATATTGTAATTCGAACGTGTGGCAGGAATTAGATAAACTGTTATTGATCTACATACACAAAATTCACTTTAAAATTTTGTATAGAACTTGATGTCAAGAAAAATGTTTTAAAATACAATTGCTGACGTATTAAGATGCAAATTTTGTTTCTTTTAATGACAGAAATTAAATTAAAAATATGTATGTATTCACCATAAATTTTATCAATATTGGATGTCCAGAGTAAAATTTTGAGCTTGAGCAAGGGCTTATCGAACAGTCGTGTCGGTCTGTCTATTTGAAACACGATACGGTTGAAAGGTATCAAGGTGCAAGTGCAAATCATACCAAAAAATAAAGAGTCAGGTTCAAAAATATTTTTTGCCAGAGGAGTAGATATTATACGACAGGGCGATCTACATTGATTTTTAAAATTGGTCGGAAAAGCAGAAATTTTGCATACCGGGGAAAATTAATTGGTGATTACAAATATTATCTCAAGTGTATTGGCAAGTGGTTTCATTAAGTATGGGAAGGACATAATATAACCGCATTTTGCGGTACAATTTATTAATAGAAGCTGGGTCATAGTATGGCAAAAATTGAAATCTGAATGACAATTACGAATATTATGCCAGAGGAATTGTATGCAACTCGTGCCTAGAAAAGTATGCATCGTTGAATTTTGCACCTCAATTTGATAATAATTTGGTCATCTAAAAAAAAAGTTAGCGGACTCCCTGACCCTGGCTCGGGCTACGTAAATATACACACCGTAGTTTTTTTTATATTTCCACGTGTATGCAAATTTTGACAATTTTCGCCCCTCTCAAATTGCGTATAAAATGATTGATAACCACTTTTTACAAAGTTCTATGTACACGTGTATAACTTCTGTAATTGAAAAATCTCCCATTTCGCGTGCTATAATAATGTTGTTGTTTGTTACATAAATTGATAAATGCTGCATGACATGACATCTCAATTTCGTAAACTACCTGCCAGCCTGGACCTTTAGCAACTTTTTTTTATCCTGTGACCATGAACTGGTCGTATAACACACATGCACCTGCTATATCTCACTGGACCGGAATTTTCCTGTACAATAAAACGGAAATGACAAAGAAATGACGTGAAAAATAAAAATATCCATCACGGCTCAATGTCAATAATCCAAGTTGCTGAATTATTTTCTCACAATAAGCGAAAACACACACACTTGTGACCATGATCTTCACCTGCCTCACGGAAGTGTGTACTTATTGTTAGGCACACATTTCCATCCTGTTGTCTGCATGCATGGTTAATTGGGCACTTCTAATCAGAATTCTGCAACTGAGGTGTGGTGCTTAATTGGTTTGGTGGGATGGATAATGAGCAATAATGTTCTCACTCACACGACACGACGAGAAACTAACAATACAATTATTTATCTGAACTTTTGTTGCCTTTTGCCATTGATCACCTCCAGTGGCCGCGGAAGCTGTGGGGACATCTGGGGGCATTAACATTGAAGGATAGGGGAGGGAGGGGTTTATATAACATGGGGACATCGAATAACCGTGGGGACATTGTCCCTCTGTCCACACCCTTCCGCGGCCACTGATCACCTCAATAATTGCCAATCATCAACAACAACAATTTCGTGTGGAAATACATAAATTCTCAACGAATAATTCCTTACCTGCGTTAATTTAGTCGCTTATTTACACTGGATTGGATTTAATGTACTTCTCTGGTTAATTGCTTGGAAAACAATGGCACGGAAATGATGGAAAATTGGTTCGGATATAGGCACCCAGTCTCAAATTGCAAATGAGGCTCTCCACCCAATTGTTCTCCTCTTTAAAAATAATCCAATCCAGCCAGAGTCAATACACCGTTACGCAAATCAAGGGGGCAAAGGTGCATTCTGGAAAATTTAAATATTTCTAAATACTTCTACCACCACAAAGATTGATTTTGATTGATCGTTATAATAATAACATGGCGTCGTCGCATGCATCTCATCAATAATACGAGATAAATAAATCACAGTAATCTTATCACACGTAAATAGTACGTATGTATATTTAAATGCACGATAATACTTAAGAAAATCGAGTGTAAACTGGGTTATTCCGGTGATATTCGGAACCAACCTATTTACATCTACTTATCCTTTGAAGGAATCAAGTCGGGCATAAATAGTCTCGTTTAATTTTGGATCTCACAATGAATCGAGACTTGGATCAACAAGAGATTGAATAATTAGTGGCAGACTTGATTGAAGTTGGACTGGAATTTGGGAGTGTATAGTAGTTCCCTGTTTTCAAATGTCATCTCATCATCTGCCAAATGTCTCAGTTTTGGGTAGTTTCTTCAGAGAATTAATGCAAAATTGTAATAATACAAAACACAATTGAAATTGTGTGGTAAACAACTGACTATTTTAAAATTGGTTACGTATTTATTTACGTGGAGAAGGATTGAAATGTACGTATTTAAATATATGAGTGCATGTCTGAATCCGAATCTGACTATGAATTACGACCTTAATAAATCTGACCTCCTTGTTCACGGATCGATCCTCTAGAAGACGTCATCAACTGACGAACAAAACGACGTATGGCGAGGGTCGAGTGTTGATATTTTATTTAAAATCTTATGGTGGCAAGGTCGTCTGCGGGACGGGATGACGCTCACTTTCACGCCCCGAGATCATGTTCGTGTCGAGTGATCTGCTGGACTGACTAAAATAAATTATGCTGAGTATCGTACTAGCAGAAATGGTAATTTTTTGTAATGGTTATAATTTGTGTTGAAATTGGTCAATTTTGCGGACATGAATTAAAATAATTGTTGTTGAGTGATGTCATGTCGGTCTAGCGCTGGACGATGTATTTGTTTAAAAAATTCCATGAATGGATAAAATAACTTTTCATGTTGGCTGGCAAAATTCACAATGATTTGTATCGCACGTTATTTATTTAAACCTATTGTCAACTTATCTATCATGACGTGATGCTGCATTTTATTTTGTTATTGCATGTCAATTGCATTACGATATTTAGAGGTTTAAAGTAAAATTACGATACAGAAGTGCACACGGAGTCAACGTGTCGCTGAGACAGACGTTGAAATGTGATGACTGGATTACTTGCATAGTGTAGGTATTTGCATAAATATTATTATTTTCTTATGCGCTAAGTTGGCAGAGAAGGGCGACTCCTCGCATAATCCAGTGTTCCGGAGGTCGATTACTCGGGAGCATGACACGAATAACGAAGTTAGTCGAATGACCTGTTGTACTCAATGTTCCGCGACGTTCCGAAGTTTTGTATACTGGAGAAATGTAGGACGGACGCTCGGGAATTTTGGAACGGAGCATTGGAACAAGCCAGAGCTGGAAAAAAGTTATCATTCTCGCCATTAGATGAGCAATGTGAAAATTAAGACCTATTTTTAACGTGTTTTTAAATTACCACGGGCAAAATATCATACAAAACTTTTGGTTTTGACTCGTTGAGTTCCTTCAACTCCCTGTCCCAACGGGCTCCTTCGATAAATAAGCCGTGTACGTAAACCCCGTCCTCTGGGGGTTCAGTGTATTCAATGTCGTCGAGAACCTGTGCATATTTGTTATAAATATAAATTACTAGACAAGAAAATCATATCATTTTGAAAAAAAATTACGAGAAAGTCAAAGTCCAAGAGATCGATAGGAATCTGATATTTTCGAGCATAATTTTGTTGCGCACCTGGAAAAATATGTAGAAACTTGTAATAATTAAATGAAACTTATTTGTCAATCGTCACTTATTTTCAATACCCGTCAAGAAAGCTTGAGTAAAAAAGAATCCGGAAATCCAAAATTGTGGAGGTGGACCGTTGTTGAACCAATCCTGGTAAATATTCGTTCTCAGGTTAAGATTAAATATTTGCATATGTAAGCATTAATTATTTTGCATACCTGTAAAAATTGCAACCTTGCAAGAAAGTCGTTTACATAACTGCCCAACGGTTTCAACGAAGGATAAGACTTTCCTTTCCAAAGTGTCGGAATTCTTGAGGTGAGAATGCTCTTGACAACCTCTTCCAACTCCATGGACATCACGACCAGACCTTTGATCGCTTTCTGCACGTTGATAAGACTGCTGCGAATGAGAACGAGCAAAATGTTGAACCTCCCCATTTCTTGAACCAGCACCGTGTTCATGGACTGATTGTACAGAGTTGGATATTTTTTCAGGGATGCATCAATATCAAAGTCTGCCGGCAATTTGTTGAGAATATCGGCAGATACTTCGATAACCAATTCGTCCGGAGTTTTCCCTCCTCCCCCGCTGGATATTTTGCTCTGGAAATGAAATCACTCTTTAAATATGTAAATCAATAAATATTGTGTTTGTAAATATACCTGAGTCAGCAAAATGTTGGTAAATAGCAGTTCCGTTTCATTCTGATCCTTTGTAATGTCTGCATTGTCGTTCATTCCGAATACTGTGGGGCTGCTGATAAGTGGCAAAGATTGAGCGTAAGTGACAAACTCTTCATGAAAACTGGCCGTTGGAACGTAGTAATCCCCTTAAAAAAATATGTTAAATACAAATTCAGTCGTCTGACCCAGAACGGAGAATTTTTTAAATCATAAAATAGTGATAGTACCAGAAACGTCAAGTTTGAAGTGTTTCACATTTACGAGATCCGGGCAGTAAAATTTCCCCAAAATTGTGATCAGAGTCCGTCGATCCCAGTCGTCGGTGACCCTTCCTCCGTAATTACATTCGCCCGTCAAGTATCGTAAAGCGTCAAATTGAATATCCTACAAGCATGGGGAATCGGACTATTAAAATTCAATTGCAATTGTAATGTTGCATTTTCTCACTTACGTCATACTCATCCAAAAATATTCGCAATTGCGTCGCACTAATTCGTAAATCAGTTTCATTGAATTCGTACGGAATGTTGAAACCGATTGGGCCGAATTTTCGTCGTTCTTGAATCAACGCGTGGAAGAAGCAAAGTCCAAACAACAACTTTTTGAAGGACGTTGGTTGTTTGCTACCATCAAAAAACTCGGGGTCATTTACAGGGTCGCTGAGATATGAGCGCACAACATTCGCACGGAGTCCTTTCGGAGGTTCGTTGGTCATCTTTATTCCCGTCTCTAAAACTGGGACGGGGAAATCTGGAGAGGGATATGATGTCAGCCACATTCTAAAATCGCGATGCGTCGTTGCTGGAGATAACTCTTCGCATATCTGAGAAAAATATACGTTTAATATTGGTAATAAAATTGCAATATTGCGAATTATTTATGTACCTTTTCCAACGTGGGCATAAAACTTTTTGCCAAATGACAGTTTTGCAAGACAACCCAGGAACCATATTTTGTCGCTTCAGTAATCATCCTGACGGCAATGGGCCCCTGACCTTGGCCGAGTGATAAGGCTTGCAGCTTCTCTCCCCCGAAACCCATGTCGGCCGCGAATTTTAATAGCACCGCGGTCGGATCAGCGCCAGGCGTGAGTACGAAAATGAGAGGAATATGGCTCTGAGATTCAGCATACGATTTCGACAAGTCAAATGGAGGTGGTTCGATAAATTTCTGTCCCATGCTCGCTGATAAATAGTAAAAAAAATTATAATTTCAATAAATTTATGCCTGTAAAATGTTTCCTGTGCTCACATGCAACAAAGTTTTGAATCGCCGGAACCATTTTATCTGGTCGAAGGCATCTGAGAACGCTCAACTTTTGAAATGGAGCCAACTTGTCTTCCCAAGGTGCCACGAGCTTCTCGTTTTGCGGAGTCATGCTGTCATAAATTTTCTTCCAGCTGGAAACGTTGTCCACAAAGGCGTCTTTGATCCCTTTGAAAGCCTCCAAATCATCCAAACGACAAAGTTCGTCCCAATATTTTGCTGGAAGCCAGGCTGATGGATTGATATTTGGGTTGTCCAGCCCAACCCCACCAGTTAAGAGGAACAACCACTCTTCCGGGTTGATTTTGCCCTCTTCCCGCATAAGACTGATGCACAGGATGAAGCTGAAGAGGAGTTTGTCCTAAAATTGGAGTATTATTTTTTGAAAGTTCGAAAACCAAGTCGAAATTAGTAAATATCACAAACTTTTTCGAACAGGCTTCTGCAAACGTTGAGGTACAAAGAGTATGTAAAATGCTCTTTAAGATTTTCTATTCGTTCAGCCATAACGTCTGACCGATCCGCTAAATCAATCGAATTGACGAACAGGTTGACAAACCAGGTGAGCGAGTACTGATACATGGGGTCAATTCCACCAATGTCAGCGATACAGAAGAACAAAATTGCAGAATATTCAGCAATTTCCGTGTACTCCAAGCGTTTCTCGTTAATCTTTTTCGCCGTCTCTTCAGACCCGGCTTGTTTTATGGTAATTTCATTCGCCAAAGTTTTCGAGGAGCTCAACGCATTTACGGCGGTTTCATCTTCGAGTAGATTTCCTTGCGAGGTGGACAAAACTTCGAGGATTTTTACTTCAATTTCTTTCAGTTGTCTGCAATTTCAAGAACATTTTAGCATGTGTTTTGCTTTCCTAAATTATTAAAATTCGACATAAATGTGTAAACGTACCGTTTATTATCTGCGCTTTGGACAACAAGCTGCGTTCTTTCTTCTTCTAAGTCTGGATTTTCTCGAGCTACCACAATTCCCAACAACTGATCTTGCAACCCCAACGTGGTAATCATGAAGTTGAGCAGGGTCACTTTCACCGAAATTTCTGGTACATAGTGCGGATTTCTAAGTTTTGTTGTGATGTACAGTCTACAGAATCACCCGAATTAATAAATATTTACGCGAATTTTTAAGTAATGTCCATAAAATTGGTGTAATTATGTTACCTAAAATCACTATTGTACTCCAAAAGTGCTTCACCCAGCTTAATGCAAAGGGAGCCACTTTGTTTGAAAACTTGTCGGAGCAGAACAGGCTCCAACACGGCGTCGAGTTCTTCTTGAACATTTTCAATTAGAAACTGAAAATGGACTTAATTATAATTTTTCGTCCGTTATAAACAATTTAGAAGTGTTTGAATTAATTACTGGAGTTCCAAATTGAATGGCTGATTCCAACTTTCGAGTAAAATTACTATCACTTAATTTGACGACGGTAAGACTGCGTTTCTTTTCTAAATTTTTGATCCATTTAGTCGCCTAAAATATCGAAAAATATTATGCATGACTCATCTTGATTAAGTCGTACAGTGGCGAGGGCATGAAAATAAGTGCTATGCTAACCTGGCTTTGCGGATCAATCATTAGTGGCCAGCGTCGTGCGTGACTACAAATAAGCAAACCATGCAAATTGTCAAGTTAAAATTCCTTAATGACATGCTTTATGTATCTCAATTACCTAACAATGATTCCATTATCTGTTGAAAAGGAGTCTGAAGGCAACCCGGCAATATTCCAAGCCTGTAAAATTTTTTGGAAATAAAAAAAAAATTTTAGACTACGCTTTCAATTGTACCGGGATGATTTGCCTACCCGAATAGCCACAGGATCTCCAAGCGTTGTCGCGAAAGTATAATTCTTTGAAATCGGAATATCCAAATCCACAACTTTCTTGAACCATTCATCAATCTGAGAATCTCTATACTTTGAAGTGAAAGCCCCCAAATACGCGATAATCCCCGATGACAGCAAAACATCTCCCGTCAAGTAAGGATACGCGACCCCAAGATCGATAGCAATTTGCTGCCAACGCCCTTTTTCTCCCCCCAAACCAACAATAATTTGTTCTGCTCTCTCCAACTTTTTGGAACATAGGTTAACATCATTTTCCAACTTTTGTCTCCGAGCTCTGCTTTGAAACAGAGTTTCCTGCAGGATGGCAAGCCGAGCTTGAACCTCGGCGAGTTGCGCCCGTTTCTTCTCCAGGGCAGCCATCGCTATCCCGTACGTGGCCTCAGCCCCGGCCAACGCGGCCTTTTTCGGGGCCACCACTCGTGCCACGATGTCGTACTTTTCTATCGCCATGACCCATTTGCAAAGACCTTCACAAGCCGTAGAAGCAGACTTGATTTTAACCGGATCAAAATCCGGATTTCCGATGAACTTTTGACGAATTTTTGTAATATTTGCGAGAGGAATGTTGTCTTTATCGAAGCCGAGCAATGTTTCCAAGAATTTCATGTCTCCCAAGACTCGTTTCGAGGGACCCCAGTAATCCTCTATTTTATTCCCGGTTCCCTGCTCCGTCACCATTTCCGGTTTCACACCCTACACAAATTATGCAAAATGGTAAGCTTAATATGATGAAATAAGTGACAAATTCATAATAATTACCTTTAGAATGCAGACCGCCTCCATGACAAGTCTGACCGGGTTTGGGGGATTTTTCATGGTTTTTACAACCGCAATATCTGCAGTGGTCAGGGTATTCAGTGCTTCCAGAGCTCCGTTCAGTAATGGTAAGGCCTCTGCCAAATTGGCGTCGCATTCCGTTTTGATGGCCATCGCGGCAGCGGCCTGTTCTCCGGCTTGGGCTTCGTCAGCTTTCACCACAATTTCTACTGCGGCAACTTCCGCAGATTCTTTCTCCACTTTCCACACAATTTCTTCCACCTGTTTTGACGCCTCTATAATAATGAATAGGTGAAAAAAAGTGATTAATGTTTCCGTAAAAATGATAATTAAGATTAATTTTAATTGTTGTTCAAACCGATTAATGCAGGTTGTAGTTTTGTCAGCTCATCCTGCATGACGCTGACTTGTCCTGCAGCACTGTCCAGTTTCTCCAGACCGATTTCATACCTTCGTTTTGTAGCTTTGTTGAACCTGTAAATTTTGAAGGATGGCTTAACGTTGGTTAATATATTGACCAGATTTAGTAAATACGTACGCTCTCTTGTTGTGCAGTAAGGTCTTGAATGTGGAAATCATCTCCAGATACGAGGTCGGAGTTACGTAATTGTACCGGCTCAATTCTACCTTAAATTGGATGGACAGCCTTTCAGTGGACTGGTGAAAATAACGACACATGTAACTGCAAGCTTCTCTTTGTTCATTGGTCAGTTCTATGTCTGCCAAGAATCTTGTGGAAACAGCGACCAAAGCGTCTTCCGGCCAGTTCTATGACAGGGTATAATTATTTATAATTAACTACATATTTAATTAATTGACAATTCTGTAATATAAACTAACTATTACCTCAAACCAGTCAATCGTACAACAATTAACCAAGGAAGGGAACTTTCGAAGTCGATTTCTGAAACCGTCACCAATTGGACTGAGAGCCAGCACGATGTGAAGTTGTTGTCTTGCTCGTTCAATGAACAAGTTAAATAAGGCAAGAGGACTTCCTAGAAAACGGACAAAAATTAGTCTGAATTCTGGCATATGTTAAAAAATCTCTTAATTTTACCATCGGTTTGCAAACTTCTATCCTTTTGTCGATCGATTACTCTCATTTTTTCACAAATTTCAAATTTTTCATCATTCGCAAAGAGGTTCGGAACCTCTCCAGAGTTGAGGAGATTGTTGACATCCTCCAGAAAGGATTCCTCCTTAATTTGCGTATCCGAGAAGAGAAATACTCCTTGACCTTCGGTAAATGTGGATTTTTTCAAAAATATTTTGAGATCCTCGTGAAACTCGTTGAGTCCGTAGGTCTTGTGGATTTCAATTTGAAAGAGTTCATCCTCCATGATGTGGGCCGCCAGTCTGGTCAACGATTGTCTTCCAGAACCTCCAACACCAACCAAAAGTGCGTGGCCTTTGGGTTGTTTTAAAATTCGACAGATTTTTGTCAAATGCTCGATTGCGAATCTGTTGCAAAAATTAGGATATATTTTTGCACGTATAGAATAGCACATTAAATATTTTACCTGAATAAGACAAGATTCATTCGCTTTGTGTTCATTCGGTTAAATTCGTCCAATAATCCGGTCACAATGGTTTTCAATTCGTCAAAGTTTTTAACTTCGTTGTAAAATCGCGTGTCTGCTTTTGGATCTCCGAAATCGCAGTACATTAGACTTCGTAGTTCATACTCGGAAACCTGGAAGTTTTAGGACTTATCGTTAGCTCAATTTAGTTTGTAACATAACGTCCCATTAATTTTTATTACCACTCCATCACCATCCAAATCTAGACGGATAAGTAACTGGTGGAAATCTTCGTCCAAAAAGTCAGAACAGATATCTCCCAGTGCTCCGTAAAGCCAACCTCTGTCTTCGTCATCAATCAGGCGATCGTAGTAGACCCGAAGGACCTAAAATAAATACCATATTTTGAAATGGTGTGATAAAATATCTAAAAATTTGAGATTATTTACCTCATGAATCCACATTCTCTTCATGGATGCAGTATCCAAAATTACTTCAGGCATGGATAGTAATACTCCCTGACGTAAAAATAAGTCGTGTTATAAACCATGCAAAATAATTGTACCCTAGAAATATGTACCTGAATGACTCGAGCAAAATCTCTTAAATTGAACAGGTAATGAGACTTGGCAGGGGTTGGTAGAAGCCTGGCGAAAAGCAATAACAATTAAGTTTTTAATCAATTATCCAATCATTTCTACAATATGTAAATACCTGGCAAAGGCAGCTTTATATATTTGGAGAGTAGCCATCACAATTTGATCCACGCATGGGTCAAAATCCTGGTTAAAACCTCTGAAAAAATTCGACATACAGATTAAGCAAGCCCAAAACGAATTATGTCGGCAATGTTATGTACTTTGCATCCAAATGCCACATCATAATGCGATTGAAAATTGTCAGCATGGTCTCATCATTAAATTCGTTTATCGTTATTGTATTGAAATGTCGGAGGAATCGGGGAGTTATAGAATTTCGCCCTCCACCTATTCACCAAAAAATTTAAGAAAACATTGCTGGGAAGATAAAATATTTGTTTTTAAATATGAAATTACCAGGTGGACCCATTGCACACATTAGCTAGAAAATATAAGAGCAAGTTGGCAAAATCACATTGAAATTTTGAGCATTATTTCTGAAAAAAACAATAACCTGCACGTCCATCAAATGAATGGGGGTCGAGTCGAAGCGATCGTACCACAAACCGTGATCCACCCATTGTCGCAGCAACTCGATTGGAGGTTGTGCCCCTAAGACGAAATTATTGGATTTCATTATTTACATTAATTTACATTACTTTTTTTATGTAGTCAGTTTACCATAAGTCTCTTTTATTGGCATGTTCAGATCATCTACAAACACTACGCATTTCTTCCCAGGGGGTGGGCCATACGTTCCTAGGAAAATAGTTCACAATTATTTCTTGTTATGAAACAAATAATTCTTTGACCTATTTCTGAAAAATACCCTTCTTTCTCTTGTCCAATTTGTTCATGATGATGTCTTGCGTCGTGTTGGCAGACGTTTGAGCAGAAAACGAAACAAAAAGAGGTCGGTATACATTCTTGTCCAATTTTTTCAAGAGGAAATCCTATAAGGAGGAATTTATACTTAAAAATTTGGTTCAAGTTTTATCATCGCATGTAAGGATTTTTAAAAAATACCGTAATGTAAACCGATTTTCCAGTTCCAGTTGGTCCCACTAAAAGCTGTGCATGTACAAAATCAATAGTTTTATTCAAACCAAAATGACACTACTAATAGTGTCATTATTAAATAAATACCAGGGGTTTCCCATGAGTGACGAGAATCTTCATCAGCGTGCTGTAACGGACCGTGTCAATCGTCGGAATAATGATTTGATTCATCATTATTTCTTTTGGAATTGCTGGAGCATTTTGCAGCGAGTCTTCCCACGCTTCCCAAGTACCCGGCCCCTGATGGCACCATGCAGAAAGGTTTATTTGACATATGTTTTATGAAATATAATGTATAATATTCCACACGCACCTCTTTCAGAAAGTTGTAATTGTAGACCATTCCTTTCGGGGGATGGTTGATGCTTCCCTTCCGTTCTTTCTTCTCTGCAGCATCTTCCTGGGCCTTGGTGTCGATTAAATACCGAAATAATTTGTCAAACTTTACACGACCATCTTCATCCGTACTAGCTCCAATGCTCCATGTAATTCCAAACACAAAAATTCCCTGAAAATGATAAATTACAGTTTGAAGAGAATTTTATTTAGAAAAAAGTATGATAAGAATCTCACTTCAATCCGAGAAAGTTGCGTATTTAACGTCAAAGTTTTGGGATATTTTTCCTCCTTGTATTCATCCATCAAACTCTCGATAATATTCATGGCGGATTTCACCAGTCCTGAATTAGTAGTTGGAGAATGCTCCTGTAAAGTTACACACATATTTAAGTAAAGTTAATTTGTGATAAAAATCAGCATATCGGATGACGCCACCTTGAGACCACCTTTCCGCACCAAGTGAAGCAACGTGGGACAAAATCGGTGAAATAACTCCTTTAAATATTCTTTAATCTGGTCTGGGACAAATTCTTGAAGCGTGTTTAGCCAAGAATAGAAAAGGGGTTCCCATCCGAGTGTGATTGGTTCCATGTAAATCATTCCACATCGAGAAACGGTGGCAGGGGAGGCAGCCTCGAGGTCCATGGGTTCGAAAATCAAGTTACATGGGGGGCTCAACTGGATAATTTCGCCACTCATCAAGCACAACTTTTTATTATCGTCGAGCACAGTGTTCATGTTCTCAATCCAGACTAGTAAATAAATTTATTCAATTAAATATTTAGATTTATCGGAAATTGTGGAAATCCTAAGAATTTTAACTGTTTGAAACCTTACTCGCATCGACAGGTCCATCAAATATGAGCCATTTCCTAATTACATATGTACATACAAACGTTTTAATTCTGAGTTTAAACAGAGTCAAGATAATTGTGCAATGTTCACCTGTCGGGCGTTTGAGCTTGAGCAAAATTTCGATAATTAATGGCAAGGACGCCATCCGTCCATTCGTGTGAGGCTGGGTCGAAACGACCTAGAAAGAATGGCATTTTAAAAATCAGACCAACCCATTTTTTTACCAAATATGTATAAATATAAATCTCAAGAAAAGAGACCATATAACTGCCCCATGGTTATCGACTTGGGGTTGATGACGCATATTTGAACCTTGTTTTCTTCCATTTCTCCCTGAAATAAGTTCCAAAACCCCATGATTTATAAATATTCCACTTGAATAGTGAGTAAATTTTAAAGAATTACCCTTTCGCAAAGATCCGCAAGCCCACCGGCCAATGCTAATCAAGAATAATAATCAAAATACTCAAAATACAGTAAATGAATTACATCTTAACGTTTAGGTACCTCGATAAGCCGACGTTTTCCCTCCGAACGGATATCCAACAATCATGAACCCGTGACGGACCAACATCATTTCGTAAATCTGTTGTACTTTCTCTAAAAAGAAAGGAGTGCACTGCCAATTGTTTGTGACACAGGTGCGTTGCACAGCCAAGTCAAAGAGTTCATAATCTGGCTCTGGAAGTTTGATCCCAGGGAACAAATCGGATGTGATACCCTTAAAAAACAGCCATTAATTAGTCGGTAATTAATTACTTGTCGCATAATAATATGTATATTACATGAAACAAGGGGAGATCATGGGACAGAAATTTTGCCAGGTTAATATCCTTGATTGACCGGAGCACCAAGATATCTTCAGACTAAAAAGGAAGAGTAATTGAGATTATGTATCATTGTACATTAAAAAATAATTAAGAAGTATTGCCTCATCAGGATATTTCAATTTGAGGTTTCCTGCCGCGATTAGGACAGATTTCACGGCTCGCATTCCTAACCACAGATGTAAAAGCAATTAAAATCTTTGCATGGATAACCCACCGATATTTTTTTTAAATATATCACTCACCGTAATCGTAATGAGACTGAGAAGACAGTTGTTCAGAACATAGTCGATAAGTTGCAACGATTTTCACCGCTAATGGTCTCGCATTCACGAAGCCGCAAGAATACAAAGATATTTCAGAGATCAAGGCGTAATCTGGCACCATCATGGCCACCGACCTAAACAAGGCTTTGAGATTGTCGGGAAGTTCACTTCTCCCAGCGTAGCCTGCATAAATAGGTATTTATTTAAGGTCTGAAATAATCTGAAATAATCTGCATGATAGAATTCTTGCCTGGATTCATCGTGATAAATACGGCGCAAGTGGGGTCCAACGTTAGCTCGGTGCCTTCAAACAGCAGCTTGTTCGACCCACTGTTGACTCCTCGTTGAATTGTCAGAATTTGCTGCGCGACTACGGACAGCACTTCCAAATCGATTCGGTTAAATTCGTCAAAACATGACCAAGCCCCACAAGATGCGAGTCCCTAATGAAATGCGAAATTATGCCATGAAATTTAAACGAAAAGTTAATACGGGACCACATTATCTGTCAATCACCTTGAAAAATTTCCCAAGTGCAATATAATCCAATCCGTCAGAACAATTGAACACAACACATTGTTTTGCGACGGCTTTTGCGAGATCCTTTGTGGTTTCTGTTTTCCCTGTTCCGGCAGGTCCTTCCGGAGCTCCACCTGCAATGAATATTTGAATTTGCAATTTTACTAAAGGTATATTTTTTTAAATAATAATTACACATTGCACGTACCTAAGTGGAGGTGCAAAGCTCCAAACAAAGTTCTGGAATATCAAGTAAAACGATTTGTTTGCGAATTTTTTATTTGGAATTCGCAATTAAATTTGTGTATATTTGCAACCATATTTCACCTGTAACATCGATCTGTCAGCGGTGTGATGACCAATCTGGGCGTATTTCCTAAATATTCGTACCCATACGGCAAGCTGGAATTGATCATCCTTGTGATTGTGTGACCATCCTCGGAGTAATATCGAAGCTGTGCCAGCCACTGAAAATCCTTGTCATTGTTGACCCCGTTCTTAACCAGTTGGGCTAACACGTCTCGAGCATGGACATCAAGAACAACAAGTGCCCCAAGCGTGGTACGATTCTGTTTACTGAGTTTTCCTCTTACGAGAGCAACAATGTCGTTAATTTGCTCGTTATTCACGTCAAGATAATCCTTCAAAGCGTTTCCTCTTTTTTCGAAAGCTTCGTGAATTAAGGTCGTCCAAAATGTGGAAGTCACGCACAAAACGGCTTGTCCTGGCCATTCCAGGACCCAGTTGTTACGATTTTTTGTGACGTAATCGACCAGAGCAAGCTCAATTTCCTAAAAATATCAACCATAAAAAAATGTTGCAGTTTTTTACAATTTTTTCTACGATTAAGTTATAAGATTGGTTCCAACGTACTCGGTGAATACTCTTTTTCATGAGCTGTTCCAACTCCACCAACCATTTCTCGACCGCACCTCGAGCACTTTCCGTATTGATAATGCTATTTAATTTAATCACTTCATTTTCCGATGATTGCATATGCGTGATTTCCAAATCTTCAGTAAAAGTAATTCTGGCAATTCCTTCAAAGCATTTTTTCAGATGGGGTTGGACACTAACAAATGTAATGAATTAATTTTACTTCATGGACACACTTACATCATTACCCTTACCGTTTTGGATCTTTGGTTTCTGCCAAAATTTCCAACAGCTCGTCGTTCGACAAGAAAAAGAATCTTGGAAAGTACAACCGCTTCCTTTCCAAGTATCCGTTGAGCCCTTTGTTGATCAAGTCCAATAAATTGTTGGCCTTCTTCAACTTCTCGACAATCTTGTCAAATTTGATAATTGACAAGACTCTGGGATCGTTCAAAATGTATTTCATAATGTCTCTGTAGGTTTTGTCGACATTCATGAAGCGACGACCTTCTTCGGGCATTTGTGTCTAAAAATATGTGCAAATTTGGTAGTAAATCTTATTTTAACGTGACCCACAATAATTGACCTAGGCTTAGTTAATTTCTAGACAATTAAACCTACCATAATGTCGGGAGAGGAGAAAATCGGGTCCAAGTATAACCGAGCCATCTGCACTTTGACCCATTCGTCCAAAATTTCTTGAAGGAGAACTAGATCTCTTTCCCAAGCACTGAACAAGAAAATTTAACAGTTGAGAATTAATTGATTCTAAATATTTTTTTCAAGCCAAGCCTTACGTCATCTCTTCCATAAACGGCTTGGCAAACGGTGAGGCCAACATTGTTTGAGTTTTTATGATATGATCATCAAGAATTACTTGAATTTCATCGATCGATGAAATTACGTGAGATTCTCTGTGAAATAATAACTATTAATTAATTTGTATATTTTTTACGACAAAATTTACCCTGATTTCACCTCAGTGCAACAACTTGGAATTGGATGGACAACCATTCCACCTTCATTTTCTCGAGATTCCTCTCCAAACTGGCCTCCTTGGAGGCAGCTTCACTGATCAGTTCGAATTTGGGGAGATGTTCTTCTAAATTCATGTCAATAATTTTTTGTAGAGTGAGTTCTGGCGATGGCCGTATCGTAAATCCAACGATTTCTGAAATCTTTTCCCAGTGACGATCTCGAAGTCCAGGATTTCCAAGAGTTTGAATGATTGGAAGTTTTTCTTTGAAGACTTCGATTAATCCTTTGATCTGGAATAATGCAAAAAAATCGTCTAATATTGGTATCAGTAGGTTAATTTTTTTTAGAAATTGCTAAAAATACCTGAACAACTAAATCCCTAACTAATGGAATATCGTTAAAAGTTTTCTCCAGTCGGTACACAGTTCGCCATAAATTCATCACGTCATTTTCAATCACTTCAGGATCATGGGTCCCAACTTGGCTGTTCAGCCAGAGTGCGCTCTTCTCCAGGAATTCGGCCCCACTTTCGTAAAGTCGCAAGTATGGGGACAATTTGTCAGACACCTTTGAAGAATCAGGTTCACTCAGGTGTTATCATAGCTTTACCTTAATTATGGCATACAATTACTATAATTTTACCTGTTTCCTCAACGGATAATTGGTAACGGGAACCTCAAACATTTCCTCTTCTCGGTTAAGTCGGTCTGCTTTGTCGGAAGCCGCTTGAAGTTTGCCATTTAAGAGTTGAGCTCGTTTAAGATATTTGCCGAGTTCTTCTAGATTTCCTAAATGTTGGAATTCTTCCACTTGTCTGGCATACAAATCGAGCTCTTCTTTAAGTCTGGCTCGTTTAATCTTTACAATGATCAATTAAAACATTAATTAAGTTGAATAATTTTGAATTTGTTAAATAACACGCGTCCCACCTTCAACAATTCTTGGAAGTCTGTCGCATTTTTGCCCACGATGGCCAAATGTTCTTCCATCACGTATGGCATCCCTGGAAAGAAATAGTTTATTTAGAAGAAGCAGAATGAAAATTTCCGTTGGAAAAGTTCCTAACAAATCTACTGAAGACTCGAAAAAGTAGCAATTACACTTACTTCTCCACCATTGAATCGCCTGCGTTTGTAGTTTGGAGACAATGGGAGAAATTTGCATGTAATCCGAAATGAAGAGGAATTTTCCGAGCAATTCCTTCAATTCGTTTTCCATCCTGGGTAACGTTTTATCCTGGATTTTTTCCATGTCTTCCTTGAGTTGGAAGAGTTGTCCAGTACCGATCGGTGTGGTGAGGGCTTTTTCGCTGATTGCTTCGTACTCCTCGACCAGCCTGCCAGATTACACAATTTTGCATTTCTATTTTTGAATTTAACTCGAATTGAAATTAATTAAGTGCTTACTCTTTTAATTGCACGTGTAAACTGTGAATCATTTTATCCAGAAATTTATCTCGTAATTCGGACGCTCTATTGGCCAATGTTCGTATCAAATCGTCACAGTGAATGTCGAAAATTCCAATGAGGGTTTTCGGATCGAAAGAAGTGCTCATGTCTTGGGACAAGTTGTGAAAATGGATTACTTGTTCGACAATTTGATTCCAGGTGCGTTCTTCGTTAATGAAAGCTTCCATTTCTTCCTCATTCTGAAATATAAATATGGAAATATAAATTTGGAAAATTGAGGGACTGATAAGCTTACATCTCCATAAAATAGGAATTGGTGTTGGTTGTAAGCCTCGACGTAGGCCAGAGGACCTTTCGTCCGTTCTCGGAATGATTGTCTGATTTCATTTTTCATAGCGTTAACATCAGCGGGATCGATTGTGGGCTAAAGAAAAATGGAATTTTTTAAAGCTTATGTATTTTATGGAAATATTTGAAATAACGAAATCAGTTACAAACTTTAAGCGTTGTTCCTGGCGCAGGTTTTCCTGTTTGAATGTCCCATTCGCCAAATATTTTGGCCTACTCAAAAACACGTCATGTTCACATGATCGATGAAATTATACTGATTTTTATTTACCTCCATCTTGGGAAAACTGTACGAAACTTCAACAAGTCTGTCGACAACGCTCAATAAGACGTTTTCCCACTCTTCGAAAGACGGGACAGGAATGAGCTGGCTGTGTCGGCTGATAAATCGCACCACCAATTTTGGTCTATGTTTTGGATCCTGTACAGAGAAAATTATTGCGACTTTTTTACATACGTACATACATGAACCTGGTCTTGATGATCCCTTGCAACCTACCAATTCCATACAGATAAACTTTTTATACTCGCTCAGGCTCTCGTTAAAAAGTTCGAGTAGGTTGGCTTGCATTAGGGTTGCAATACAGCTAAAAAACGCTAACATTCTTGGCTGTTCGTTCGCTTTCGGGACCATATTTCGCTTTGCGGCCTAAACAAATAGTCGTTTCTGGTTATATTATTGGCAAAATATTATGATTTTCTGTGCATATACCCCAATCAAAGAATTCTGAATTCCCTTAATCCATTTCTTCATCAAGAGATCCTTCGCGTCTTCGATCATTCGGCGAGTAATTTCTCTGAAATAACGCAAAGTAACGGCTTCCTTTTGCTCTCCGAGAATGACACAGTCCACGTAGCGAATATTGCTAAAAACGTGTATTGATCAAAATTAATCCTCGAATAAATTTCTGAAAAAAAATAGTTCCCACCTAAATACCCCCCTCCAGACAAAATTGATGTACGCAGGGACCGGATTGTACGAGTGGAGATTTCTAAGCAATTTTCTTTTTGCTGCAAAGACCGAAGCTCTCCACGGTTTTGGAACGATTTTCAAAGTGTCGTCACTTCTTGGTCCAGATTCGTCGTCTGCAATTTCGCCGGATGATGAGGTTTCTTCACGCAGGACGAAATCCACCATTGAGCGCTTCACCTGCATGAATATATTTCAAAAATTAGTCTAAATTTTGAAAATTCAGTATCTCAGTAAATTCAGTAAATTCAGTATCTGAAATATGAAATTTTACGGTGACGCTGTATTCGCCCGTTACTTCGTCCAGTAATTCGTTAAATAAGTCTTCATAAGCTAACTGCAACTTTTGGGGGACGTGGTTCCAGATATTTTCAAGCCAAGATTCTCCAATGGGTCCAATATTTATGGCGTCTAAGCCACGAGGAATGTAGAATCTGAAGAGAAGTTCGCCCAAGTCTTCGGCCGTGGGGGTAAAATTCAGTTCCAATTTTGGCGACTTTCCGGGAAAAGTGTCGCCCATTTCTTGAAAGATTTTTTTGGCAGGTAACTTCTCCGTGGCGTTGTCTTTGGGAGGATTCATGCGATTTATCAATTTGACCAGGGCGATGCGAAATTCTTCCCGTTTTCTGGCCACTTCGGCCCATTCCTTGGCTCTGGTCTGATTATTATAGGAAATATTTAAGGTAACTTAATGACCGATTACAAAAATCAGTACATTTTTATTCATTTCTCGGCTCTGGGAATTTATTTTAGAATTCTGGACAACAAAATTGGAAAAACCAGTTTCGGTGAGTTCCAATTTTTCTGAAGGCTCCTTAAACTTGTGAGATCTCCTTCTTCAAATACTGCCGGAATCTGGAGTGCATATTTTTGAAAAATGATAAAGACCAGCTCTACCAATTTGTCGTTTTGAATTTTAAAATAAATTCCCAGAGCCGAGAAATCATTAAAAATTTGCTGTTTTTTTTTGGCGACGAGTCATCGAGTCCTACACTAACATGCTATTAATTAATGCTGATAAAAAAAGTGAGCCGGCCTTTACCGTGGGAACTTTTTTCACGTTTCTGTACCGATGATGATGGTACTTGGGGACTTTTCGTCTCTTGGCCCCTGGATGGAGGAGACCTTGGGGAACGGTGTAATAGTCACTCTTCACGATGACAGGCCCCTTGCTAGACGCTCTTATCTGGAGGTTATTACTATTACTGTCCCCAGCTGCACATGGCGCATGGAAGTTTTGACAGGCAAAAGTACCCTCACTCTGTTTTGATTTCTTGTTTCTCCCTTCCAATAAATCCTGCAGAATAAAAGTTGTCTCGTTAAATGATCAATGTCTCACCTTAATTAAAATAAAATTAATTACGTCGTGTTTATATGGCTTCTCAGGTCCAAGGTTTTTTGTTATTCGGCGTTCCATTTTGAATTGAGTGTGATAATTAAGCAGTTTGTAGAGTCAGAGTGTAACACCACTAATGAACGCTTTACTCTAGTCGTGATCGGGATATAGATTCACGTCGACATGAAAAGGACACGGCGTCATGGTGACTAAACGTGTCTTGATAAGACCATATTTGTCATATTTTTCTGCGGTGATCATGATAAGACCGCATTCGTTTTATGACTATTATGCAACACAAAATTTGTAATTGATATAGGTTTAATTACTGAATGCATGCAGTGAATGAGTCATTTACAATTTATCGTACATTTTAAATTATGCATTTTATTTCATACGTTCGTCAGATTCAGATTACATTTTGTTTTGGAACAAAAGTTCCCACAATAATGATCTGAATTCGTACCGTACCCGTTAATTCGAAATCATTTGACATCATATTACTTTCCAAATGACTTGAGGAATTCAATCGGAAGTGGGAAAATCACTGTAGAATTCTTTTCGGCAGCAATTGTCGTAAGTGTTTGAAGATATCGGAGCTGAAAAATATCACATATTTTTCAACGTTATGCAAATTCAACATATTTGAAATACATAGTATTGAAAGCTTGGCTTAATACCTGAAGAGCTGCAGGCGAAGACATCATCACATCAGACGCCTGTTTCAGCGCTTTTGAAGCCTCCATTTCTCCTTCCGCCGCTAGAACTTTAGCGCGCGCCTAAAATATTAACAATTATTTACTTACCTGTACAAAAAAGAGTACGTAATTGGTCTATTTACGTCACGCGTGGCTTCCGCTTCAGAGGCCATAGCCCGTTGAAGCTGTATTGGCAAACGCACATCTTTCCTATAATTTAGTGAACAATAATTCTAATAAATTACGATTTCTATCAAATATTTCACAGAAATTCGCCTCCTACAGTTCAACGCGTTCCACTTTTATGCCCCATGGATCTGCAAAATTAAACGATTAAGTATCATCCTGAATATTAAGAAAACTGCAAGAAATAGTTATTCTCGTACCCGTCGCCTCGTCCATTAATCTCTGCATCGTTTGTGAAATGTGTTCCCGATCAGACAAAATTTGAGACAATGTCAACGTTCCTAGAATGTTCCGAAGCGTTGTGGACGAAAGCAGTTGCGTTGCTTGTCTGGCATGACATTTAAATAGCATAATTCAAAACTGTTTTTATCGCGTCTTGGTTGAGTATCACTAATAAATTCATAGATAACTGCGCTTACCTATAGTTTTCAACATTGGTTATGGCAAGTACTGGTTTCCAAACTTTGAAAAACACAATGGCGTCCACAGCCGCAGTCACGGAATCTTTTGTCAGAATCTGATAGGTACATGAAACAATTTGATGAAAATGAATTAATTTGAAAAATGCTGAAAATCCTTACTTCTTGCGGTGGGACATCGTAAGTGACCGTTCGTAAATCTATACATCTGTAGAACATATGCATTAGAGAAACTAATTAATTTAACGGTTATACTGTAAAAATTCACTACCTGTAGTCATCAATGCAAGGCCTATAAGATAACAAAAATTCATAAAATGCTTCATGAAAACATCTTAGCATCATGTCAGGTTAATTAATAATTACAGAACGAAAAATATGCCTGGACCGCGAGCCCCACCGGGTCTGATGCGTCCCAGGCGAAAGATTACTGCCCTCTGATATTCTTGAACGGACTTGCATACATAATTAGAAAATAGGAAATAAATACGTTCAATTATTATTTTTTCAATCAAGGCAACCGTACCGATTTCGAAATTATGTGTGTACCTTGAAACAGAAAAAGATTGCAACTGGGAAACTGATAAAGAATAAAAACATTGAGCCGAGGGTCGCCAAGCACTCGATCATTGCTGACCCCGAAGACTGCTCAGTTTCCGGAGCAATCGTGATTTCATTTTGGGACGGAGGGTTGTAGGGAGCTGGGTTGTAAGGAGCTGGGTTCATTGGCACTTGCATTTGCATTTCTGGTAGTGTTGGGGGTGGTGGCTGAGGGAAGTGGCCTGAAATAATGAGTCACGGTCACATTGTCAATAACAGAATATGCATAGATTTAATCGTACTGTGACGTGACGGATGTGAATGATTGCTGTGAGATGAAGGCATTTGGTTTTCAGATTCCTCTTTAGAGATATGTAACCCTGACTCGGTGGAATTGACACCGTTTCAATGGCGTGGCCCTGCCATCCCCATATCGTTGCGACCCAAGATTATTTGACACTTTATCAATCTATAAGGTTACGACAAATGGCCGAGTTACAAAATAAATTTTCATTTTTAGAAAACTAAAAATTGTTGAAAATATGCCATTGGTTACAGTTTTGGAAATGTAATTTTGTAACCGTCATGTCCGTCTGTCTGTCCGTCTGTCTGTCCGTCCGATCATTTTACGATAACTTTCGTTAAACTCGGCCTAGCGACTTTAAATTTGGTATACATGTAGTATGTGACAAATGAGGAGTTAAGTTTGAAGATGGGCGAAATCAATTAAGTGGTTGACCTGTGGTGGTCATCTGGGTGGGTGGAGTATTTCAAAATCCTCGTTGAAAGCTGTAAACTGGCATTGAGATTGCTAATGGTGTCTAATTGAAGAATATTCATATTCATCGAATATGAATATTTTTGTGGGCCCAGCCCAGAAGACTGAGACCCGTACTGGTTTTAAAATTGGTCAAGGAGCTGAAATTTTGCATGCTGGATTGTGGGAACATTTTTGCCGATTACGAATAGTAGTTGGTGCAGGTCGTCTGACTAAAGTTTAGAAGCTGACACTGACCCTGACTCGGGCTAAACAAACGCTGCACACTGGGATTTCAAATTTAATTTTCGAAATAGTACCCTCGAGATTTTGATCTTAAAAAATCAAGCTAAAAATTACGATGATTTCATCTTAACGAATTAAATCTCTATGTCTGCCCATTCAAAAGTTATTAAAGGTCAAAGTCGTTGGTACACACGACCATGGGACGTGTACCAACGATTTAAAAAATAATTATTTTATTTGTAACTCCACCATTTGTCGCAACCGTTAAAAGACACAAGAGTTACCTAGATACTAAATGTCAAGCAATCGTGGTTGCGACCAATATTATCATTCTAAATTACACCACGCTATAGAAACGGGGTCAGTTAATCGTGAGTTGCGACAAATGGGTTATTTCGAAGTACAATTTTCACTTTGGTCCGAAAATGTAGTCCAACATGCATCGACGTAAGTGTAAAGTTTTCAAATGCATGCACAAATTGTGAAAATATTTGCAAAATAATCTATTTTATTGCATTACGGCGTTTGCAAAATAATCTATTTTATTGCATTACGGCGTTTGCAAAATAATCTATTTTATTGCATTACGGCGTTTTAGAATACAATGATTTCTGAAACATTAAATTATGACTTTATAATTTACTTTATTCCTCATAACATATTCCGTACAGTTATATTTTAAATAATCCTTGAGCAGTAGTAATTAATGCAATAAATATTTTAAAAATAGGTATACAGATAAATGAAAATTTAAACTATTTAACATTAAACCACTTTTCCCGACCCTGATCCACACACGAGAGTTTGTCCGCTGTCATCTTCTAAACGGCACCAAACAGTGTAAATCGTCTAGAAATTACCATTAATGTAAATTCATCACAATTATTCTTTAAATATTAAACCAATTAAGCAAATATAAATTACCGATGGAACATAGTATGGAATTTTAAATGAAGTAGTAGTGCTGTATATTGTTTCGGCTTGTATTGGGCAAGTGCCATTCGAGAGGGTGTGGCATCCCCCGTATCCTGAGAATTTTTAGTAAATAATTACAATTAATTGGGACTAATTAGCTTTAATTATTAATATTTACCTGAAAGGGGGACTTGTCTTCCCAAATAAATTGTTCCACATCTTACATTCGGAGTTACAATGTCTTTCGCTAAAAGGAATTTAAATTATCTAAGTCTTTTTAATCTCAGAAAATTATTTTATTGTATTTACAAGAACTAAAGTCCGCATCGATCGTGTACTCCTTGCCACGTTTGATAATGCATGGAAAATGTGTACAGTCCGTGAGTCGGAATTCATGAAGGGCTCCCCCCACTGTTGATAAATATGTAAAGATTTGCAATTTATTTAGTAATTGTAAAGTAGAAAATAACATTATACACACCACATTTCGGGTCAAGGTTCACATTGTCCACGGCACCGGATAAGACAGAATTCACAAGCGACATGGAGGATATAACAAGTACCCACAACTTCATTTTTACCGTTTTAACAAGTACCGTACTAAACTTTAGTAATGAATTATTGGTGATTTTTTTTGCTCAAATAGTAAATATTTTAAAACAGGTCAGGGAACAATGTGATATATCAATTGAGATGCTGACACCTGAGTAACAAATCTATTTCATGTGCTCCTATTATTTATAGTAGTGTCAATTACCACATTTCTTTTGTGCAGAGAACTGCATATAATAAGTGTCCTCATTTTTATGGAGATTTTGAATGTTTTTCACGCAAATTAATTCCGGGCTTACCTTCGAATTAGGGTAACGAATCTGAAGGACGATTCGATCTAGTATTTAATATCAATTGAGGTAGCTTCACCATCACAATGTACATAAATAGCTGATCTTTGCAAAAAAGCGTGTATATCTGATACTAAATAGCATTCATTTTATACGCCATGAAATTTTTACGACCATCACAGTTTTTTAAGTAAATTAAAAATATGGATTTTTCCACCTGTTCATTTCCATTTTCATGGTGAGGCTCTTTCAGATGCAACTTTGCCATTAAAAAAATGCAATGTGAATGATGAAATTGCCAATAATTGTCAATGTGAATGTCTTCCTCACCCAACACTTCTAATTAACCCAGACATTTACCTTTACTCAATAATCAATCCGAACATAATATCGCAAAACCAGGCGCATGCACAAATAAATTAAGCTGATTGACTTATGATCACTTCCGTAAACCACCATCACCCACAATCTGATCTGATCGTACCACATATCAAATTTACGTGTAAGATAAGTAACAAAGCTGATTATTAAATATTTAGAATAGACTCGCTCGCGTGACACCACGTTGACTGACCAAGCCTTGTTTTTTACCATGTCTGCTATTCTAATATAGTTAGAAACAGGTTTTGTCCTTTTTGTCTCAAATTCAGAATTTGTAAAATAAAAGGTGACTCGTCGTCGTCGAATACGTAATCCTTTAACAATCTCCTCTTCTACATAAAGTGATAATAATGTGATGGTTGTAGTAAATCAGTAATTGATCAATGGACTGATAAAAACTTTCACCAAGCCAAGTACAACCCATATCAAGTCACCCTCACTTCCAGTGGCCGCGGAACAGAGGGACAATGTCCCCACGGTTGTTCGATGTCCGCATCATGTGCCCATCTTATATAAACCCCTCCCCCATCCTACGATGTTAATGTCCCCACGGCTTCCGCGGCCACTGTTTCTTCGTCGTATGAATTTGATTGTGAATTATATAACCGGATGTTCATTATGATTCAGGAATTTTCGAAATTTTTTATGAACGTTTTTTTTACCTGCACGTAGACATACATTCTCGCATGATCGATACATAAAGATGATTGCGATTACGTAAACGATTACGGGATACATAAACATGCTTGCACGTGTGAATTGTACTGCAAATCAGTCGCGTGCCTTGTACATATCCAATCCACCTTCATTTTCTTATAATTGTTGGATCATATTACGGCACGACGAAGTTATAAAAAGGTAAGTTCCTTCTCTTGACGAGTTTCAGTTAGTTGGTTCATTTTTCAATAAGTGAAATAATTAATAGAAGAAAAAAATTAAGAAAATGAGACACACGCCTCAAAAAATCGGAGTTGTGGGTGCCACGTTTTTATTGGTGTGTGGTTTCTTATGTGTTGGGAGCAGTTTCTTGTATGGTCAGACAGGTTAGTGACCTACATAAGTGACCGTGTTAATTTAGTTTGTGAAATTAAATTTGTAAAATAGTTCCAGGTTTGCCCACGGTAAATGACCGACTTCAGATTGACGGAGGACCGGAGGAATCTTGGAAAAGGATGACTGGAGAAAATATCATGTTCAGATGTATTACTGGATTGAAGGATTATCCGGTTTTTTCATGGTTAAAGGACGGAAAGGTTTGTAATTAGTGTCCACTGAATTTGCATAATTTCTTAAAAATTATAATATTTTGTCGCAGCCACTTCCCCGAGACGTGATTAAATATCAGTTGATCAGTAATGGAAATAGTTTTCTGGAGATTCCAAAAACTTCTATAAAATCGGAGGGGTCTTACACGTGCACGGTCAGCAATGACTTTGGCGTGGCGAGGAAGGTCTTCAAACTTTGTGTTATTGGTAATATACAATTTTTTTGATTGTATGACTTGGAATGGTTAACATTAATTTTGGTTAATTTAGCACCCGGTGTGAAAGAGGATTGTCCGGGATGGTGGTACAGTTGGAGTCGGCGTTAAATGGAGGTTTACTGTTTTTCATGGATATTACAGTCCATAATGTGCTTACAAGAATTAATTAAGACTGATTGTTCTCACCTCGTCGTTATTATTTTTTAAAGATATTTTGTTGTACATTTAATGTTTGAGCTTAAATAAAATGGAGTTATATTATGAATAAAGATACAAATGATATGATAAATGAAAATGAGAATTTTGCAAATAATTTTTAACGTATTATACATAGTTTATTCAAAGAATTAATAAATATGCATAAACATTATTTAATTCGGAATAAGCGAGATGTTGGTGCGTTTAGAAAATTTCTGTAGGATTTTGAATCCTCTAAGTTTTTCAAATCTTTGTAAAAAATAATAAACCAGTTCAGGTTCGAAAAAATCGTAGTGATAAATGAGGGTCAAATTGTTGGGTAAGCTCTGGATCACCGCCCTCAAGGAGGTCACGAAGGGGACGCCGCGTGCCATGGTGACTCATCGTGTCCGACATCTTTATAAAATTTATGACCTCCATAATCGAGCAAATCGCCCATCACTAAATTAATAATCGACAATTAAAACATTTCTGACCAACCTTCTTAATAAGCTGGCAGGAAGTGTAACTAGACTTCGTACATAATAATATGGTAGCAATTCCAAACAAAATGGATAAAGTTGAAAATAAGCAACCCACAATTTCCGATGGCGAATCAACCACCGATTCTGACTCTGATGGATCAGATATCCCAGGATTGGAGGATAACACTGGAGCCATGGGGCCTGGGGGAGACGGGAAGGAATGCCTCATTCTGGTCAGTCCAAGAATATATAAGTAAAAATACTGATAAAAAAAGTTGCGAATGATCTTGTCACGTTCTTTCAGGGAATGGGACCTGTTGACCTCATCAACAAAGTGAAACAAAGCTGTGGGGAGAAAAAGCTGAGGAAAAGCATGAGCAAGTTGGGGCTCAAGCAGGTCAAGATTTAATAATCGAATCCAAAATGAGCAGAATTGTAATAATGAAATCATTCATTTTAATGCCAGATTACCGGTGTGAATCGCGTCACCATTCGCAAATCGAAAAATACTTCATTCACCATCGCCAAGCCGGACGTGTACAAAAATCCTGGCAGCGATGCCTACGTCGTTTTTGGAGAAGCAAAGATTGAAGATGGTCAACAGGGTCAAATGACTGAAATTTTCTCCACCTCCGAGCTGAACCCTAGCACGATTCATGGAGAGGACACTGATGAAGAGGCCGACAGTGGAGGCATTATTCCCGGATTTCTGCCCGAACATACATTCGTCTTGATTCGTGGTTAGTTTAATAATAATTCAATTATGCAAATCAAGTATGAATTATGCAAATTATTCCTCCTACATAGAAATGACGTCGAGAATAGAAGTTCATCAAATTCGTGAACGAATGGTTGAAGGTCTTCAGATTTCGAATCAACTTGTCCTTGGCGGTGCTTCCGGTTGGGTGGGAGCCTATTTGGTGAAGAATTTTGGAAAGATGGCTCTCACCGCGGTGGGAGGCGGATTTCTGATTTTGACCTTTGCCATCAAAAAAGGTTTTATCGAAGTGAATTGGAATAAGGTTTTGGTCGAACTTCAGAAGCGAGGGGAGGTTCATCAGAAACAAAAAAAATCTCGTACTTCCGATCTCACCAATGACACTTCCACTATTTCATCATCATCGTCAACCACTTTGGGGGACGACTCCACCCTCAGCGGCGGAGAGGATTGGACCGTTGAGAAAATCCATGAGGTTAAAAAGTGGATGAGTGAACATTCCGTGGCCGTTGTTGGATCGATGGTCGGCTTCTTTTACAACATTATATAATTTCTCTGGGAAAAAAATTCCAAGCAAAAAGCGATCTTCTTATAATACATAAAAATACTACATATCAAACTATAAAGTGATGTTATTTTGCAAATAGATATGAAATTATGAAATATTGTGATAAAATAAGGCTTTTGAGAAAGTATCATAAATGATAAGTATTACGACAACATATATCACATAGTTTCTTTATTTGTGACGAAATAACAAGTACAACAAACCGCAACAAAAAAACAATTGAACGACTTTATAATGATTGAATTAAGTAATTTTTTAAGTTTTCTGGTCAACCTGGATTATAACTCGTGTTCAATATCTGTATTTTGTTACATTCCATGTTTAAGATCTTTTGAAACGTCAGCCAAGTTTTGCAAGGTTTTGTCCAACGTAATAAAATAATCATCGCAGTGGTAAGGAATATTATGCTTCTTGGCCAGAGCTACGACTCGATCACGGATTAGCGGATGCCTAAACTGGGGCATTGTCGGGAAAAGGTGGTGCTCGATCTAGAAAATAAAATGAAGTTACTTTGTGTACATACATTTGCCTAGAACGATTCTATGTCAAAGGTCTGACCTGATAATTTAAATACGCCATCCACCAGTCAACCATCCAACCTGGTGTGATGTCCATGGTATGCGTCAACGAGTATTCGACCCAATGCGTAGGTTTTTCTGTGATCGGCAAGTGGGTGTGGGAGAGGGAAAAGTTTCCAAAAATGTAAATTGAAGCCAGCCAAACGGACACGAGATAAGTGACGAATCCCACATTGTAGGCGAAAAGGTAGTGCAGCCCCATAAAGAGGAGTTGAATATAAGTCCCCCTCTGGATGACGTAGCGTGGGTGAAGATAAACCTTCCACATTGTTGCGACCAACAAGGTGTCGATGAGGAGGAAGAGGGTGGACTGGTGTTGAATGAAGAATCCAGTCCCTTGCTTCTTGTGACGGACGACCCCCTTGTTGAAAGCGATTAGGGGTAAGGTTTCAAGATCTACGTCGTGCTTGAGACGCTGTAAATTCGTAAAATTAAAAAATAATCAACATCGATAAGTAATCAATCAATATTGATAAAAAATCGCAGTATATCAATTTAGTGTACCTGGGGCATAGCATGGTGACGATTATGTTGGCTACTCCTGTTTAGAAAAATATGTTAAGGTTTGAATTACGGAAATCATACATACGTAAAATTAATAAATATAAATTACTGACCACCACTTTGACGCCATCCCGTCGCCCAAACCTGATGAAATAATATTCGTAATTAAAAATCTAATTAGCAAATTCTATAAAATAATTATATTTTATACCGTAAATAACCGCTTGGAGAAATCTGTCCACGTTTGGCACCCCAGTCAAAGAATGGTGACCTCCCTCATGCATCAGCCATCCTGACCTTCCTTGATACATTGCGAAGCACAAGAGACCAAACGTCCAAACTGGCCAGCTTTGCGACGTCATGAGCAAATACATTCCAAGAACGAGGAATCCAATTAACTCCGAAATTCTGTAAATAACGTGTGGAATGCTGGGTTCGAACATTCCTTCCGCGACGAGCTCATCCTTCAACTTTTGAAAATCACGTGTTAATGCTTCATGTCTTTGAATTGCTTCCTTGTCCAGGCCAACTGTGCATAAAGTTGAATTGCATAATTTTGAAATTGTGTAGAAAATAATTTTAAATAATTTACTAAAACTCACGCTCTTCGAGGGTGGCAGGTCGTTTTTTTAAAGAGTTCATAATAGCACCAACTTTTTTGGTGGATCGATTATGAAATTCTTGAATTGGGAGGGTCGCATCTTCTCCTTTTTTTGTGTAAAACTCGATAATCTTGCCCCCTGGGTGACGACGTACCCATTCCTACAAAGAGAGTAAAATATTTTTTGAGTATATTTTGAAAATACGAAGAAATCTGTAAAAACAATTAAAAAGTAATTAATTACCGTAACGTCGTAAAAGAATCCCTTGTAATAAACTTCCTTCACGTTGGCGGTGGGTGGTTCGTTGACATTTGAAGTGGGAGGGTCGCGTATGTTGGGGGCCATTTCTGTTCAGTTGAAAAATTGAAGAAAAATCGACCTGGAAATTAACATACCAATTTTATTCACAGATTTATAAAAAGACAGCTGAAATAAATAGTAAATTAAATAAATCAACTTGCTTGCTTTGCTGGAATTGAAGTACCTTATTTATTCCCAAAACTCTTATGCTAATTCATACTCAAAGAGGGTTATAAACTGAGGAACTATCCTGAATGAAGCAATTCTAGGTCCATAGAGTTATGCAGAATTATTTTAATTAAGGAAAATAAATAAATAGTTTAATACTGAACCATGTGAACTAAAAAGTTCCATCACGGCAATGGACAAACTACTTATGTCCACCGGTCTTTCTTAGAATACATATGTACCTAACCTATTATGCCAATTGGCAACTCAAGCAACAGAACAGCAGTAAGTTTTGCTGGTTGCAAAAAAAAATTCTACACGCAAATACTTACATAAGTATGTACAGTAGAAGCAAATTGTTATGTGCATACAGTCGGTTTAAACTAAGGTAACCTCCATACCTCTGAATATAACCAGTTTATACGCTCTTGGATACCTCACAATTTTCCAGTTACAACGCAACTCGATACCTCCCACATTACATAATTTAATTGTAATTATGTATGTATAAATTGGGTAAAAAATATATGTAATGTAGACCATTTTCCTGAACTCTGGATATATGTAAATTAAATATTAATGAAATTACCTGTACAATCCAATATTTCCAACTTCTGTGACCACCACTAATCGTAACTGAAATGCTTCGAGAGATCTATTAAATTTGGTTTGATTGGGCATTTCAGCCACTTAAAAAATGGAGATTCAGTGTCAAGTTCAAGTGTAAATTCCAGGCTTTCCACATATATTTTATGAAGAGGTAGGTAGTAACGTGAGGTGTCTCAGTTTTGGTTGGTTTAATCATGGTGATCGTACGATGATGAGTTAAATAAGTTCAAGTTAAGTTAGGTTTATGGTTTTGTACTATGTGGTTTACATATAATGTAAACCATATTGCATGCAATATGTATGTATGTATAATATTCATACATTTATGTACCATCAGATGCATGGATAGATAGTTGTTGGCCAAGCCATGGTTTGGTCTTGCATATTAAAAAGGTTAATGATCAGCTAAGTTTCACGTGCTTCCAAATATTAATATGGGGCATACGGTTGCTTTATGTACATACATATGTACATATTCATTTGAGCAAAGCGTTTATGTATGGTGCTTATCTTCACAATTTGATGATAACGTATAAAGTTGAGTGGCATTTCACATATGTTCAGTTTAATTAATTAATAACTAGGTTATCAAAACTTTTTAAAACTGGGTGCACATTCGATTTTCTAAGATTTTGAAGAAATCTACCAGAATTATGTACATATGAAATCCTTAAGCTTGGTTAAAACTTGTTCTGAAATTCTATAAAACGGTGATTTTTTTTGCACGCGTCGAGTGAGATCACAGATGAGAAGAATAAGGACAAAGTTCAATGTTCATTTTTATGCCAAAAGTCAATCTGGATGATGATGCACTTAACTTATGTATGTCGCAAATGTCTGAATGCAGTGCAACAGTGCATCTGTGGTGTAAATGGCTTAAAATGAACATGTTACACGTTTAATATATTCACATGTATTGAATTACAACGTGTTCTGTTCATGTTCATGCTTGCCGTCTTTTTTTTGTCCCGACTGAAAATGCTTGCATAATCAGCACAATATCGCAATACTCATAAAAATGCATAAATTTTTTTATTTAAGGTCGGTTTTAAACATAATTTGTCACTTAACCTTTATTTTTTTCAACGTAATATTATGTGCACGTCATATGTATTTTCTTGGATGATGAAATGATCCCAGATAGACGATCTATTTAGCTCATGTATATGAATAACAATGCAGATTTATTCGACATATGCAACTTTCTCTCTGTCCTGGATCAAAATATGAAAGGTATATTTGTACTACGTAGTTAATCCCAATGTGCAACTATTTATTAATAATCCACTTCATTAGACACCTTAATCGCAGTAATGACACCAATTATCTGCACAATTTACCTACGCCCGTCCCAAATTATTTGTTATATCATCATGCAACCAGCAGAATTGCATAAATCTATACGAACCTAGTCTTCTGAGCTGGTTCAGGATAAGAAGTTCGAAATTTGGGAGGAAAAGAATATCGCTACATAAATTTCCTCCAAGTGAAAAAATCACCTCAAACTAGCATGGGAGGAAAAGGCTATGTTTTCATTTTTACAGGAATTTTATCCGTAATCCTTGCTGGTAAGGTAAGGTACGTTACACATATGATTGAGTCATCCTCATTTATTCATTTATTCAGCCGGGACATGTTCGTGATTCTGTTTTCTCACAGGTTTCCAGTTTTCCCTTGGAAGAAGAGCAGAAAGTCGTAATAATTTCCCAGAAACAAGAATCTTCCGGTGCTCTGGGAATTGAGGATGCAATTTTCGCTGCCCTTGAACAAGCCCAACTTGAAGAAGACGCAAAAACTATGCGTCCAACGCTAGCAACTAATCGCCCCCGTCCAGCCAGCGTCACTCTGACCCCGCAGTATCAACCTGCTCCAAGTCCTCCAGCAGCAGCACCAGTCCATCAAACGCTGCCCGGACTGACGCCATCGTTCGGGCAGGGTTTAGGTATAATCGGGGGGCACCGATTTCCTCTGCCGGGACATCCCGGGTCACTTCTTCTTCCCCCCTGGCCACCACACCATTTGACCACGGCGACCGGATCCCCGGCCGAATATATTGGGGGAATCGTCGGAAATTTGGCGGGGGTGGCGGAAAATACGGTAAAATTAGTGGCATCCGGTTCCAACGCGTTACTCGGCGTGGCTGGACATGTCACGTGCACGTTGAATCCGATGTGTGCAATTAATTCGCTTAAAGGGTAATTATTATATAAGTTATTATTCTTTTTGATACGAATAAATGTGACAATAATAGAAAAATAAGTAAGCGGTTCTTCTATCTATGCATTAATTAATTGGACATTTACCTCAACACGGCACTTGCACACCAAATAACCTTTTGTTCTTATGTATGCATTATATATGTAATTACCTAATAAGTGTGTAATGGCTCGGTTTTTGGGTCGGTCATGGATTACTATTTTACCGGGTTGGACGTGCGTAGGTTGTTGTTATAAATAAGGCCTAAATATTGCTCAATTTAGTATTTACACCAATTAAATAAAGTACAATAATGATTTTCCGGATTTGGGGACATTTGGCGTGTTTCTTAGTTTTCCTTCTCCTCCAATTCCATCAGGTACCTTAATTACCCCATAAAATATTATTGTATGCATTATTTAGCAGCTCAGCAAAATTAACTCTAGACAAAATGCGTCACACTCGGCCAACTGCTAACTATATGGAGGAACACGACCCCAAAATCGAGAACTGATTTGGAAGTTAATAATAATCGATTGTCCTGGCCTACTAAACCCGGTCTGGGTTCGAGTACTACTTCCGGTCCTGATGACCACGCGTTTAGTGGGGTTCCATTCGACAGGACGGAAAGTTCTGTGTATCCGACGACCCCACGAGGAGACACAGATTTTCAGAAATGGGAGGAGGAAGAAGAAAAGAAATATCAATTAATTCTGCGACAAATTTCATCCTCTGAAAATGACACGGAGATAGAAGAATCGGCGAAAGAAATTATTGCAAATGTAAAAATTAATGCTATTTATTTGGTCATTGTAAATTCGCACATGCAAACATAATCCTTGGTTTTTTGTTCAGTTTCTGCTAAATATCATGCAAGAAAATTCTACCAACTTCAACGACACGACAGACGCTCTTCAACTCTCAGATTACGATGACCCCCAAGAAATCTCCTCATCTAAACAACGCAGCGCACTAAAACAACGCCAGGAAAGCGACAATGAGAAAATCGTATCGGCATATTTCCAAAACCGACCCCCACCCAAAAGACGGGATCCAATTTTCCCAAATGTCGGAAAATTCGCGGAAGCAATATCCAATTCTGATCGAATGAGTCCAATGATTCAATCTCTGATGCAAATTATTGCGCCAACAACGACGAAACAATCGTCTCCATTAATGAACCTCATGAAATTCATTCGTGTCCCAAATACGTCAGGCGGCAGTGGGCCAGACCATGCAGCGATGCAGCAACAAATGACGAGATTACGAGAAACACTGAATCAACGCAATATTTCTGGCATTCTGGATAAAACTTTGGAAATTGCAGCGAATCCCGTTAGCATCGGGTCATTGATTTCTGGGGTTGTGCAACTCGTGAGGTGCAACACCGTCGAGAGGCTGAACAACGAGGGCAACTGCAGCTAAATAATAATTTATTATTCCCTCAATCCATGTTAATTTATCAATTGTTCTAAATAAAGGGAAATTCCGGTTGTCGAAAAATAACTCCATAATGCAACACCACCGGCTGTTGAATTACATGTTATGTGATGCACTATTAGATACTACGACGCAACGTAAAATTCATTAAATTACGATAGTATATTATTCACGTTGATTAGTTGATGAGCTATTAAATGACTAAATTTATCCGATATATACTCATCGAGAGGAGGAACACTTGTCGCGAATAATTGGCGACGACGTGCTGAGATGAACAAGTTAATATTTATCACGGCCCTGGTGGCAATTATTTCGGGATGTCTCATCAACGTAAGTTGATAAGCGTAGAAAAAATGTGTATTTAAAATTTTGAAATAAAAAATTTAAAAAATAGGGTGAAGAAATGGACATTCCCGAAGATTTCATACCAATCCAACAGAATATTTATGAAAGATTAATAACTCCGGAAGATAACCAAGTTCAGCGTGATATTAAATCACTGTTTGCGCAGGTACGTCATTTGTAAAATTTTGATCTTCAAAAATTTTTAATTAATAATTTCATGAATTTCTTCAGTATATTCTTGTTGCTGCGATGAATGCTGCAAATACGAGTGAAAATAGTCCCCCCGTGGCTCCTGTCTCACCACCTCAGCAACAATATCAACCACCTCCACCACCCCCAATTCAAGCAGCAGCAGCAGAACCAGTGGCACCCCCACCTCAGGTAATTTACGTCTATGTCACTCCACCAACAGAAGCGCCACAACGCTTGGACAATTCAGATATCAAGACGAAAAAACCTAAACCACCAAAGCCCCCAAAAACCAAGAAACCAAAACCACCCAAAGCACCACACCCAGACTTTCCCAATCATCAACAACAGCAACAACAACCACAACAACAGCAACAATCTATCTTGCAGCAGCTAATAATTGTACCAATAATTGCGACAAAATAATGGTTCCTTTAATATATGTCATGACCTAAAGAATTTTTGTATTTTTTTCCACAGCCACAACAGCAGCAACAGCAACAACAGCTCCAACAGCAACAGACTTTCGTACCAGACACCCTACAACAATCCATAATTTCCCAACAACAACAGGACATAGCTGTCCCTACGACTCTACCCCCACCACCCGTCGAAACTTTGCCCCCACAAACCGTCCCAATTTTAATCCCTGCCCCCACCGCAGCCCCACCAGCCGTCCCCATCCTTCCCGCCGCTGCGACCCCTGAAGCCCCCACCCTTCCCCCAGTCACCCTCCGACCACGCCCATCCACCGAACACGTTCTCAACCAGGTAGACAAAATCCTTGGCAGCGTGGCAATCGGCAATATTACCGGCATCGTGGACCAATCGCTGCAAATCAATACGTCCAAACCAGTCCAGAATCTGGTCACGGGTTAGAATTTAGTCAATCACTTCCTCCAAGATACATATAAAATTGTGTTAATTTAAATGATTTACACACTATTTTATGATAGGAATTCTCAACACCATTTTCTGCACGCCGATTAATCGTCTCCTCGGACGGTGTCGAGGTTAAGGAAAATTTAACCATCTCCATTACAAATTTGGACTTTACAATTCGAATTGATTACATCATTTCCTCATATATAGGAAAAAATCATCGTCATTTTTCCCAATTATAATTATTTTCACACTCCTTTAAAGTCCAACTCAATAATAAATGTACAATAATCAAATCAATGGTAAAGCGTAAGTCATTTCCTTATTTGATTATTTGCAATACGTCAAGCAATAAATTTCGAGCTGGCACCAACCAACATCGTCATCGTCATCATGCACTAGTTTAGTTTGCCAGCAGAGTTCAAGTACATACAACCTAGTTAAAAAATGCATGCATACGTTTTATTTAAGTAAGTGCATGAACTAGTAGTTTATCAACATCGGTACTTCCTACAAGCACGGTAATCTGAGATGCATCCGTGTCATGTTTGTTACATAAATCCATTTTTTTTTATTTAATTTTGCGGCGAGGATAATCCTTTAAGAGTTGAAAAATTAAACGCCCTTCTTCTCTTTCATTCCATTCTTTTCTTATTAATCCTTCCCCCCATTATTATTTATTACTTATTATTAAATTGCGAACAAAGTAAAATCATCGCCTTCTTCTTCTTCAACTCATCACGACTCTTTAAACTAACTGTGCATCTCTCCTTCTTTTGCACCAAAACTAATTGAAGTCGTTTAATTTTGAGAGCACAGAACAGAACAAATTTAAGGATTACATTACTTGCTTACATGGCATCGTCACAAAATAATCATGATTTGTAGCGCTGTTTTTATGTATTTACAAGTCCACATACAGATTTACAGCGGTACAGTACTTAATTGTGTTCACCCATCATATTTAAACTCACATTGCATTGTACTCTTGTATGAAAAATAGAACAAAGTCAGTGAAAATCAAAACAAATGCCACAACATTTAGCCGACACAATGCATAACATAACAGTTCTCTACTTTACATTGGGTATACATAAAATTGACAATGCGCATTATTCTGATACGAGAGATTGAGATAAATTACATTGTTACAAGAAACAAATGACTCTTATTTCCCAACATTTCACAACCTGTCATCAAATTAAAAAATAATTACAAACAATACGAAAAGTTTCACAGTTTCCGTTTTAAAATAGACTCATCCTAGGGAACAAAGTAAAGCAAAAATCATCATCCTCACTGCTTCTGGCTTATTGAATTCAAGTCAGTCAGTAGTGTAGTTGGTAACTTGGTACGTTTGCACATCTCTTTTTATGTATGCTTTGCTTGGTTAAAAAACCGGATCAATATTACATCGTATAAGAGAAGCAGGACACATGAAGAGCTGGTTGGTATATAAGTAGCACCCTTTACTTTTAAAGAAGTACGATCCATAGGTTTCGTTCCAGTTGAAATAATCCATTTTATGACTGCATCAATAAAAAGTTGGACACTTGTTTAGACGCCGATTTTGATCCGCTCAGATTATAATATTAGAATCACTGCTTCTTCTTATCTTCCGACGACGCGGACGGCATGACTTCAAGTGGTGGAGTTTAATAAATACAAAAGTGCACTAAATTTTCCAATTAATCTAATCTAACCTAAGTAATTGCGCTACTCCAGTGAGATAAGTGCGAGTACTTGAAATAAATCCGTATAATTAAGAGTGAATTATTTTTATCATGTAATGCCTGTCGAGTCTCTCTCGAGAGAGAATGGTATCATCCTCGCCCGTGGTTTTTAGAGTGCAGTAGTGCTTGGTTGGACTTACTTTTAGCAGTAGGACAGGAGGACGACGAGTTTAAAAAGATTTTTCTCCAATGCCAAGTTAAAATAGTGGTAAATTGACACATCTGATCCGCATATTGAGAGAGTGAGAGAGAGAGATAAATACAAAAAGTGTACAGTTTCTCATCTCTCTCCTGAGAAAAATATTCAAGAAAGAGCAGAGATCTGGCTGCCTCTTATTACATGTTCAGTAGTCTGAGGATTATATTACGATAAATCAATGTGATGTGACTTATTTTTTTTATAGAGAAATGATGAAAATTGAATCGAATTATTAATTAAAGTTAACCACCCGTTAAAATAAATATCAAAAAGTATTTGCACACGGATTAAATAAAGGCGACGAAAAATTATTGATTTTGCTTCACATATGATCACGAACGACGATGAATCACTCGTTGAATAAAAATGATCTTGTTACACAAACTAAAACAACGTTAGTAGTGAAACAGGCTTCGGTCTGATGTGCAGTTCAGTTCAGTTAGTTCGACTTTAAGATCAAGAAGCAACAATGAGTTTGACTACTATGAATTCGTGTCAATAAAATTTTACGGAAACGATAAATAAATAATAGTTTGTGAATTAAGTGGTGTGTGTGGTCTTGATTTTGACGACGAATTTGTCCCAACGCTTTAAAATCGAGAAGAAGTGCGAGTGAAAAGGAGATGACTTGTCGGAGGTGAGTTTAGTTTAGGAAAGAAATGTGTGTGCAAAAATAATGTGAGAAATGCAAATGTGTGCAAATATTTTAGTCCTTGTTTAGTTTTCTCCAGAAAATGAGTTCGTCACATTAGTTTGACATGAATGAAATGGATTTTTTTTGTATTATTATCCTGTTGTGGTTATGTATGTATGCGATTATAAAATTTATGAATTTCTTAAGAATTTCGAGTCCACATAAAAACCATTGTGTGCACAAAAATTTCTGAGAATTTTGTTATCTCTCCTGGTCGTTCGTATGTTTATTAATATGTGTGCGTCAATTTAATTCCATGTTATTACTAATGCATTGTTATGATTCTATTTTATGTATTTTTCGCCATTCCATGATTTTTGTGGAGCAGTGCAAATTATTAATTTTGCAATATATCTATTTCGTTATTTTTGTGTTGATTGTGGTCAGTGTTGCGCTACACGATTGACATGGTTTTTTTGGGCTGTTTAGTAATTTGAGAGTATTAGTAGAAAAAGTAAACAATACGTTATAAAAATCGCAATGCAGTTCAGTTTGACACAAATTAGAGTAACATGAGAATGTTTAAAGTTCCCATGCCACAGCGTCGGTATGGATTGAATTGCAATTATTGCAAATATTTATTTTGGAAATTCTTTTAAAATTCTAAATTTTATTTCAATTTCAGATGGTTCCATCCAAACATTTCGGGCGTGGAGGCGGAGCGGTTGCTCTTGGAACGTGGGGTGGAGGGGTCATTTCTCGGTAAGTCTTATCTTCTCGGATAAGGTCCATTTCATCCTTAAAACTTGAATCTTATCCACTTATTTATTTTCAAAATAACAGCCAGACCGTCGCGCTCCTCCCCTGGCGACTTCACCCTATCCGTTCGACGACATGGGATGGTCACTCACGTCAAAATTCAAAATACAGGCAAGCCCTCCTAATTTTACATAAACAAATTGCATAACTAATTTGCATACATAGTAGCAAGAATCTGTCACGTTAAGTGAGACCTGTCGGATGACGAGTTTATATAATTTCGTAATAAAATTAATACTACAATGTCCACATTTCAACGGGAAAAGTTTTACTGCGTTTTATACATTTTACATTTTATCTCCCGTCTTATCTCTGGGTACAAGTACCTATTAAAAAAGTTTGACTATTTCGTAGTATTAAGAAGACCAAGTCGTCGTACATACTGTATTTTTGATAAACAAGTGCATCATGTCAGGAGATCAAAATGAAATTGAATGAGAAAACTAGTTTTGCAACTTGACTTAGTTTCTTCAACACAACATAATATACATAATTAATCTGCATACATATATATGAATGTGCGTGGTATGCTGGTTGAGGTGACAAGAATTGCAAGATTATTATTCCCAAGTGGATTTTACATTAAGATTTATCTCAGCAGGAGAGGAGTATTATTAATTTGCACCAAAACAGGAGCTTGGTAATTAAATGTGTGCCTTTTATATCAATTCTTGTTCTTCCTTATGGATGGAAGGTGTTTTTCGTGCCAATTTAACTTTTTATGTGGATTAAAAAAATAAAATTGTAATTACAAAACACGCTTTTTGTCTACTAAATTTATATTGCGGATTTAAAAAGTCATGATTTATAAAGTAAATGGTCTCGTTTTAAGCTAGGTCTGTGCCTTTCTGAGAGAAGGATCGACCTTGTGCAGAAACTAGTTGATTTTTTCTCTTGTTCTCTCTTCTCCTAAGCCAAGTTTATTATAGCCGAAGGATAGAACATTTTTTAAAACGAGAAATTGTACAGGATAAAATTCACGGACAAACGAAACTGAAAAATAAATAAACACGTTATACATACATATTTTTAGCACGTCCTGTAATAAGTAAGTAAGTATACTTACGTAAACATATATTTCATGACCACCAGGCACGACCTGTACTTACACAACTACCTTGCAATTTTGCCTAGATTAGTAGTAAAGTAACATATTTCAGTCAGTGAGCTGAGTGAACAGATTAAATAAAAATATATTATTACGCTTGATTGATTTACGTACTGGGAAAATCGCTCGAGACTTGCTATTAAACAATGTCTTCCATTCATTCATCAAGGCAATAAAACTGCCACGTCGTAACGATGATTACACAGGTAACGAAGAAATACTATCCTCCTGGGTTGAAATATAATTAGTAAACATTCATAAATTGCGGGACAAGGAGGAGGATAAAAGTTTTAAAAAATATTCTTCTCCTCAGAGAGCTCGAGTTTAGCGAGAGATGTGCAGATTTTACGTCAGAAAACGTGTCAAAAATAATTTTACGCAGATACATACATACATAAAGATAAAATTACATGTGTGGAATGACACAAGTAGTAAGTAGAGATGCTTAAATGCATAATATATGGATGCGTGACACTTGTAAAAAAATACTTAAAATTGGGCTGGCCAAGGTCTCTTTAAAGATGAACCTCTTAACTTCTATCACTCGTAATCTCTCTTCTTTTCTTGTATGTAACTCTCTCGATGTGCTGTGTGTCAGCCAGCGGAGAAGATACAACTATTTAATTTTAACCAGCATTAAAAGTTACATATATAGCAAGTACTATTCTTGGTTGGATTGAATTTAGCTGGCTCATCCTCCAAAATTATGTATTTTTACAGGTTAAAAGTTATGTAAAATAAGGAAGAACAATTATTCATGGTGGTGATGGCAAAGATCGTTTTTTTTCTTTACATAAAAATGAATTCTGTGTGCACCTGCGGAGCTTCTTAAAAAGCAGCGGAACATGTAACATAACGTAATGACGATATAATGATGGACTTAACGGTGTGATGGTTTTATTCTCCCACCACCACGGCACTAGCAAAAGCAATTATTAACTTTTGGTCATTATATTACATAATATTTTGTACTTTTAGAAGAATAAGGAATGAATAGGTAGGTATTTTTATCTGCATGCCATTTCTGCATGCCATTTCTATGTATGCACGAGCGCAGCCTCGCTAAGTAAGAACATTACTCATCGTCCAAGTTATAGCGCAATTAATTGTCTTCTCGTTAGTGACTTTGACTTTGGTCTCATCGTTCGTATGGCATTGTTTGTGAGGGTGTTGCATGGAGTGGTTAAATAGTTTGTTCGTATCGTTTGTCGGTATCTGACTGTCTGAGTTGGCATAAATCTGAATGGTAATTCTCAAATTTTTTTATCTCATCTGTTTTAAAACACTTTACACTTTGGGTGCAGTGTAAATTTCCGTTCGGGGAATTTGCATTTTTTAGTGTTAACACGATAGTTTGTGAGGTTGTGCAGTTCAGTCAGTTTGGTTTATAAGTACGTAAGGTATGTAGAAAAGCAGGACATTTATTTTGTGAAAAAATCGTGGAAATATTAAATTTAGCATTAGGAACAATACCTAGTATGACAAATATTTCTGTCATTTACATGTGTTTTTTGATAGCATATTTATCAAGATATAAAGATAAAGATAACAATTTTAAACAGTATAATGATATCTAATTAAATTCAATTTTAGACGACAACAAAAAATTGAAATTTTTTTTGTTATAAAGCTTTCAATTAGTACTGATTAAACCAACACAATTGCATCCCAAAAGCCGATCTACATAACCTGACATGAATATGTACAACAGATATTTATTTTTCCGACTTTTTCATTTGACAAGATCAAACTTTGATGTCAAAATCTAATAGAAATCCCGAAACATTTCAATATTTTCAGGAATGTTTTTCAATATTTTCAGGAATGTTTTTCAATATTTTCAGGAATGTTTTTCAATATTTTCAGGAATGTTTTTCAATATTTTCAGGAATGTTTTTCAATATTTTCAGGAATGTTTTTCAATATTTTCAGGAATGTTTTTCAATATTTTCAGGAATGTTTTTCAATATTTTCAGGAATGTTTTTCAATATTTCGAAGTTATTTATTGCAGTAATTACAAAACGTGTATATTTATGAAACCCTTGAAATATTTAAAAACATCCTGAAAAAATTGAAATGTTTTGATATCTACCAGATTTTGACATCAAACATCAAAGTTTGATCTTGTAAAATGAAAAAGTCGAAAAAAATAAATTTGTGTCGTACATTTTATTCGCTCTACATGAATCAGGTTATGTGATCATCGGGTAAAATTGTGTTGGAACTAATTGTAAATATTAATTGAAAATTATATTTTAAAGGGTGCTTATTTATACGATAGTAAATACTTGAAGTAAAAGTGAGTGCTGCAAAAGTTGAGAGGTGTTGGTCTTTCTTTCTTAAATTACCATTTGTAAATATGTATTATTGATATTAAAATATTGAATCAATTGATTAGAACTTTAGAAGAGACTGTCTACAAGATAAGTGATTTACTATTTACAAAAGTATACGTACATCGTTGGTCTATGCAAAACCAATATTGCACGATTGGTTCTGTGATTGCATGCATTCATTTCATGCGCAAATACTGATACGTAACAACGCATACAAAAGTAGCAAACTATTGAATTATGTATTTATGTATACTTTTGTAAGTTTTCTTAACCGAGACACAATGGAAGGTTTTATTATTTTATTTATGTATATTCTATTGTGATACATAAATTTTAAGAAATATTTACAATGACGAAGAGGACATTGAAAATTTGTTCGTGCAGTGTATGTAGTGGGATCGATGTAGTTTGACATTTCTTATTTTAAGGACGATATTTTAGCGTGTAATTTGTAGGGAAACTATTTTTAAATATCTAGATTTTTTGACATGTATGTACTAAATATTTTTGTAATTACTTTTTTTAGGGGACTTCTATGACCTTTATGGCGGAGAAAAATTTGCAACATTATCCGAGTTAATACAATTTTATACAGAAAATCAAGTACGAAAACATACAAGTTCTGAATTATTTGTAAATCAATAGTTTAATTTGTGTCAAATTATACTGTTTCTTTGTGTTTGGCAGGGTCAACTAAGAGAAAAAAACGGGGAACCGATTGAATTAAAATTTCCACTATATTGTGCCGATCCAACTACGGAGCGTTGGTTTCATGGCGATATAGGTGGAAAAGAAGCAGAAAAAGTAAGAAAATTTTATACGCATTATAATGTCAACTTTAATTACTAACAAAATTGTGTCCAATTTTAATCAGGTATTAACAGAAAAAGCAAAACCGGGGTCATTTCTGGTTAGAGAATCTCAATCACAACCTGGACATTTTGTCCTCTCCGTTCGTACGGACGACACAGTGACGCACGTCAAGATTCGATGCCAAGGAACGTTTGATGTCGGAGGGGGAGATAAATTTGACTCGTTAAGTGACCTCGTTGAACATTGTAAAAAAAATCCAATGGTAAGTTTGCATTTGTTGAGTGATTCGTAAATATAAACTTGAACTTATCAAATTTTATAACATTTCTTAAAAAACAGGTGGACACGACAGGGACAATTGTCCACTTGAAGCAGCCCCTGAACGCCACACGAATCCCGGCTTCTGGAATTGAAGTGCGAGTAAAAGAGTTGAAGAGGGCGGATGGAAAAAAGGCCGGATTTTGGGAAGAGTTTGAATCTCTCCAGTCCAGTCCGGTCCAATTTTGGGTAATTTTCTAAATAAAAATGCAATCCGATTTACGAGTACATGAAAATGAATAAAATGACCCATTTTTACATCTTGCAGTACAATAAGAAGCGTGATCGGAATCAATTAAACGCCCAGCAAGAAGTGAAGCACGTATTTTCCCGGAAGGAAGGACAAAAGCCAAACAATAGGAATAAGAATCGATACAAGAATATTCTTCCGTTTGACCACACGCGAGTTCTGTTGAAGGAACCCTGGCCTCATGACTATATTAATGCGAACTACATCGAGGTAAATGTAAGTAAATATGCATGTGCTGCATGTAAGTAATAATAAAATGCGATATTTCCCATCGGATTTTTTCAAACTTTTATTTTATACCTTGCAGCCTGACGATGAAATATTTGAAGGATGTAAAAAGTGCTACATAGCGACGCAGGGATGTCTACCATCAACCGTTGCAGATTTCTGGTACATGGTGTGGCAAGAAAACTCTAGAGTTATTGTGATGACCACAAAAGAATTTGAACGGAGTAAAGTATGTAGTTATTAAATAAATTCAATTTATTTGGTCGTTTAATTTTCAAATTTTACAATTAATGGTTGGTGGCTGATTTTCAGAGCAAATGTGCCCATTATTGGCCAGACGATGGAGAAATTAAAGAATACGAGGGGGGATTTAAACTGCTCATGCAAAAGGAGTCTTCCACTCCAGATTTTACACTCAGGGAATTTCTCATGACTAGAAGCGGAGAAGAGCGTGTTATTTACCAGTTCCATTTTATCGTAAGTTACAAAACGAAGTTTTCTGTAGAATGATTATTGAACTTATCAACATTTGACACGTATTATTCTAGGCATGGCCTGACCACGGAGTCCCTGATGATCCAGGCTGCGTCCTCAACTTTTTATCAGAAGTTAATTTCCGACAGGAAAGTTTAGACGGTGCAGGCCCAATTGTGGTACACTGTTCGGCCGGAATTGGTCGAACTGGAACTTTCATCGTCATTGATCTCATTGTAGATCAGGTAAATTAAGAATCCAAAATCATACCCTTCTCACGTTGTGTAAGAAATATGCACTATTATTTATTTGCAATCTTTTATTACCAGATTAAGAGATGTGGCTTGCATACCGATATCGATATTCGCCGTGGGATTCAAATGGTGCGAGGTATGGTATTTGGAATTGCATTACACAAATTAAGCACATAAATCAAGTGACAATTATGTAAATTGACTGTTTTTTTACATAGCTCAAAGGTCGGGAATGGTTCAAACTGAGGCGCAGTACAAATTTATCTATTTGGCCCTTCTCCACTATATAGATACCTTGTCCCACAAAATACAAGCGCAGCAGGTAACAATATTATCTTTTTGTCCGTCTCATTAGATTATAGTTCTCCCTATTTACAGTTTATGATACGGTTTATTTTTCCAGAAGTGTTTGGAAGTCGGCCGTGAATACACTAACATTAAATGGGGAGAAGGAAAAGACTTTCCAGTTAAAGAGACTGTCAGCATTGGATCCAACTCTATGAATAATCTGGTCCCATTAGGGAACAATTAGCACCCGTGAAAAAGATAGCTTTCTTTTCGGAAATCATCAACTTCATTTCCATCGTATAAAAAATTCGTGCTTGTCTTGAATTGACTGATGATGATGAATGCGATGGTGCATGTCCTACCGCATGCAGTGCACTATAAAGAATAGCATTCTTTGTTCTTTACGTTGCATGTGTTGTTTCGCCGTCCGCCAGCTCGTAAGAATAAATCTACAACTGTCAACTAATTTACCAACCATCATTCATCAACCAACCTTTCTACTAATTGTTATAGATTAAGCACTCTGCTTATTAATATGTATGTACCTACATACATAAGTACTTCATAAACAATTTAGAATTGAAGGCTGTGGAACAACCGAAAACTTTTCAACCCTAATTGGACATCACATTTTCAACACTATAAATATTTAAAACTAAAAACAGTGGCTTTTTTGTGATTGTCTCACTTACGTGGAGAAAGGAATGTGTTCTTTACTAAAATACTGACGGATATAAATATATGCTCTAAATTAATCACTACACACACACGCATGCAATGGGGAGCATATTAATAGTGGCGAAATCCGTATTTAAAATATAAGTGTATAAAAAAACATCCAACGTGAACGTGATGAAATTATGACTTGTTATTAGAATATTAGATTATAATACGAAATGCATAATAGAACTGATCAGATGGATAATAATTTTTATTTTGGTCGCTGTTGTTGCGTAAAAAATGTGATTTTTCTTTGGTTATTTGTACGTAATAGATACTTTAAAGTGAAAGCATTATTATTGCATAGATGAATGTTTGCTGGTTCAAATTTACATAATTATGAAGGAAAAGAAATTGTTGAGCCTAAAAAAATGTGCATGTCCGAAAAAAGTGTCAGTACTACTTTATATATAATCGGCTTAAACTATAATTCTAGAGACTGTCAAGTTAATAGCATTTATTAATTATTATTGTATTTGTAATCGTTACTATTGCTGTAAAATAGTAGATAATAATGTTTTTTAAAGTGTATGCATACACACTTTTTAACAAAATGACAATGTTCAATCTACATAAATACGTTATGTACTGCATGCAATGAAATTTTATTTTTTTCCATAATATTTGAAGAAGTTTTAATGTTAGTGTTTTTTTTTGTTTTGCAGTTTTGATTTTGCAGATTTTAAAATGTTTTTTTTTGTCCTTAGTTAAGTTGTAGTTATAGACAAAAAAACTTGAGTCTAACAAGATGATCTAGTCCCACCACCTCGATAATGTAATTAATTATTTGTATGTAATTAGCTTAATAAATACAACAAACAAAAATATGTATATCATTGCTAGCAATGATGAGTGCGGTACGTATGAAATAAATATGTTAACTTCCGCATGATGTGGAGATTTCAAAAACATTTGAGAAAAGTGTTTACATTTTCATGAATGCTTGTTTTAAGGCCTTAGGACCATAGTGGGACGGATATTTGCATATGGTCATCGCCAAGAAATCTTGACACATACAATATCGTGAATTTTGCTGTTCTGCAGACACATAAAAACTGAAAATATGAAGATTTTGTCTAAAATTCAGCATCAACTTTTTTAACACCGTCTTCATACGGCCTTGATAAATGCATGATAATACGAACCAAAAGCGGGAACGTTCAATTAAGACGTACGAAACATGACATGCAAAATAGAATAAAAAATGTTATGTAATATGCAAATACCCTGACACGATTTAATTTTAGTTATAACGAGCTTCTATTTATTTATGTATTTATCATTACCGAAATATTATCTAGGCATGCAAACAACCAAAATATGCATGCAAATGATCTCCTCAAGAAATGCAATTTCAATTATAAGATCCAGATTTTCTCTCCTTTTATTTTGAACAACAATTGTTTAATTTTTTGCAATGCACGCAAATCTAAATCCTACAAACCTACAAATGTGTGCTGAAATAATCCAGATGCATAAATAATCACAATTAAATTTTAGCATCAACCCTCCTTTACAGAACAATGGACATCTCATCACTATAAAAATTCATGACCCGTTGCAATTTCATTTTCCTCTCCATTTTATATGATGGATTAGGTAATTGCTTGAATTCATTATAAAATTAAAATACTACAGCATGCATTTTATTCCTTTTACACATTGTGTGATATGTACGAAAATAGCATGAATGTCATGTCATACACATACATACAAAGCTCTTCTATTTAAGCACAGAATAGATGATAACCTGCCTTAATTTTTTTCATTTTTGTTGGATTCTAAGCATAGTTTAGTTAGGTTTACATCCTTCCTTTCAGTTAAATAATTTGGTATCAAGTATACTTAATAGCACATCTCGTCGCCATTTACCTTCACAACAGCTTAAAAACAATGGGTGAGCGAGTCCAATTTTGCCGTGAATCGCTTTGATTTTGGCATTTTTGATCATTATCATTTAACAAAATTATTAAGATGTGTGTTACGTATTGCATTACACATAGCACGACACAAGCAAGACGCGAGGTATAGCATGAAATATCATATAAGTAAAATAATGATTCCATTATTTAAGTCTGGTTTGCGATTAGATTATTAAAATGAACAGAGCTCCTCAAAAAATGGGGGAGGACATGGAAGGCAATATTTACGAATCCAGTAATTAACCCCGTGTTTTGCGTCGTCGTCAAAAGAAGAAAACGCAAACTTAACGCTTGGCTTATACTGGTTGCACAAGTCCTTGTTTACAGTTTAGCGAGACAAAGAAAATTGCAGATCTTGCTTGAGACAATGAAATGCGATCAAGTTTGCGCTCAGATATATAAACGGTCAAAGTGGGGATGATGGGTCAATCCAAGTTTTATCCAAGTCTGGGAACATACTTTATTGTGTAAAGAAGAAGAATACAACTTTATTCGCCACTAAAATGGCCAAACTTGCGGTAAGTTTCTGAAATCTGTGAACTTTTCGGAAATGTGGAATTTTTTTGGAGGAAAAAATTATAATTTCCGTTTGTTTGTAAATAGGTGCTCGTAGCTGTATTAGCCTTTGTAGCCCTTTCTTTGGCTGCGGAAGAAGTGAAGAAAACTTCGGAAGGGACTGACTTGAAGACGGCGAGTTCGTTTTATGGAGGATTTGGGTATGGGGGTGGGTGGGGCTGGGGGGTAAGATTTTATGTTAATTAATTATCTAATGGATTTAGTATTAAATTCTGAAAAAAATATTTAATTTGTGTAGGGCTGGGGTTGGGGGTTGCCAATTTATGGATGGGGGGTAAGTTAAAATAAGGCAAAAATCTGATTGAACTATGAGTGATTGAATAATTATGGACTTGTTTATTGACAATTTAGGGCTGGGGTTATGGCGGTCCTTGGGGATATTATGGAGGATTTTACCGTTAAAACAATATAAATACTCGGAAATATTTACTGATGTCCATGAACGCTTATGACTTTTTTGGGGTCTTCTTCTCCTTCACAAATCTTCCTCAATCGGCTTTTCAAATATATTTTTCTAAATCAAGATGAGTTCAAATGTGTAAAAATTAAGTTTAAAAAATTGTCAAGATTCTATTTTTCATGAATTTACATATGTATGTGAACCATATGTGAACTATATGCGTCAAGCTAAAACCTATTTATTTATTAATTGGCAATTTCATTTATTTGATAATCACTTAATTGGCATTAAGTTATTACATTTTATTAAATTTACAAGAAAATGATCTTTCAAGTGCACAATTTTTTATTTGTCTATTTTTTGAATTGTTTTTAAGTAATTCAAAACGCATAATTAAGATGCTGCTCCTTCACCCGTTAAACAGAGTGTTAACTATGTTTAATTGCTGGCATGTCCTTCCCAAACGTGTCGTCATCTTTTTTCAGGTTAGAATTTGTAATGTTAAGCATAACATTTACTCAAATTATGATAAAATTGTGCATCATGAATTCAGTCATGTTCCAAAATTTTGCAACCAACTCATTTGGTTTACACGGTTTTGCTGCACTTTTAATGCACCAAGTGACATATGGATTTTGAAATCAAGACGACATTGAGACGATGATTATGTAATAAATTCCGAAAATGCAGACTTTTGGGTATAAATGGGCGCTGATCTCTGCAAAAGCACCAAAACAGACTTCAAGCCGAAGAACGAGGGCTGGCTTACATTTCTGTAATATCTTAAAATAGAGGGAGTAAAAAATGTGGAGAATTTCGGTAATTCTTAATTATATACTTAATTTTCAGTATTTATTTAATTAAATATTTAATTAATTAAGTTCTACTTTATTACCAGGAACAAATAGTGATTGTTTTTTCGTTACTCATCGCATTCACTGCAGCAAAAGATTATGCAGACACGTACGACACGTCAGAAACCGTGAATGGTGGACCACCACCAAATTTTGGACCGTGGGACGCATACGGTCCCCCACTTCCGGCTGGAGGAGGTCTCAAATCATACAAGTTGTTAGAATTTCCTCAAAATGGGGGAGGTCTCTGGGGTCCTGAAATTCAGCAAGTTCCAATTCCAATCCCGTTCCCGGCAGGACCTGGATTTGGGTGGCCATTGTCCCCACATTTTCAGCAAATTCCACAAATTATCCCACTGCCCGGGTGGGGCTGGCCGCCTGGATTTCCATTTCATCGATGAGAAATTAACCAAATTTTTGTACTTTTCTATATATTTTGTACAGGAAGCGGATGAACTTGTGGCATAATAAAGAAAATAAAATGATGAGTAAAACAAAGTGATGAGCAACACCTTGTTTTGTTTATGTAAAACCTTGCATTGCAAAAATGGAAGTCATTTTATTGTTATCTTCTCAATTGATTACGTACTTTGCTCTTGTATTCATATTTTCCTTTGACCTTTGTCCAGTTAGCAATAATAATCATTTTTATGCATCCATATTTTCAGACTAATCAAACCTTGAACATTTACTGCAGTGTTAACAGGATTTATTTTATTTTATGTAATACCTAACCTGGATTTCTGCTAGACTTCCCAAACAAGCAGACTTCCTACATAATTGTGTCTTTGAATTGAAAAGAAGACCTTTTAATTTCATATCGATTGTTTCGTTTGGATGGACAGAAAAGGAAAGAATGGTGTTAAATATGAAATGAATACCAAAATTGCCAAGGGAGAAATATGTAAATACAATATGGAAATTATAGCTCTTTACATTTTTCCTTTTCTATTTGCCAAACAAATAATATTTAATAAGTATTTAGCGTGAGATGCTATTGATACATGTGTAATAAATAAGTATGCATGTAAATTAAGGCACCAATAACTCTCACATATTTCACACGTAAACAATACGTATTTACATGCACATAGGGGCCGTCCATAAATTACGTAACGCAAGAGGGGGGGAGGGGGGGTCATGGGAAGAGCGTTACGAATTGTTATGTAGGGGGAGGGGGGTATAACAAATTTGTTACGTAACGCATTTCATAAACGCGATTAAAAATCGAATTGAACTCATGTCATCCAGAAGGTTTCAGTGTACGCATGTAAATACGTTTTTCATTATGGTGCTCACATTAAAAGAAGAGCAAAATTCTTGCCTACTTGTGAACCATCATTCCTCCACAGTGACCTCGGAGAGCGATGGTGTGACGTAAGTTTCACGATTAATTGAGCCTTACCTTTAAGATGAGAATTTGATCGAATTTGCCGATCACCTGAGCCCCAACGAGGTCACTTAGGAGGCATGATGGTTGTCAAGAATTGTACTCATCTATTAATGGTCGTACGATAGTTTTCCGGGTGCAACTTGACAAAAGGTTCCATTGTGAGTCTTGGTAAACGTTGAGAGACCTGTAAGATTTACAATTTCCATTTCTTATATGATGATGTCGAATATGATTTCGTTGTTCTTGAACAAGAAATTCACAAAATTCTAATTTATCTAGCAATTTAAAAGAAATAGAAGCAATAAAAGCGACATTTGTCTACACAACCTGGAACAAATGAAAATTTTGCAAGTTACTGTTAAAGAAATTACCTGCGGTGAAATCAAATTTACGTTACGTTACGAAGGGGGAGGGGGTAGTCGAGAAGCGTTACGATGCCGTTACGAGGGGGGAGGGGGGGGGTCTAAAAAATGATGATTTTTGCGTTACGTAATTTATGGATGGCCCCATAATACATGTGTAATTTGATGCGTACAACAATTGAGTACCGGGTCAGGAGATTGAAGTTACTAAATTCCTTTCTCAATTTCAGTCCCTTATTAACAGATGTACGATAATTTAAGAAATTCTAAATAAAAAGTGATTCTAATTTGTTAAATTGAAAAATTCTTTCATAATAACTTTCTTTGTATGCGAGTTGAAATACATTGTTAGAGGGCTTTCCATTGTTTCTTTTTCGTACACTATGTACAATAATAGATTATCGATTGTGACACGTAAGTACTTATCCAAAGCCTGGTCAACTGGGTCTCAAACCTGAAAAAATGCGGGTCAAAGTCACAGAACATAATAATTGACACTGGGATTTTTCCTGCAATGCGTAATTCATTATGACGAGTTAATTAGGCACTTGAGAAAAATCGACATGCAAATGTGCAGTAAATAGGTGCTTGATGACAAATTAGGTTCAAAAGTGGACATTTTTATCTCGAAATCTTGAAGGCGTGTTATTATTTAGGCACACACGAAAGACCAAAAAAATTAGGAAGAGACAAAGGTTGGATAGTGACAAACGTTTATGTTTTAGGAATTTACTGCGTGAGCGCGTCGAGTTGACCTAAAAAGTTGATGCGCAAGCTAATTAATTTAAAAATGCAGTTCATGCACTCAACTAAGGAGGGGAGCTTGCGAGGTTGATAATAACAGATCCTGATGCCCTTTGGATATGTGGTAGGGTCCCATGAGTGTACTAAAACCCTGAAGTGGTTTAACTCCATGGCCACATTTGCGCCCGCCACACCCACTCAAAAATACCCAAAAAACGCTTTCACTCCAGTTTTCACTCACTCAAAACCTCGCCAAAAATCCAATTTTACTCGGATTTTGAAATTTCTTTCACCATTACACTCCCAGATAGTTGCTTTCTTCAATCCAATATCAAACTCAATTTTGCTGATGATTATTTCGCAGGGATAATTTGCGTTGTTGATTACTACAACAATGCTCATTCAGAATTTTAAATTTTAAAAATACTAAAAATTTCGAAAATATTGAGTTTGATATTGGATTGAAGAAAGCAACTATCTGGGAGTGTAATGGTGAAAGAAATTGCAAAATCTGAGTAAAATTGGATTTTTGGCGTGGATTTGAGTGAGTGAAAACTGGTGTGAAAGCGTTTTTTGGGCATTTTTGAGTGGGTGTGGCGGGCGCAAATGTGGCCATGGAGTTAAACCACTTCAGGGTTTTAGTACACTCATGGGACCCTACCACATATCCAAAGGGCATCAGGATCTGTTATTATCAACCTCGCAAGCTCCCCTCCTAAGTTAAGAGCAGATTAGTAAAATTAGCAAGATCTCAAAAATAACTAACTACGTAGCTTGACGTTGACATTCACGAGTGGACTCCTTTATGGCACAAATGGTCTTTGGAGTGAGAACAATTTAGGTTGTAGAAGAGTAATTACGGAGATTTTACAATGAAATCCACACAATTTTTAATTGTGTACGTAAACTTGTTTCATGAGTAGTAAATCAAATATGTGCATATGAAAGGACTCGGACGTAGTAACATCTTGCTATTGGCTATTGAATCCTGGATAAAAAAGTGGATCTTATTAAACTGGATTTTACGAGTTATTATACAACAACCAAGACTGATTTGTCCCTACATATACTTAAGTTATTCCGAGAATTTCGAGATCATTAACTCATGCAATTCACTGAACTCTCGTGGGATTTCCTTTGAAAAGATCATGTCGATATATTGATTACATATTAAATTAATGCCAAGATTACTTGTAATTTGAATCATAATCATAATTTATGCAAGACTACCTTAAATAGTTCAGGTACTATTTGTAATATGGCAAATCAAATTGTTGGACATGACAGAATCGATCGTGCATCAGATTAATCACCCGAATGTTAACCCAGGACAAGGCGAAGAGGTGATTATTTCAAATTAAAAATTAGTTTTGGGTCGTTTAAGTATTAAATGTAACACTAGCGATGATTTCATACTTCTTTCTTCTTGACGAATGTCCAAAATATCCCATTTCCATGAAAGAAATGCAGCAATAATCAAACTACAAGAATTTAAGGAAAAAGGTCGATTATGTAATTGCATCTTCCTGATACGAGATATGGTAAATCGAAAACATCAAATTGATATATTAATTACATATTAATGCCAAGATTACTTGTAATTTGAAACATAACAATAATTTATGCAAGACTACCTTAAATAGTTCAGGTACTATTTGTAATATGCGAAGTGAAATTTTTTAACAGAACTGGATCGTGCATCTTTTGATACCTTGTTCACATATTCGGATTAATCACCCGAATGGAAGGACAGAGACCAAGAGGTCATTATTTTAAAAAAATTAAGTATTTTGACACGTCTATTACCAGAGATGATTTCATAACTTCTTTCTTGACAAATATCCAAAATACTTGTCTCATCTTCATGATCCTGGATTAAAGAAATACAGGAATAATAATCAACATCCAAGCATTTAAGGAAAGAAAAGTCCAATAATTGCGTCTTCCTCATATGATATAGTAAATCATTGGCATTTGCAAGCATGCAAAATAGGTAGATAACTACCCACACCAAATGCCATGTCCATACATATACATAACGCAATGCAAATAATTGCCAACTCTTGTTCAGAATAATTTGATAATTAATACTTTTAATCTGAACCTATCACTCCTCCCTGATCATTTTTTACGATTTCATCAACAAAGAATAAATAAGTAACTAGAACAAACGTCACGTGTTATCAAATCTTTAACTTAACTTGGGCATACGTATAGACAAAAAATACATACTAATTATCCTCTCATCCCTTCCATGCCTCCGTTTCGTGCACATAGTTTGAAAGTGAATTTATGTAAATAAAACTATGCATTTATTTATTTATTTTTCCATTTAACACGAATGGATATTCAGAGGTAATAAAAACAGAAAGATGTTTATATACATATTTACTTTGTAATGGATATTTTAGCACAATTAAATCACCCCAAGCCAAGCCAAGAAGTGGTCCAACGAAGCATAAATACATCTGACCAGTCAAGTGCTCACTAACAAAAGACTTATCCATTGTTGACCACCATAAATAAAACGCACGCCTTGGGAAGGATGCCGACTGACTCCAACTCATCCACCTAACTTTATCAATGTTTCAGTCTGGCTTGTCATCGCGGTAAGGAATGACCACGAAGCAGAGTGAGCTTGGGGTGACCTAACCTAACCTGTTCAATTGGTCAAAATCCAGTTTTTTCTAGAAATTCAGGGAACTATTAATATGGAAATTTGTGTTAAATAAAATGTGAAGGAAGGAACGACGAAGAAGTTGAGTTTTTGTTCCGAGAAAAGAACATCCGTGTGCCGTCATCATCGGGGAGAAGTTAGTTACAAATCTTGTATTTTGGATCTTGGACTGATCCAGTTTGGTTGGACCATAATTCTGCGAATTCTTGGCCAAATTTTCCCAAATGCAGTGGGCTGGGTTGGTGGATACAGAGTGAGGTTAAGAAAACGGGTTCCAGTGCGAGTGGGGTACGTACATAGGTGGTTATCGTATATAGAGGAGTGATCACTTGTGCTTGGGTGACATTCCTCTTGAAAACTCATACATTGTGCATAGCCGATACTTTTTAACGGGAGGAAATGGATCTTCAGCGTGTAAAGGTAATACCAAAAAATTGTAAGATATTTACTGTCTCCAGTGGAATTGGAAATTTTGACAAGTTTTCAAATTTTTTTGTTACTTAAGCATAATTTGATATTCATTTCGGTACCGTTCCATGAAGATTTTGTTTTGAAAAACTTTAGCAGAATAATCTAAAAAATTGCGTCGTTCATAATACCCGTTCAAAATTCGTTGCATTTTTACAAGTTTCAAAATTCGAATAATTTTCAAGTTTTTAAGCCTAGGATGTAGATAACTGACAAATTTATAAACTTTACTCATACAGGGCTTCATTTTTTTCACGAGGCTACACTTTGTCTTTTTTTGGAACTCAGTCAACTGCAGTAAAACATGAAATAGCGAGAATGGTCCAAATACCTAAATAATTTTGTTATAAAATCACACTGCAGAATCACTGACTCACTGACCCAAGAATTAAGTATCATTGAACATTTCAGCAAAGAAATAGATACGTATTGACGGTTTGGCTATATGTTTACAGTCCAAATCGTCATTATTGATCCCAATCTCTCCGCTGATCTGTGTTGCAGTCAAAACCTGTCTTAATTAAACAATTAATAAATATAGGCTTGATTCAGTCTACGGTACCCTTGACTTTTGGCGAGCATTTGTGAATATGTACATCGCGTGGATATCGCGAGTAAGGTCGTTTGAAATTAAAGAACCCACAGGCTCAGTCAGGTGGAAACCGTTTAGCCTTTGAATTCACATTACTCACTCGCAAATTTATAATAACCTTGGTTTAATTGAAGCAGATTGAGTAATAAAAAAATGCTTTTGGTTTAAATTTACAAGTAGGTACGAACATACGTACTTCATCGAAGAGTATACTTTTCGAGGTACATAATATCTTTAAATCCTGCATTTTGCGATGGTTGTCTCGAATATTTATGATTCGTTACAGGTATCACATTAAAAATGTTGAAATTTGCTACATACATCATAATTATTGAAATTAATTTTTAAAGTCGTCAAAATTTAAGTTTGGAACTTAAGTTTCCGGGAACTATACATAAATACTGTATGTACTTTTAGCATGCAAAAACCTGTAAGGAAAATGCACATGTAAATGTTTAGAGTCACGCAAGAGCAGCTAATTATTATAAAAATAGTGAATTTCATCACTTTAGGCATCTCCTTCATGGTTCCTTGATCCAGAATGGGACTTGTTCACTCACTAATACATGACCGGATTCATTCATTTGTAGGATGAAAAATGAGACAAAACTGTTTTTTATTGCAAAAAGGTGTGAAATGAGACTGTGTGATTTTTTGCAAATTAGCAACATTATTTTGCACGTGTGGCATCCGTACATCCAAAAATATACACTTTATAATTAATGAGTATATGCTATGTATAAGTTGCGGTTATCAATAAATTATTGTTTGCTTTTGTTATGTACCTTAAATTTTTAACTGTCACAAAAACCAACAAATCATTTAATTAAGTTAATTATCTACTTAAATTACATTAATTGATATAACTTAGCTGCAATCAATTTAACGAGGATTTAATTTAACTTAAAGATCACGAAATTTAAGCTAATAATTGGTTAAAAGTTTGAAATTATTTCAAAATTGGTCTAATAATTTCCCTTCTTTGTCAATAAATTAAGTGCTTTTAAGCTCATTTTGTTGTAAACTTTGCAATTTAACTTTGCAATTTACAAACTATTCTTACAGATGAAAGGATCCGTCAACGCGAGCCGAGCCGCGGAACCCCCTTCGCTACTAAAAGGTCTGCTAAATTTCGACCGTCACGAACAGCACGAGTGGTTTTTAGAGAACTGGACGATAGCATTTTACTTTGTCGTGGCGTACGTCGTTTTTATCTATATCGGACAAGAATTTATGAAAAACCGGAAACCAATGGACCTTAAGAAACCAATAATTTTGTGGAATACACTCCTCGCCATTTTCTCCATTGCGGCATGCATCCAAATCCTTCCCGAGTTTTATCAGATTCTTCAGGGCGAGAATGGATTTCATAAATCGGTTTGTGCATCCTGGTAAGAATTTACGTATATTTTTGGCATTTAACTTATTTTACATGATAAAATTATATTATTACACTTATTGGAATTATGCATATTTTTTAGTCAGGAAGTCAGTGACCAAGGATTGTACTGGGGGTGGTTATTTACCCTGTCGAAAATTGTCGAATTGGGCGACACCGTATTTCTCATTCTTCGCAAGAGAAAGCTTATCTTCCTCCATTGGTGAGTATACATAACTTTAAAAATGAAAGTGAAATCGATGCCGTGCTGCTAATTGGAAAATTGCTGCACTTAGCTTTAACCCTGATTAAGTAACTTATCACTTCCCAAAATACCATGCAAATATGCATGTTGGCACGTTCAGTTGAATTTAAATGTCTGCCAAAATGGGTCACGCCCTTACAATGTTTACAAATAATATGCACTAATTTTCTCACACGTTTTCTAATATTTTTTTCTTACAGGTACCACCACATCACGGGTATGTGCATCCTTACATAATAAATGCGTGCATAACTGCATATTTATATTTCTCTTCTTATAAATATATACATGTATAATTATGTTATTATTACAGTCTTGTTATACTGCTGGTATGTATATCCTGCCCAAATAAGTACGGCTCGGTGGTTCATCTGCGTCAATTTTTCCATCCATGCAATGATGTACACGTACTATTGTAAGTAAAATAAGCAATTAAGGGTCCCTGTAACCTCCCATTTGTTCTAAGAATTGCCTCTTTTTGTTTGTTACAGTAATTCGCTCCTTGTCCATCAGAATACCAAAGAAGATTGCGATGACCATTACGTCCTTGCAGGTAAAAAAGATGTCATAATTGACGACAGTGGCCGCGGAAGGAGGGACAATGTCCCCACGGTTGTTCGATGTCCCCATCATCTCCCCATGTTATATAAACCCCTCCCTCCCCTATCCCACAATGTTAATGACCCCACAGCTTCCGCGGCCACTTTTATCTCATCACCATTTTATGCATAAAAGTGACCTCAAAAATTTAACACCTGCTTTGTTTACAGCTGAGCCAAATGGTCATCGGCGTCGTCGTCAATGTTTACGCGTACGTCATGAAACTTGGCGGTGTGGATTGCGACGTGTCATTTTATCACCTGAATTTTGGGCTGATTATGTATGCTTCTTACTTTTTCCTCTTTGCACACTTTTTCCACACTGCATACCTTCAAAAGGAGGGGGCCGACAGACTGAGATTGAAGAGGAGTAATAATAATACCACAAATAGTAGTAAAACTAGTAATGAAATTAGCACTAATAATAATAATAGTACGACGATGATTGTAAATTTGAAACAGTGTTCAGATGTTAATGCCAACTTTTTTAGTGAAACGCATCCAACCAAAAGGACGGTGAAAGTAGTTTACTAAAAAATCGGTATGCTTTTTTTGAAGAGCTTTTCAGTAAAATTTTAAATTTGTTACTTCTTATTGATTAGCGTGCAAATCTACATACTTACAATTACAATTATGCAATGTGAGGCATTTAGAGTAAAAAAAGAGAGATAAATTGTTGCAGTGAATGATAAATAATGCAGCATGCCACGCCGTATTGTATACTAATTTGTTTGTTAGCAATTGTTTGCTAGGATTTTTTGGAGACTGTGTACATACATTTGTTTTGTGTAAAATACAATATAAACTAGAAAAACAATGAAAAAGTTCAAAAACTGAGTAATAATAACACGTGTTATAAAATGTAATAAAATACAGATTAACTTGTAATTCGACGGTTTAATCGCAAGTCACAATTCATGTTGAAAAAGTGCATATACATACTTTTCATACCATTTCAGCCAGTTATTACAGGTACAAATGTATCATTCAAAGTTCAGAATGTGCTAAATTTCGAGCAGGTTGCTTAAGTGAAATTCTTGACGACAATCATGGCGCCCATCAGCGCGGCTCGCAGGGCTGCAAAGATCGCACTGATCGCCATCCAGGACAATGCAAATTGAAAAATCCCTGAAGGAACTGCTGTCTGTAGAAGAATTCCGAATGGACCGAGGACAATGAGACCGATGAAGAAGAGGACCACGTTGGTCAAAGTTCGGACCTGAAAATAATAAAAAAACATGTGCATAATGCTGACATCACTCATTTTACGACGGGCTCACAAGATAGATTGAAGTCGGAGGGTCCACACGGTACTCTTTTTGGTCCAAGACGGGAAGAAATAGCAGAGTTAAGCAGACCAAAGCAAAATGCATCATTGGAAACATGACGCCTACAATGTTGACGGCCAGCCACCAAACTACATTGACCGCGAGGGACCCAAGTAGGGTCAATTTGACTTCGTGCATCTGGAAGAGAAAAGTTATCTGGTGTATATATGTAATTTTAGTAAGTGATCATTTCTATATGAAGACATCTCTCTTACAACGGCACGATTGACTTCGGTGCTTTCAGGAAAGTTGTCCATTTTGTAAACAAAAAATCTTTATTGGTGTTTCTTGACTTGAATAAAATTATGATATGCTTTTGGAATTTGAAAAGGACTAAAGAAATTATTCATGTACGTTTACGTAAAGGGGAGTGGTTGCCTTGGAGTTTATTTGAATATTATGAGTACTCATCTCATGGTCACTCTTGCCGTTCTATGTATGACGAATGCAAATCGTATGAATAATTATAGCTGATGATACAAAAGGATTATTTATAAGCAGAAATATTTTACACCATTGGCGTCATTCTGCACCGACTTTCCCATGCAAAACTATTGGTCTCAATTTGACTCAAACTACTGGCACGCTAACTCGAAGTACACCCATCAATTTAATGTCATCATTTTGCATCGATTTAATTTCGAGGATTCAGGAGGTCTCAATTTTAAAATATTTTTATTTTTTAGCCGTAAAAAAACTTGTTATTAATGACTAGCTTAAATATTGAGGGTGCATGAATTAATTAAAAATTTAAAGTGAATACCGAACTACATATTTTAAACTACTAACACACAGTTTAACTTAACGAGCGATTAATTAATTAGTAATCAAAATTAACGTATGCATACATTGTTATTCATATGCTTCCCTGGCTGGATGTACATACTAATATGTATCAAGCAATTTCATGCTATTCATTACTAGCTGGTAGAAGTAGCTTGAAAAATGGATGGTTTGGATGTATGAAAGTACATAGCAAAATACACATAGCAAAATTTAATAGGACACCGATATGTTAAAATAGTCTCAATTGGTGCTGTAACACGTATTTCGGGAGTACACTATACCGCAGTAAGTTGTAATAAATTTATTGATTGGCATAAATATTTCCATTGTTCTGTGAAATACGTAATGTAAAGAAAATTAGACCCATTAACTGCAGTAGTTAATTTAACAAAGACTTAGAAAATTTTGAATGGCACGCGACACTGCTCTTTATTCCGAAAACAATGCGTTATTTTCGTACGTGGAACATTGAGCATTCAAGTGTGAATCTGAATTGAGAGCTCTGGACTTATACTTTTATGCAACGCTAATAAATTTACTGAGAACATCTTTTCAAATTGATTGTAGTTTTTTTCAACCAAAAACGTATATTTTTCCCCAGCATTACTTGATCTTTATTTAGTATTTGATAAAATTGAAATTTTTTTTAGATGAGGCCGGTATGGATTTTCGTAGCAATATTGATCTCCGTTCAGTTAGATTTCATAGTGACAATGGTAAGCATACATGGGCAGTAATAATCTCAAAAGACTTGTCTAACTTTCACGTTTTATAGGAACCTGAACTCCAGAAATTCAGGAATTTGGTGAATAGTTGTACAAAAAAGTGCAAGGAAAAGAAATGCCATCATCCGGGTGGCGTACTTGTTAGCGATCGGGGGTGCGACGGTTACTGTGAGGGCAAAGTGGACAAATATAGAGATGATTGGGAGAAGAACGTCTGCAAGGATTAAAATTGTGAATTAGTTTTGTTAGAAGGGATATTATTTTATTTACGTATATTCCTTTAAATAATATTAAGCAGATTCATATAAACTGACATTTGTGTCGATATGTTCCTCTGACACAACTATTGTTGTTGTTGTTGTTAATCCTTTATTCACGTGTCAACAGAGATCAATTCAACTAATCTGGAACCATGCACATATGTATTTATAAGAGACGAAAATTACGAAATATATGAAGAGTAAATGAAATAAATGTATTGAATACTGAATGCGACCGGGGGATGGAATAAATAATTGGCGAATCTAAGGACAATAATTACTCCTTCATATCCTTGCATTTAGGATTAGTACAAACATATTGTACATAATCTGACCCCTGGTTTAGCTTGCGGCGTATCGAGGCGTCAGCCTAAGAAGAATAGAATAGAATATTGGCTGCTTTCTTTATAAAACTGAAAACAATAGATTAGGTGAATATTCCACCCAGCGACCAATGTTGTCTGCATAAAACGCCACGTCGGTTTAGCGTACAATTCTTTGTCTTCTCAACTTGTATTTACAATAGGTCTCAGTCTCCATCCAAGCCTTTATTACCGCAGGCACGTTGATACCTTTCTGAAAAAATCTTTAATATTTTTTCAATATATTCAAACCCCCAAATTCACAAAAATCTCAACGTCACCACAAAATGCGTTATTTCATTCTTCTGATCCTTATTAGTCCCACCGTCTCCCCGATAAAAAGTTGCGAAAAATCTCCTATTGTCAAACTTTTAAAGAATTGGGAACCCTTAAACGTAATAGCATCGTTCGATGAAGACCTTTACTTTAACCGTTTGGAGTGGAAAGAGAAAGACTGTGACCGATTCCTTATGGATAAATACGAAGATGAACTGATCAATTTGGCCAAGAGTGGACATGAAGTGACTGTTTACATAAATACTACTCGTCATGATAAAAAGCTTCTTCAACAACCTGGCTTGAAAAATTCGGCAGCCATCCTGTACCCCAGACCTTCATCTGTCTATTATGGACTGGATAAATTTATTTGGGATTTTCGTGAACGACTTATAACCAATCGACTGGATCCAACTTACGTCTTCATTTATTTAGAGGAAATTCCAGGTGAATTTCGAGATTTTCTGCGGAATGTCGGAATACATCTTTGGAGCGTGACATCGATAATACTCATCGTAAAAGACAACGAAGTTTTCATGGCATGCTTGGTTTGTGATTTTGAGTATGACAAATTTTTCATCCCTCTTCCATCGTCACTAGGTATTCATCGTTTGCTTAAATTCCCAATACTCGCTCATTTGAATAATAGCTTGCTGAAAAAAGTTTTGCATCGTTGGGGTAATTTTGGTAATTAAAAGCTTTACAAAAGGCGTTAGGACATGGTTTTGACGAATTCATACTTTAATTGCGGGATGGTTTTTAGTCGTAGAGATTTCTAACTTGTTTTATGTGAAAGCCCATGTGTCAAACTATAGGTAAGCATATCTGGCTTCCGATTTTGTGTACTCTGCGAAATGAGGCAAGGTCAAATGTGGAGAGGTGTCCTTTTTTAGTTTTCCAAACCAGTGTTCTTATAAAATGGCGTTGAACTAAATATTTTTTTCTTAGGTCCTGATGCAAAAATCGTCTTTGCGACTATTTTTAAGGGACTTAGCATGCTTTTCACTATATAAAACCACGTTTGCCTTATGCGTATCTTTTAAGTCCGTTTTGCAGTCTAATTTCATACTTGTCTTAATGGAATGCGCTCTTTAACGCAACTCTTCCACTTTTAAGGCCCCCACATTTTACGAATTTGATGCTAAAAATCCCTAACGTGGTTTTTATCCAAGGTACATATAGTATATTGCACTTGAAGTACTTTTGACAAAATTTTGATAAGTGGTTATACCCCACGGACTGAGTTTTCATCAGACCTTATAAAATTTTTGGAAAAGTTCCCGTCGTTTTCGATGTCGAACTTCAGAAATAATTTAACTAACCAAAACGCAATAATTTTATTATTTTGTCACTTGTACCTTGTAGATAAAATAGTTCTGCAGTAGGGGACACAAAAAGATTAGTAAAATTTATTTTCTACAAAATTTGACCATTAATTTTCCAAATAAGTTCACGAGTTTTTTAGGATTCCGCGACAGCTGATTAGCTAGGGTCGTTCTCCAAAACTGTTTACACAAAATCTTCACTGTTTAATTTAATATTATTTGGGACACTTAGAGCTTTGCCCTCAATCTTCATTTGACCTAGTGGGTCCGCGTTCAAGGTCAGCAGGTCAATTTTCCTGTGCACGGTCCAATTTATCAATTTTCATGAAAAAGTATCAGCGACGATGGAGGCCCAACATTATGTAATTCATGTAGATTCTTTTATTATTACATGCAATGATTATCTAGGGTTGTAATATTAACAATCATTCACCTCTGACCTCTTAGGTTATCATGCTATATGAGTAATTCAGTTTGGAAAGTGTTTTTTTGGCTCCTTCCAACTCTGGGGGCACTGGAGGGGACATTTATAAAGCTATCGGCCTAAAATTTTAAATATATCTTTTTGAGAGTATTATCTTACAACTGACCAAAAATCAGTTCAAAATTCAACTCCCCGCCAGAGATATTCACCCGCGAATTCGTCAAAACCATGTCCTAACGCCTTTTGTAATTCCATTTGAGCGAGTCCTCAATGTACTGTGTGCACAATGCTGAAAACTTTAGAATACATAAAGAATGAACTATTTCAGAAGGACGTACAGAGATAGCCCTCTCAACTATGTGGGAAGAAAAGCACCAAAACTTTCAAGGTGACGTTATTAATCCTAGCTTTTGGATACATGACTTGGACAAGCTCGACTCAGACCTTTGCTCCAACATAACTTGGCTTTCAACTGTAAATTTGGACGCGTGGTCTTGGGGGCTGGAAGATAATAAAAATAATCGCGATCTCATGGCCGTGCCACCATATGAGATCTGCATGCATTTTCTTTTTCGAAAACGACACCGTACTTATAACATATGGAAGAAGAAATATGTGAATATAAAAATCATTGCGGAGATAACTTACGATAACGTCGTAGACACCGACTTTGCACAAACACTTGACTTTAAATTCACTGTCCTCCCCCACGGCTCGGTCACTTACAAATACACCGGAAAAGTCTTTTATCCACGCATAAATGAAATTATCGGTCCTGCCGGTATGTTTGCCCCCTTTGACTTGATCACTTGGCTTTGCATCGTTGCTTCCGGTATTTGCTCCACTTTGGTCATGAAATTTCTTATCCAACTTACCCACTTGGATCAATATCTTGGCACGCGAATTCTATTTTTTCACATTTGCTTATTCCTAAACCAAACCGGAGATTCAAGTGTGCGTCGGCTTTTCCGTCCTTTTTGGTCTTTTGCACCTTACATTGCCATGACCTATTTCATCACCTTGTTTCTTAATAATCTTTATGGTGGAGAGTTGTACTCTTCCTTGTCAATTACACCGAATCCTAACAATATTCACGACATGAATGAACTTATTGCTGCCGGAATTCCATTGTTATCCACGGCAGAAGATGGACACGAACTTGAAATAGAACTTCGAGTCCGAGCTGGTTGGCACAATGGCACGGAAAATGCAGCAAAAGCAATCTTAAATCATGTAATCTATCCAAAATTTGAGACTTTTAATTCGTCCACAATTTTCATTACGGGAATTATTAACAATTCCCCTGTTGAGTTAAAGAACGGGACGAATTTCACTGTGCCACCAGTATTCGCAATTATAGGCAGAGAACCAACTGTAAAATATTACACGCGCATTATAAAAGAATTGACAAAAAAGTTGGATTTTGACTTTGACCTGGGATTGGAAATTGTGGCGAAAAAATTCGTTCATATAACGCGCAATTTTGCTGCACCAATTTTGTCGAAAACGATTAGCTATCTGGACCAGTCTGGACTTTTGAATTATTGGAAAAAGAATACGGACAAGTATGAGAACATTGCTAGGTTTCGGGGCTTGGTTAAAGATAAAGATTTCATTAGAAATTATGAAATCCCGATAGACGTGATTAATGCGAATTATAGATTTATTCACACCCCGGATGTAAAGGAGAAGCCGAAACTGGTAGAATTTTCTCCGGTAAAATTGTGGTCACTTTGCTATCCTTTACTCGGCTGTGTAGGCTTTGTCCTTTTGGCATGCATCTTGTTTATTTGGGAATTGAGAGGAGAAGAGCTGAGACAGATTCGAGTTCGTAGGCGTCTCAAGAAATTAGCTCGAAAGGCAGCAAGGGCTGAAGCTAAGGAGGGTAAAAATGACATTGAAATGAAAGAGTTTTACCGTAATAAAGCCCCTCAGACGGAAACTATGAGGATTCAGGAAACGAGGTTTATCAACGTGAAACCGGCGGAGAAAGTAGAGCAGCAGGAAGGCGATGACATGTCAGAGAAAGTGAAAGAAGCTCGTTGGGACGATTTTGAGTTGATTTTGAGCATTGATGAAGGATTTGATGAGAACGTTTTGTCTTGGCTGGCGGACCAGTTTCAATTAATGCGTAGAGAGGACCCTGAAAGGGCGGAGGGCTTGTTGGAGGGTTATCAGAGGGTGGTAATGCAGGGGGAGGCTGAGAGGAGAGAGAGAAAGGAGGTCGACGGGACAGAGGAGACTGAGGAAACAATGGTCATAGATTGGAGACAGAAGAGTGAAAGTAGCAGGGAACTTTCTTCTCCTAAAGCGGGCCTTTCCTCTGGGGTCGAGTACCCCGTGATGGACATGGCTTGGGACATGGCGTCCTCCTCGGAAAGCGAATAAATATTGGAGATGAAGGCAAATAGTAAAAAATTTTCAAGCTTCTTATCTTTGCCTACTTCATGCATATAACTCAATGCAATTTAGGTGAAATTAAGCACCAATATTCATTTATAAATGAATGAATATAACCAGGCGTACAACCTTATAATGCACAGCTTATGTAAATGCTTTATACAGTGTAATTTAAACATGTATATAGTAATGAACCCTGTATAAAATTAATTGTGTTTAGTTTAAACTCTTCAAATATATAAAAATTAATTAGTGTGTTGCATTAACAATGGTGCGTGAAAATAATTCAGTGAATCTCGCTTTTTAAAATAAATAAATGACATTACACAAAAACCAATATGATTGAAATTATTATAATGATTTTGTGTTGTTCAAAACATCAGCTCCTTAATTACCTGCTTATTATGTAGTTCCATCCCGAGTCAATTTGACTTCGTGCACATGGATAATAAAAATTATCCGGTGTATGTCATTTTAATTCGAAATACAGTACAAAACTGGATCTAGATTTTCCCATGTACCCCATGCAAAACTTTTAGTCTCATTTTGACTCAAACTAATTTGCACGTCAACTTCGTCTCATTACAGAAGTAAATGAATAAAAAGAATTTAAGTCCTACTTTTACTATGTACAAAATAAGCGAATTTTATGCACTCATCATTTTGCATTGATTTAATTTCGAGGATTCAGGAGGCCTCGATTGTCGATTACATTTATCTTTTAGCCAAAAACAAGTAATTTATTATTAAGGATTAGTTTGAATATTGAGGGCGCAATGATTTAATTTAATGTTTGAAGTGCGTAAAAACTATTTTAAACTAGTCACACAGTATATCTTGGCGAGCCATTAATTGTAATGGCAATTAACATTGTTCTCTATATGCTTCCCTGGTTGGATGTACATATGTGTACATACATAGTAAAATCTAATAAAATACCGAGCTGTTAAAAATTATAGCTTATGGTTAGTTCCAATTGATGTGGTAAGTCAAATTTCCAGAATACAATATCCGGAAGTTTTAAAAAGCTTATTGATTGACATAAATTTTTCTCATTGTTCTGTCAAATTCGTAATGTATAAGAAAATTATACCCATTAACTACAGTAATTAATGTAACAAAGGCTTGAAAAATGCAAAATGACACGCTAATCTAAATGCGATCACATTGAGCATTGAAGTGTGAATCTAAATTGAGAGCTATGAACTATTTCAACACTTTTATGCAACTCTCGAAAAATTACTGACAACATCTTTTCAAATAAATTGCAGTTTTTTAACCGAAAAGGTATAATTTTCGCCTGCATTACTCGAAATTCAATTTATTTCGAATTTGATAAAATTGAAAATGTTTTTAGATGAGGCCATCATGGATTTTCGTGGCAATATTGATCACCGTTCAGTTAGATTTCATAGTGACAATTGTAAGCATACATATTCAGTAATATATAATCTCAACAAATGTGTCTAACGTTATAGTTTACTTTTTATAGAAGCCTGAAACTCATGAATATATGAATGGAGTGACTAGCTGTACAAAAAGGTGCAAGGAAAATAAATGCCATCATCCCGATGGCCTACTTATAGACGACTCGTGCTATGGCTACTGTGAGTTGTATGTGCAAGATTATAGAAGTGATTGGGAAAAGAAGATCTGCAACGGTTAGAATTGTGAAAAAGTTTGATTACAAGTCTTAAGAACGGGGGGGGGGATTTAAGGAATTAAGCCCATAACATAAGCGAATTTGATTCACCCATAAATTGAGTCTCATAAATTTGCATTGATTTAATTTTGGGGAACCAGGAGGTCTCAATTTCACTTTTATGTATCTTTTAGCAGAAAACACTCTATAAATAAATAAATATATATGTATTAGGTGTGTAATGAGTTAATTAAATGTTTGAAGGGCATTCAGAACTACATATTTTAAATTGTTAACACATTACAGCTCGACTAGCGTTTAATTTTAATGACAGCAAGTTTTGGAGGAGTTTATATTTTCAAATTTTATTATAAATAAAATTAATATACAGTGCAACACGATAGTAATAAAATAAATTTGGTACATTCGAGTATTCTAATTTGTCATTCCTTACTAAGGATTTCCTAAATATTGTAACTCACCTGCACAATGACATTCATACATATTTACATACTTATGAAAAAATAATACTGGTCAGTTTGTGCATTATCATAAATAAATAGTGGTATGAGTATATTCATAAAAGAGCTTCGACAAGGTGGTCAAAAAAACTAGAAACAAAATTTAGTCCCCGTCTCTACTGTGCTCATCTAAAGCGATGCACATTATAACAGCTAGCGCGATATCAACCCCAGCAGCAATTTCGACAATATAGTCGTTCACTCCAAACATTAAGGATCGTCCGGTCAAAGGTCTAAATATTTTGGCGATGGGGATCCCTCCATGTTTCGGTTCCCCCAAATAAATTGCGCAACGTTTCTCCCTCCAGTCTCCCTTCAACGTGACGACACGTGGACGCCCAGTGACGACGTCGTTGAAATGTGACACCAGCTTAGCTTTGAGGAAGGTCAGTCTGCTGTTGAACTTGCAAATTTCTCGGTCTGAACCTTCTCCTGCGTATACTCTGAACTTGTCGGTGAAGGAGATGAGCTGTTCTTTCATGTTCAGAACGGGAACGCCCATGTTGTCCCGTAACACCTTCTTGTCCCTCAGGCTGAATACTTTTCCGTGACACTGGAAGTAGACAATTTCGGCGTTGGAGGCATCCGTAATTTTAAAATCGTCGCCCGAAAAGGACCAGAGTTTTTCCCGAAGGCGGAGCTGGACGGTGTGTGGGAGGCAAAATCGGGGCTCGGTGGCGCAAATGGGATCGTTTGATTGTGGGGTTAAGGGTTGTGAAAATGCGGATTGATCTGCCCCCATTGTGTTATGGATTGATTCTGCAAGTAATTATAAAGTATTGCTGCGTTCTTGATTGTCTGATCTGAGGAAATGTATTGCTTTTGGAATTTTCCAATCAGGAATCATAAATCTTATAACCTAAACTCACCACCGAACAATGTGCAAATAGGAAAAAAGTCGCAAATTCTATGTAGAGTAAACAATGTAAATGATATTTTTTAAAAATGCAAACTACGGAAATCTCGGTTTTGATTTTGACTGGATAAAAGATGTGAGACGAGAAATATGCAAATTTGTTGTATCTTGGCTGCTCAATAGTCAACTACAATATGTGTTTTCACAAGTGCTTTGTTTTTATATATGCATGAAGTTATCGCATGCATGGGAGGATGCATGACTAATAAGTAACACATGAAACACAAGCTGCATGTCTAAATAGGTTTCTATGTATGTAACCATCATCCATCACACAGGTAAACCTAGATTACGTACGTACATTTACAAACTTTTTTGCCAATTGTATGTGCCTATGAAATGATGACGTGTGGGAAATGACGGCTATTTAGTAATGACGTAGTACACGATGAGTCATACTACTAGTGTGCTTTTTAGTACTTTAACCTTAAAATAATTGATGATGTTGTGACGTATGCATGCAGTGCATAATCATATAGATAATTTTCAAGAGTTATGTATGTATATTCCATCGGATGTGCGTACGTACATTAGAGATTCAAGTCTTATTTTAGTGCATAAATTGAAAACAGTGATAAGGGTTGGACTGTTAAAACCTCGGTCATATAAATAAATATATATACACATGAATAAATTATCGATGAATACATTGTTTGCTTAGACTCCAGCAACTGAAATAAACTCACGGAAATAGGGTGCATTAATGATTGGATTGAAATGCAAGGTGCGTCATTTGCTATGAAAATTAGACATTTTTGACGTTTCGGCATTTTCTATGACCTTTGGCTTCGTTTACACGGTGGCCAAGTTAATGGTGATTTCTCAAATCCTTGACCCAAACTATGTCTAAAACCGATCTAGAACGATTACCTTCCTAGCAAGCGTGGCATTATGTATTATAATATGAATCTGACGAAGTCACCAAAATCAAGGAATCGATGTTAGCATAAGCCATGCTGCATTTTATGGCAAAATCTTTAAATCTTAATATTAATGCAAAGTCATATTTTCAGCAGCATGTCCTCGTATAAAATTCACCAATTTGTAATGTATCGGCATCTGTGATTACGTCAATCTCGATTAATACGCCCAGTTCGTGTAGAAAGATTGTTTTATTTTAAAACAAAGAGAAATTAATACTCTGATTATGAAATGAGGTTTAACCTGAACAGGTACATATAGGTTCTGGAATCTGAGTCCTTCCACTATTTTCCTCCTGATATAACTTATCACGTATTAATGACACAAAAATACTGATAAAACTGCTTCACGTGATATAACAAGAATCACATGAGCAGTATTTACCTGACAATATGAGATGAGAAAAAGGTTCACATCACTAAAACAAGATTACACAAGTACACTGAACTTGTCCAGTATGTAATCCTTTTTTATGTGTGTTATGGTGTTTCTCGAGTTCATAAGACAGTTTTTTTAATCGAGTTTTATTAAATCATAAATTGTATGTACGTAAATCAAATATCTGTAAATGGCGTACACCGGGCAAAAACGGGACGAGCCTAACGAATCATCTCCTCTCCGGACGAGCATTTCTGGTCGAACAAATTTTGAAACCGGAGATGGAATTCACCAGCAAGAACATGAAGCAATGTCCTACGCGACATGGTCTGCAAAAACGTGGACCACGTGGAACAAAGCGACTCGTGGTCTTATTCTCGTGTTGGGTGTAACATTAATTATCGTCGTGATTGTGTTAATTTCGTCCGTATCTACCGGAAGTGGTAGTAATAATGGTGATGGTGGTGGTGGGGTTTTAAAGGCCTCTGCAGATGAAGATAATACGACACAACAAGATTTGGGCGTTGTGTTAGAAATTCCACAAGGAAGGTTAAAATGGAATATTTTGCAGAGTAGGCAAGGACGGGATTACTATGCGTTTTATAAGTTGCCATATGCCAAGCCAGCAATTGGCGAACTGCGATTTGAAGTTAGCTCATATAATTAAAGATAATTTACCATTAGGTATTGAGTTTTTATTGCTAATTTAAATTTTAGTCACCTCAGCCCCCCGAGAAATGGGAAGGAGTCCGACATGAAACTGAAGTTGCGCCACAGTGCTTGCAAAAAGCAAAATATTCCCCAATCATTGAAGCCGTCGGGGAAGAAGATTGTCTTTATGCAAATATTTACACGCCAAAGGTATCCAATTTGTATTATTTTTTCATAAGTTGTAAGAAATGTGTAACAAAATATGTACATTACAGCTCCCCGGAATTGACATGCCGTCAGACGCAGGGTTGATGCCTACTTTATTTTACATTCATGGCGGAGGTATTTCTTTGTGGAGAAGGGGGGTGAAAGTTGGATTTAAATAAAATCATAAAGTTGATAATATTGCTTGGTAGGATATACTGATGGGAATGGGAGCAGATACGGAGGCAAGTATTTCATGGATGAAGACGCTGTAATGGTCACTTTCCAATATCGGTTAGTAAAAATGATATAATAGTCAAATATATGTTGAAAAATAAAAAATAAATTTAATTTATATAACTTTTCAGGCTCGGAATTTTTGGATTTCTTAGTTCCGAAGATGGAACAATTCGAGGAAATATGGGAATGAGAGATCACATTCAAGCACTTAAATGGGTAACCAAACTTAACGAAAATATATTGTATAAAAATTTGAACTAGAGAATTGTTATAAATCTGTTAAAATCCAGGTTAAAGAAAACATAAAATATTTTGGAGGTGACCCTGACCGCGTCATGATTTATGGAAATTCTGCAGGAGCAATGTCTGTAAATCAGTTAATGGTTTCTCCCCTGGCTGCAGGTAATGAATGAACCAATTAGAAATAATTACATGATAAATTAATTACTTAATTCCTAAAATTAATTTCTCCTCTTTAGGCTTATTTCACCGCGCAATAACCCAAAGTGGTCCCGCATTCGGAGCCATCGTAAAACCTAAAGAAGCTCAAAAACGGTCATTTGAACTATTAGCCGAAGAGATTGGATGTTCGGCAAGAGTTGGGAACGAGCAGCGCAAAAACCGACGAATTCTAAAATGTCTTCGTGAACAGAATGCCAGTGATATTGCTGTCCTTCGTGGCGAAGAGATCATTTTTTTCCCCACAGTAGAAGACTATGAGGCCGAAGCTGAACAAGAATCCGATAAGTTCTTACCTGATACGATGTACAATTTGTATAAAACCGGAAACGTGAACAAAGTTCCGTGGATTATTGGTGTAAACAGTGCGGAATGGATTTCCATTGCTTCAAGTTAGTAATAAATGAGGTACAATTCATTAATATTTTGTTGATGAATTTTCCAAATAATATTTCAGGTACGCTGAAAGACCTTGAACTGGTTGATAATCTGAACAGTAACTGGACCGGGTATGCCCCCACACTGTTTGGATCTGAGTATTATACTTCTCCAATAAAAGACACCATCTCAACAAAATCAAAAGAATTTTATTTCGGAGAAAAGCAAGTTTCAAATGACACTTTGTGGAATCTCGAGCATCTTTTGTCAGATAGAGATATAATTTATGGCTCAAAGACGCAAGGTTTTCTAATGAGTGACCTTGGAGTTGATGTGTTCTTCTATTATATGAGCAAACGACCAGTAAAGAGTTATTCGGATAAGGCACTAGTGGGCTTCCCCCCAATGGACTATGGTGAGATAACAGATTTTGACGGAAAATTTGCATAAATAAGTCAATAAACCCTTACAAACGAATATAAAAAAGTAGCGTCAGAATGATCGAAATGTCCTTTAAAATTACATCATCTTTGACAATTCTGTATTTTTGACTCTTGACCTCGTCCTCAAGATCATGAGGTCAAAAATATTAATGTCCTTGAAATCGCAGTAAAATGTCTTTCAAAATGACACCCCATATGACAATTATGCATTTTTTGACCTTTGACCTCGTCCACAAGGTCATGAGGTCAAAAATATTAATGTCCTTGAAATCGCAGTAAAATTTCCTACAAAATGACACCCCATATGACAATTATGAATCTTTTGCCCTTTGACCTCGTCCACAAGGTCATAAGGTCAAAAATATTAACGTCTTCGAATTCGCAGTGGAATTTCCTTTAAAATGATACCCCATATGAAAATTATGTGTTTTCTGACCTCTGACCTCGTCGTCAAGGTCATCAGGTCAAAAATATTGATGTCGTTGAATTCGTGGCGAAATTTCCTTGAAAATGATACCCCATGTGAAAATTAACGTGAACTTAATTTTGAGCCACACCCCCTGGTGCTGTGGGGGGTGGTCCGATTGACCCCATTTTCGAACTCGACCGAGAACTAAAAATTAGAAGCACAATGGCGAAAACGGGGTTTGATTATGTTGACTCGTTCTGGAGATATCCTGCTTACGGACAGACGGACGGACGGACAAAACGATCACAATAAGTAGCTGACGCTACTTAATAATTATCAATTTTCTTACAGGAGCATCACATGCAGACGAGCTCCAGTACTTGTTTGACTATTACGGCTACCCAGAATACCTTGAGGGATCGAAATATTACGAATTTTCGAAAGAACTCGTCAGAATTTGGGTGCAGTTTGCAGCAACAGCGTATGCAAATATTTAGTTTTTATTTGGTTTGGTGTCCTCATTAAAAATCGTGTTTTTTATTCTAGAAAACCTGGCTGGGAATCCATAAAGACGAAGGAGAAGCCAATTTACTGGTATGAATTGAATGATAACCACATGGGTTCCACCACCGTGCTGCAAGAACGTATGGAATTTTGGGACCAGTTTAGTCACGAAGAGTTGTGTTATGTTTAGGAACATTTTAATAAAGAACGTATCAGTATTTTATAACAATGCAAAACAGTCATTATTACTTTGAATTATTAAAAGGTTTTATTTTTGGACGCAATAAATATACCAGGGTTTTATTAAACATTTTTGTAAAATTCTTGTAAAGGTACTGTAAATTCATCGACTTTTTGGGTGTGACACGAATTTACAATTCATCCCTCTTCTTCTTTTGTGCCTTTAACTTCTTGCTAACTTTATCCCACATATTCATCCTCTCGTAAAATGGATCTTCAATAATTTTTGGGACCCGTTTAGCCAAAAGCCACTTGAGTTTTCCCTTCTTGATTTCATCTTTACTCACAGGAGCCCATCCTTCCACTTGCTGGTTAATATTTGGATTCCTAAAATATTATTGCAGATTTGATTTGATTATTTGCAGTGAAGTTAACGCCAAATTAAATCGTAGCATGCATTAATTTTCATGCTCACTCACCCCTGCGTGGCCATTGTGACCCAGGCCTTAACAAAATATTTTGATGTCGTTTCAGGAAAAGATTTCGGTACAAATTTAGGGTACAACTCATAATTGAAGAGAAATGGCAGGTCGTCTGCGTGGGTCATTCCTACACAAAATATCATCACCAAATTTGGCGTTAAAATTAAGTGATGTTTCATCATTGCATTGTCTCACCTAGTGGCTTTTCATAACCAAATCGCATCAGTTGTGACCATTCGTACCCCTCAAACCCCAGAATGATTGGGTAAACTGGTGCATGCTTGGCATGGAGTAGGATAGTATTTCGAATTTCGTGAATGAAAAAGCTATCGGAGTAAAGGTTTGTTAAATTGTCAAACGTTTCTTGCGATATTTTCTTATCGCCGAAATAAAACTTGTAAATTCTTTTGGAAATGATATCTTTAGCGTCTTTAGAAACGTTGGGGTCATCGTATAGGAAATATGAGGGTGCGTGCTCCATCCATTCGTCGTTGACTTCAGCAAGCAATTTTTCATCTTTCATGATCACTGCAATTGCAAGGGTTGCATTTAAATTTACAGAAAATATTAATTCACTTATCATTACTAAAAAATCAATTACGCCCAGAATTGATGAGGAGTCCTTCCTTTTCACAAATGGTCATAACCAGTGGCACCTTGTTGAATCGTCCCGTCTTATAAAGCACTTCCGGATGCTCGGTAATAACAGCGTGCGGACTTGGTAGTTCTACGACAGGTGCGAATTTTACCAAATTTTCTAGTGGATTCTCCTGCATATGTAAATGTGATCATTAACCATGTATGCAAATACTCGTTGCAAATAAAATACTACTAAATTTTTCTACTGTGCTCTTACAACTATTGAATGTTTCAATATTTCATTGATAGATTTAGATTTTAAACATTTTTTCAACCCAGCAGAGTCGGTAGTTGGACAATTCAACTTCTTGGCAAGGTCAAAAGCCGGTATTTTAGGATCTGGACTCAACGCCCAGGCATTTAGTGATGATCCGCTGTGACAAATCGCGCTTTGAAATAGGTCTGAAAAATGTGATGCGATGCAATAAATTTGTTTTTAATCTAGGAAATAATTAATGTGCAACAAATTCATGTACATACCTGCAGACCCAGGAGAAAGAATGTGGTAATTTACACTTGCTGAACCCGCAGACTCGCCAAATAAAGTTACACGTTTGGGATCGCCTCCAAATGACTTGATATTCTGTTGAATAAATTGTAAAGCTAAACGTTGATCTTTTAATCCCAGATTTCCTGGCAGGGCTCTGTCTCCGGTGCTCAAAAATCCTGGAAAAATCAAAACAAATCAATTCTTAAACGTCTTGAAGATAGGTCCGTTAAAAAAAGTAGTTTGCAATATTTATATTAACCTAAGGCGGATAATCTATAGTTTATCGTTACAAAGACAACTTCTTCATCCATGAAATAGTCTGCTCCGTTTTCATTAGAATTTCCAAAGAAGAATCTGAAAGGAATTAGGCGAGCTACATTTAATCGAAATTGACAAAGAAAAATGCAAGCAAATAAGTAATTCGTGTACTGCTCACCCTCCTCCGTGGATGAATACCATCACAGGATAATTTGCATGCACCTGATCAAGAATAAATAACGTGTTATCATCAGTAATAACTGTTTTTATGTGAGAAACCTAAATTTATATCGTCAAATTACGTTTGGTGTAAAGATGTTAACAAATAAACATTCTTCATCGCCTTCAAATTTGTTCCTGAATAAGTTCCATTGAGGGCACACAGATCCAAATTTTGTGGCGTCCTTAATTCCATCCCAACTGGACACTGGTTCTGCTAACTGTGTAAATAATTTAGACCAAAATTAGTGAATACATAGATTCTTAAATATGTATTTAGTCACCTCAAATTTTTCCTGTTTGTTGGCATACGGAATTCCCATAAATGCAGAATACGTTTTCCCATCTCTGGATTTTAAATGTACTCCTTCAACTTCTCCTTGAGCTATCTTTACCAATGGCGAATCTGATGCTTCAGTCGCCACAAAGAAATGTAGAAGCAAAACCAAAGAAATTCTGAAAATTATTTCCATCCTAGTCACTTTTTGAGATGGGTATGTAAAGTTCACAGGTCCAATTAACTCTGACTGACGCTTACTGCACAGGTGCTAAATAAGAGGAAAATCTATTCGGGCCCGTCATGTAAACCTGATTTTGTATCTTATCACATTACGGATAAGCATACGCTGCGTGCATGTATTTGTTGACTGAAAAGGTTGATGTACTGCTGTTCATATGTATAGAAGTATTGGTAAGTTCTCGAAGCTTATTAAGTATTGATTACAAGTAGTTAATTCTAAGTATCAGTTTGTTAAATAAATATATAGAAAAATGAGTGAGGGTGAATATGTATATACTCGTAAAGTTGGTTTCTGTAGTCTTGTGATGCATGATGCATAAATAATACTGAATGTAGTGGTGATTTGATTTAACACATATTTTCTTTTTTATATTCTGAAATAAGAGTATAAGAGTAATCTGATCTGAGATGACAAAAGTTGCTAAATAAGAGTTATATAAATTAAATATATTATGCATCAATTAATTGTATGATTATCAAAAAATAGTCAATACTCAGTCAGTTAATAATCAATTAGTTTCAAAATTGTCACACTTCCATTATTTCCATCGAAAGCCAATTTTTACCGCACCCATTTCCAAATTGTTGGAAATTGGTACTGTAACGACAACATCATAATCCTCGATCCGATCGGTAGCCGGACGCCACTCAGTATGTGGCATCCCCCTTAAGTCCTCGTCAATCATTTGCTTTACTTTTTGTTTCACACTAGCCAACGTAACGTCCTTATTATTCGCAATGAGTGCTGCACTTCCAGCGTTCACCGCAGATGAAAGAAAAATTTTTACTGCATTGATGAAGCCTTTCATTTCCAGGTTCTTCATTATGTTTTCGTTGTTGACTTTCACATCCGGGTTGTAGCTACGGAAAGATGCGTTTTCTCCCATAATCATTTCTGGATATCCCATGTCGCTGAAACAAGTCTGATAAAGAGAAGTAGGCAACGGTCGAAACAGGTTGAAGACCGATTCAACAGTAACTTGGAAGGTTCTCATTGCGTGAGAAATCCGAAGTCTGGAAATCTTTGCAAATTCTTTGAGATTTTTGACTTCTTTTTCACGATGAAACATTTGCCTTGCCAAGTTGTTGTACGGATTTGAAGGTTCCATAATGTAGTTCTCGGTGGGCTTTCCAGCTGTTACAGCATGTCAAGATTATAATGATATTGTAAACATTACAGTACTCAAATATTGTTACCCTTAGGATTTTCCAATGTCCATCGCCCATTGTTATTCGAAAATTTGAGACGAAGCTTATCAATCTGAGCAACATTGTCCAAGAACGTGGCAAATGTTTGGAGCAGTGACTTTTTGTCCCGGTCTTCTTCCTTCATGGCGGCTGCAACAGCAATCAGCTCCAGCATGGTCTTGACACCATAAATTGGTCGCTCACCGAGATAAAGAGTTTTAAACCAAAACTTCGCAAGACGTACAACCTACACAAATGTATAGTAAATTGAAATACCAATTTATTCGTACTCCTAACTCACTAATTCATTTCAATATACTTACATCATGGGTAAAAGCAGTCTGTTCTTTCATAAAGTAAACTTGGGACTCTGCCAAACTGGAGCTGTAGAAGTGAGAGTTTGACTTATCCATTTTGCTTAGGACAGCGTCCGATTGTTTCTTAGCCAGAAGTGGACCCTCAGGTTTTATTCCGTGAACAAAGTTAGTAGCAGGAAGCAGATCCATCTCAATCCCTTCTTCAAATGTGAACTGTAGGGAGATTTTTGTCGTCTTAATTCCATCCATGGTCATCTTAAGACCCTCGCTGAGTATCAAAATATCCTCCCACTCGTCGAAAACTTTCTCGAATGGAGGCATTTCATTATTTTGAAATACGACAAGATCCAAGTCAGGGACCAAAATACTCGTTGATTTCCTAACACTTCCAGAATAAATAACCCGATCAACTCCATAAGTACTTTTGAGCTGTAAGGCTTTGCGAACCTGGAATTATTAAGAATGTTTGTGAAACATGTAGCAGACTTAATTAAAAGACATCACAAATGGTTTTATCTTAAAAATTAGTATTGATTTTTAATTGCCTCACCTTTTCAGCAGACGTTTTGAGCTTATCCATGTATTCCTCTGAAGGGATTAAAGAATGCGTGAACCTTGTCATGCTCTGATCCATGAGATCGTTAGCTGGGTCGACCATTTTAAGAAATTATTAGTTGCAGACTTTTATTATAAAGGCAAACAAATCAAATAACAATTTGACAATGGAAGAAGAGAACTGAACTGACTGCCTCGGCCTCACGTGCGTGCCTACTGCGTAGCGTACGACCAAGAAATATTCGCCCGCCTAATGATTTATTATTACGCGGGCGTATTTTTGCATGCATGGTTTGGATGCATCAATAATGCAGCATCATAAAAAGTTAAAATATAAAATAAAAATTTATAAAATTTCTGGGAGGTCAAAAGCATAAGATAACTATCCTACTATTACTATTGATTAGGAAATAATTAAGCGTGACGGAATTTCTGCCCGACAAAAACACGTGCCCACTTGATTAACGTTGCGAACGGGCTGAAATTCAAATCAAATCCATCACGTTTACTTATTTCCCAATCAATAGGTCAAAAGAGTTGTCCGGTTTGATCATTAGAAGGGCGACATATAATTTGGTAGTAACGAATTTCGCAAATAAAAGTATGGGAGACGTTCATAAAAATACGTAAGGCAAAGTTAGTTTTTTTTACCCCTCCCTCCCCCTTAAAATGGGTTACACCCCCTTTTTAACTGGTGGCCACAAGTTGATCTGTACTGCAATAGCCCTCCCCTCCACTGTGTTACATATTTTATGAACGTTTCAAAGTGTTCGATAGAAATTCCCATGAAGAATATTGAAACAAAATGTTTCATCTTCATCTTGACTTCGGTGTCAAATGCAGGGTTCAGCATATGTATCAGTGTAATCGTCGTTAAAATCATGCATTATATGAAACCGATCAACGCTTTGCGCCATTCTTTAGCATTGTCAAGATAATCACATCACAACTCCAATCAAACTAGTTGACAGTTGATGACTGACGTCTCAAGTCTCAAAATAAATTTCTCTCTTTAATATTTATATATGGAATAATCTGATAACCTAATCCGAAAGAAATACATAATGCTAAATAGAGTTATATTTAAATATAAATATACATTATTTAATTGTATGAAATTATTATTAAAAATAGACAACAACCAGTCAGTTTAATAATCAATAATCAATTACATAGTTATTTTTTTAAAAACACCAAGTCACACTTCACACAACATCTTGCTCATCTTACTTCCATCGAAAGCCAATTTTTACCCCACCCATTTCCAAATTGTTGGAAATTGGTACTGTAAAGACAACATCATAATCCTCGAACCGATCGGTAGCCGGAGACCACGCAGTATGTGACGTCCCCTTTAAGTCCTCGTCAATCATTTGCTCTACTTTTTGTTTCACATCAGCCAACGTAACTTCCTTATTATTTGCAATCAGTGCTGCACTTCCAGCGTTCACGGCAGATGAGAGAAAGATTTTTACTGCATCGAGAAATTCTTTCCTTCCAGGTTTCTTCATTATATTTTCATTCTGGACTTTCATATCCGGATTGTACCTCCGGAAGGATGCATCTCCTCCCAAAATCATTTCTGGACTGTCCATGTCGCTAAAACAGATCCGATAAAGAGAAGTTGGCAACGGTCGAAACAGGTTGAACACTGAGTCAACAGAAACTTGATTGGTTCTCATAGCGTGAGAAATCCGAAGTCTGGAAATCTTGGCAAACTCTTTGAGATTTTTGACTTCTTTGTCACGGTGAATCATTTCCTTTGCCAAATTGTTGTACGGATTTGAAGGTTCGATAATGTAATTATCGGTGGGTAATCCAGCTGTTACAGCATTTCAAGATTATCATAATATTGCAAGCATTACAGTAATCATATACTTACCTCTGTATGTATTGTTATCCCGAGTATTTTCCAATTCCCATCGTCCATTGTTATTCGAAAACTTGAGACGAAGCTTATCAATCCGAACAACATTGTCCAAGAACGTGGCAAATGTTCGGAGCAGTGACTTTTTGTCCCGGTCTTCTTCCTTCATGGAAGCTGCAACAGCAATCAGCTCCAGAATGGTCTTGACACCATAAATTGGTCGCTCACCGAGATAAAGGCTTTTAAACCAAAATTTTGCAAGACGTACAACCTACGATAATGTAAAAAATTGACATACTAATTTATTTGTAATCCTAACGAACGAATTCGTTTGAATATACTTATTACATCATGGGTAAAAGAAGTCTGTTCTTTCATAAAGTAAACTTGGGACTCTGACAAACTCGAGCTGTACAAGTGAGACATTGACTTGTCCATTTCATTCAGGACAGCGTCAGATTGTTTCTTAGCCAAAAGTGGACCCTCAGGTTTTATTCCGTGAACAAAGTTAGTAGCAGGAAGCAAATCCATCTCAATCCCTTCTTCAAATGTGAACTGCAGGGAGATATTTGTCTTTTTTATTCCATCCTTGGTCAGCTTTATCCCCTCGCTGAGGTTAAAATATCCTCCCACTCGTCCAAAACTTTCTCAAATGGGGGCATTTCATTATTTTGAAATACGACAAGGTCCATGTCCGGGGCTAAAATACCCGTTGATTTCCCTACGCTTCCAGCATAAATAACCCGATCAACGCCGTAACGACTTTTCAGCTGTAAAAGTTTCCGAACCTAAAATTGTGAAATATGTAACAGATTTATTTAAAGACGTCGCAAATGGTTCTATTTTTGGTATATTTCTAATTATTTATTTATACTGAATTACATGTTTTTAAATTGTTTCACCTTTTCAGCAGCCGTTTTGAGCTTTTCCATGTATTCATCTGAAGGAATTAAAGAATGCGTGAACCTTGTCATGCTTTGATCCATGAGATCGTTAGCTGGGTCACCCATTTTAAGAAATTATTAATTGGAGATTTTTATTTGAAAGTAAAGCAAATAACGGTTGACAATGCAGGAAGAGTTTTGACTGATCCGTAAACGCCTCGTACGACCAACTTATATAATTTAGCAGAAACGAATCTCGTAAATTGTATAATACATGGTTTATATGTAGCTCAAAGTTTATGTGTTGGATAGAACTACAATGAGGAATATAGAAACAAAACGTTTCATCTTGATTTCAGTTTCATAATATTACCCAGGGTTCAGGATATCAGCGTGATCGTTGACAATCGTATCGCTACATTAGTTGTTTAAATACATTCATGTTTTAAAAGGTTGGTTGGTACATTACTTAGCTGGAATATAGATCCATCAAAAAATTATTGAACCCGAAACATGCAGTAATCCGGTATGCAAAATGATACGATATCATATGATTAATCATGATAAGTCAAGCTTCTAAATTAGGTATTCTTTTATCAGTTTAAAAACAACGTTGCTGATGAATATCAAAATACGACGTTTTCTAAATGCTGAAATCTTAGGTAATTTTCCTGTGTTATTAATACGTTATTATTCGAAGATGGATATGCCTAAAGTTGCGAGGAGTTCTATAGTCTTGAGTTAGTTGCATAAATGTTTATGTTAATAAAAACCTAATTTAGAAAAAAAAGTTGCATAAATAAATGCATGAATAAAGGAATGTAGTGGCGATTTTATTTAATTTAATACATACATACATATTTTCTTTAATATTTATATTCTGAAATAATCTGAAGAGTATAAGAGTAATTAATCTAATCTGAAGATAAAATTTGCCACATATAGAGTTACATAATTAAATATATGTATAATTTAATTGCTTAAATATTTAAGAAGGAAATAATCAATTAGTCATCAAAATTGTCTCAATTACCTCCATCGAAAGCCAATTTTTACCGCACCCTTTTCCAAATTAGTGGAAATTGGTACTGTAAAGACAATATCAAAATCCTCGACCCGATTAGTAGTCGGAAGCCACTCAGTAATATTATGTGGCGTCCCCTTTAAGTCCTCATCAATCATTCGCCTTAGTTTTTGTCTCACTTCAGTCAGCGTAACTTCCTTATTATTTGCAACGAGTGCTGCGTTTCCAGCATTTACTGTACATGAAAGAAAGATTTTTACTGCATTGACCATGAGCAACTCTTTCATTCCAGGGTTCTTGATTATATTTTCGTTGTAGATTTTCATATCCGGGTTGTAACCACGGAAGGATGGATCTTCTCCTACAATGATGTCTGCGCGGCCAATGTCGCTAAAAAAGGTCGGATAAAGAGAGGTCGGTAACGGTCGAAACAGGTTGAACACTGATTCAACTGAAACTTTGTGGGTTTTCATGGCGTCAGAAATCCGAAGTCTGGAAATTTTTGCAAATTCTTTGAGATTGTTGACTTCTTTGTCACGATTAATCATTTGTTTTGCCAAGTTGTTGTACGGATTTGAAGGTTCTATGATGTAATTCTCGAAGGGTACTTTACCTCCAGTATTTTCCAATTCCCATTTTCCATTGCTATTCGAAAACTTGAGACGAAGCTTATCAACCTGAGCAACATTGTCCAAGAACTTGGCAAATGTTCGGAGCAGTGACTTTTTGTCCCGGTCTTCTTCCTTCATGGCGGCTGCAATAGCAATCAGCTCCAAAATGGTCTTGACACCATAAATTGGTCGCTCACCAAGGTAAAGGCTTTTATACCAAAACTTTGCAAGACGTACGGCCTACAAAAATGTATAAAAACTAGAAATACCAATTTTTACTAATTTGTTTCAATGCTTACATCATGGGTAAAAGAAGTTTGTTCTTTCATAAAGTAAACCTGGGACTCTGACAAACTTGAGCTGTAGAAATGAGAGTTTGACTTGTCCATTTTGCTCAGGACAGCGTCAGATTGTTTCTTAGCCAAAAGTGGACCCTCAGGTTTTATTCCGTGAACAAAGTTAGTAGCAGGAAGCAGATCCATCTCAATCCCTTCTTCAAATGTGAACTGCAGGGAGATACTTGTCTTTTTAATTCCATCCTTGGTCAGGTTTATCCCTTCATTCATGATTAAAATATCCTCCCACTCATCGAAAACTTTCTCAAAAGGAGGCATTTCACTATTTTGAAATACGACAAGGTCCATGTCAGGGGCTAAAATACCCGTTGATTTCCCAACACTTCCAGAATAAATAACCCGGTCAATTTCATAAGGGCTTTTCAGCTGTAAGGCTTTCCGAACCTGAAATTATTAAGCATGTTTGTGAAACATGTAACAGATTTGATTAACAGACATCGCAAATGGTTTTATTGTTGTAATTATTATTTATTTTTAATTGTCTCACCTTTTCAGCAGATGCTTTGAGATTTTCCATGTACTCGTCTGAAGGAATTACAGAATGCGTGAACCTTGTCATGGTCTGATCCATGGCTTCGCTGGCTGGATCGACCATTTTAAGAAATTATTAATTGGAGACTTTTATTTTAAAGTAAATCAAATAACGGTTTGACAATGCAAGAAGAGTATTGACTGATCCGTAAACGCCTCGTATGTACGACTAACTGATATAATTTAGCAGAAACAAATCTCACAAATTGTATAATACGTGGTTTATGTTGCTTAAGAAGTACTTACAATGAGGAATATAGAAACAAAACGTTTCAACTTGATTTCAGTTTCATAATGTTACCCATGGTTCAGCATAGCAGTTTGACAACAAAAGTACTGCCTGAAAATTCCTCACGTGCATACTGCGTACTGTTGTGAGGACGGGTCATGGTATGCCGGGATCCATCCTCCGAAAATATCCGAAATACGGAGAGAGAGAAGGGAGCAAGGTCAGTCGTACATACGTATAACAAGGAGTAGAGTAATAAGAACAGAGGTTGAAAACTGCAGTGGTAGCATAGAAATAAAGAACACTGGTGCAAAAACTTGGTCTTTGTGACTAATCCTAAGGTGAACTTATTAATAATAAGTTATTAGTCCGCACCCTTCAATTTTACGCAATAGTACGACAAACTATTATTCTCCTGCTTAATGATAAAACAGGGAAATTCTTTTGTCAACCTCCGGAAATTTTACACATGGACGCGTCCAAGCCCCAAGCCATGCACACAATTTTCGGGAGGTTGGCAAGAGATTGGCGGACGACATGTAATTTTCCAGAAACCAATCTCACGAGTAAAAGTTTTGTCGTAAAATACGTAAGGCAAAATTAGTTTTTTCCCCCTCCCTCCCCCTTGTAATGGGTCTCACCTCATTTTTAACTGGTGGTGCAAGTTGACCTGTAATGCAACAGCCCTACCCCTCCACCGTCTACTTACCTATTTTAAGAACATTCCCTTATATGGCTCAAAGTTTCCAGAAATTCTCATGCAGAATGTAGAAAAAAACGGTTCATCTTAAACTCAGTTTTAAATGCATGGTTCAGCATATGATTAAATATGTGTAATACTGCATTATATGAAGTATGATCAGCACTTTTTATAAAACTTTATATATATTTCTTCAGCATTTTCCAGATAATCACAACTGCAATCAAACTAGTTTGACTGATGTCTCAACATCTCAAACTCTGATAACTTTGCCAGTAACATTAACGTATGACATGACCCACAGCAGGTATCGAATCCCAACCCAGTCGTAAAAACGAGTAGTAAAATACAATAAAATAAAAATCATGTCATTCATAAATTTACGACTTATAAATATAAAAAGCTTGACAGTCGTAACGTTATTCCTTCACATGAATTTGAAGGATATCTATTTCTGTTCAATATTATACTATTCCTAATAAAAAACTGGGCGTATACAATGATTCGTTTGGGGTACAAGAGCAAATTGCTACATAGAACGGTAGCTGACCCAAAGTCGTGCTTGCATGGTCAATAATTAATTATATACGTATTTACATATACGATATGTCCTTACAATTGAAATGTTAACCCTAAAAAAAAAAATGCTTCCATCCAATTCTAATTTCTTCGTCTTCTCCAAAAACCAATGACGCCGCAGAATGAAATGTACAGAGCGTGAATCAAGATACAAAACTCACTTTTGTTTTTGAGATAACAAGTGTTAGAGACATCTGGGATTACTGAAATTTGTATGTACCGTACCCAGATAGTCAGGGAACAGTTTGCAAAATAACTCTTAGTTCTGTGCATCAACATGCCCCCACTCCCCCCCCCCCACGGAGTGCGAGGTAGCCGTAAAAGAGTTTTCCAATGATGAATTGTACCATAAAAAATTGTTAAGAAACTGGCGACAATTGAATTCAATGCCAGTTGAAGCCATAGGTCCAGTGTATTAAATGACACTAGCATAAAGAAGCAGGGATCATTGGCTGGAGTTCCACCTCCACCAAAGTGGCGTCCAAGATCAGCTAGGATCGAGGATGTGTTGTACTATATCGCAAATTTCATCAATAAGGAAAATCCGTCATGACAGAAAAGTATCCAAAATGTTGGGGATGAGTCAGGCAATAGTTTTTAGGGTCAGTGACTCTGACCTAAATAGATTAAAGCGGAGGAGGACCATGTGTACGCCCCCACGCAGTCTTACATCATGTTTTTCAAAGCAACTTCGCGATAACTGAATGAAAACTTAATTTCCAGAAATAAATTTTGTACTGAAATTACTCTTGACGAGTCGCATGACATTATTCAGATAGATTATTTTTGATTTTGGTACTTTAAGCAGAGATTTTCAAGCGGACTGCTCGGGCGCTGAGTGGGTTTTGGAAAACTTTTCAAAACGAGTGGAACAAAATCACTCCAAAAAAGTGTCAAAGGTGATAATAGCGTGGAAAAAGCGACTGCACCTCGTTAGACAAACTAATGGGCTACACATTGAAGCAATTTACAAAATTCACAAACGAAAAATGAAGCTGTAGAAAAATAAACTAAAGTGAGTTTTGTATCTTGATTCACCCTCTGTAGTGTGGTTGATATTGCTCTAGATTATTGGTCATGATCATATCACATATCTTTAAACTTTGTTGGCGTTACGCTTACATAATAATTATGACAAATCAACGCCCTTTCTTGGCATGTGTGCATGAACTCAGGGTGCATCAAGCCAAGCAAACTTATCAAAGATATCCTCCTACAACAACAATTGTGTCGTATAACATTTAATTAGTCCACAAGAATCATGCATATCAACAGTGGCCGCGGAAGCGTGGGGACAGAGGGACAATGTCCCTACGGTTATTTGATGTCCGCATCATCTCCCCATGTTATACAAACCCCTCCCTCCCCTATCCTACAATGTTAATGTCCCCACAGCTTCCGCGGCCACTGCACACCAGTCATTAAATCCGTACATAAATGTAGTTAGGTTAGCAATCAAAAGTTTGACTATTAATATATTACATGGTTGGTACAGGTTTTTAACTCAACATAAGAGTCAATCACCGCATAAATACTACGAAAACAAAGAAATAGAGTGGATTGGATAGTTAGCGTGTCTTTAATTATTCACTCGTTATTCGTATCGTAAATAAATAGTTCTGGATTAATTTATTCGCTTCTCTCTTTATCTCACGGAATAATCAAGACGTTCATCACATCACGATGCAGTTAGCTCTAGTTATTTCACGCTAATAAATTGATTGACTCAATAAAATTCAGTTGTTAATGTCGTTGTTCACTTGACTCAATATTGATTGGTTTGTCTCATGTGTATCATTGCTTGGATCGCGTCATTACTTAATTGGCATGATTATATGGAGTAGTAGTGCCACACTAAATTTGATCAACTTGTCATTACCACCGTAATAAAATACATGCATAACAATCACCAATATCTTATTGGCAAAAGTATGTACGCGTATGAATAATTCCAAATTAAAAGATTCAATTCGGAATAGCGATGGGATGAATGAATGTCAATGTTATCCACTTTAAGACACCACAAGCCACACACACCTGCCTGTTGTCTTTGCCAATCTAGATAAGCAGTGATACTCACAGGAGTGCATATGGCTTTCTTTATGAATTAAAATTATTAGCATGATTGCGGCTGAAATGGTTCACAACAACAAGAATATTTACTTTCACGCTACATATGTATGCACATATATGTCGAGACCTATAAATACTTTGACTGACCAAGGTGCCAGCATTAGTCAGCAACTGTTCGCAAAGCAGTACAAAAAATAAGTCTAAAGATTCTTAGGAAATTATAAAACTATCAAAATGAACAAGGTAAAAGAAATACCAAAAAAAATATTGAAATACTTTTATGAAAAGTAGGATTGAATTCTCAAAGTGAAATTTTTTACAATTTCAGATCGTTTTCTTGGCCCTTGTCAGTGTTGCGAGTGCTGGAATTGCCCCCAACGGTGGTCACGGTTAGTAAAAATAATATAATGGTCAAAGCCAGTTATATATGTCTAACAATAAATTTTAAAAAATATTAGCATACGCAACTTCCCAATTGCACCACAGCGCACCAGTCGCCACTTATGCGCACGCTGCCCCATTGGCTGTTGCCCACGCTGCGCCAGTCGCCACCTACGCCCACGCTGCTCCAGTCGCCACCTACGCCCACGCTGCTCCAGTCGCTGTTGCCCACGCTGCCCCAGTTGCCCACTATGCCCCAGCCCCAGTCGCTGTCGCCAAGGGTAAGGATTCGATAAGTTAATAGTTTTGAAGGGTTTCTTATCATCATTTACAATTCTATAGCCGTTGCCGTCCGAGCTGAGCCATTCGACCCCCACCCACAATACAACTACGGTTAGTGATCTTTAAAAAATTTCACTTTTCCAGAGTTTAAGGCATCATAATTAATATTCCAATTCTGTTTAGGATACTCCGTTTCCGACGGTTTGACCGGTGACCACCACTCTGCCCAAGAATCCCGAGACGGAGACCTCGTCCAAGGACAATACTCCCTCGTTGAGCCCGATGGTGCCATCCGAACCGTCACCTACACCGCCGATGGAGTCAACGGATTCAACGCCGTCGTCAACCGACAAGCCCCACAAGTCGCTGTCGCCAAGGCTGTCGTTGCTGCCCCAGTTGCCCACCACGTTGCCCCAGTCGCCACTTACGCCCACGCTCCAGTCGCCCACGCCGTTGCGCACCACGCCGTCGCCGCCCCCGTCGCCTACGGTGGAATCGCACACCACGCTGGTGTCTACCATCATTAAAACTATTTTTAATTAGCTATTTTCTATTCTATTCTAAAATCCAATTCGTGAGGTCTGTATCTGTATCATCTCTTCTTGAATTGAGTGCAATATGTGAAGACAAAAGTATTATTTATTTATTTATCCTTCTCCTCAGAAAAATAAAATCACACGTTTTGAAACTGTTTAATACTCGTGAAGTATGTATAGATATCTTTTCTTTTTTGCATATGCGGAATAATTTGCATGGTATTCCGGTATTTAGCAGTGTCATTCAGGCAGGTCACATTAACTTTTTTGACCCAAACTTCCTTCTTCCCACATATGTACATTGAATTAATAAATGAGTTTATACAGTTTAAAAAAATTGGGGACTTTCCATGATGATTTATAAGGGAATACATAAAGCATATATTTAGAACATGCTGAATTTTCTATTTCTTGGCTAACCGTAACCAAACCGCAACAAATTTAGCTTTCATACAGCGAATAAATTCACCGCATGCATTTTACATTTTACCAAAATCGGTTGGAGACTATTTGGTTGTCAAAATGATGCCAAAAAATTTGAGTTGACAGTACAAAATTTGCATAGCTCGAGTGAGCCAGTTCTCAGACCGATTCCTGTACCAATAAATCTTACGTCGACAACTGACGGACATTCATAATGCGAATCATAAGAATAGAATGATCATATCTTCAGAAATAGAATTTTCATAAAATCATGAACGCATCGTTATCTCCTCGGGACATTCCTGTCTTTGCAGGAAATTGTCCATCCACTCCTTCCGGAATAACATGGTTTCTCTACGCGGCTGAAATTCAGCCAGGCAAATCCGCAATACTTGCAGGCAACCACCTAGTCTTTTATGGAATGCATATAACTGCAATTGTGTTTATCTTAATTTCATTAGTGTCATGTGTCTCCGTAATCGTCAGTGTTTGCCGAAATAAACGGGACCATTGGGATTTTTCTGATAGATTTCCGTTCTACTTGGCCATTTCGGATACATTGTGGGCCTTATCGAATTTATCCGGGGATCACATCGTTCTACTGATTCGCCCTCAATATCCGGAAAAACGAGTTGCGGCATTGTTGGGGATCAACGTGTTTTTATTTTTCGGGTAGATATTTATATTCTATATATTTTTCGAAAAAGTTTGATTCTAATCATACATTTGATTTCAATGCAATTTGTCATTAGTTATCAACAACTCATGAACGCTGGCTTATCGTTATTCACATATATGAAAGTTGTACGACGGGTCAAACTAAGGCTGGGTTCGTGGGAGTGGAAACTTCACACTTTCGTGATCAGTTTACTATTAATCCAAGTTGGCATTTATTGGTGTTTCGGTGCATTTGGAAGTTCTGGATATTTGTATGCACTAAATATTTTGATATATTTTCCGTATCATCAGTTAATTGTATACAATATTTTTTTACATTTTTTTAACCAACAGGTTTTTGCTCGACATTAACAAACTTTCTGGGATAATATTAGGAGTCAACGTTTGCATTTCCTGCAGTATTCACGCAGTCCTCACCCTCGTGGCGTATCGGGCCATTCAAAACGTTATAAACAACCAGGAACACACTTTCTCAATGAACATCATTCCATCCCCAAAACAACAATTGCATCAATTTAACAACAACAATAGTACACAAATTATCATTCCAACAACTGAAACTGAACAACGCCTTCCTCACCTTTTGAGGCGTCACTACTCCACCACGACGGAATGCTTGACCACATTCATCTACATTTCGATCTGCTTGTACGTTCCTTTCGCAGTGGTCGGTTGGTCATGTGCAATCTTTTCGTGTTTTGGTCTAATAGAACCCTTAAGTGCTTTTGCAGCAGTGATCGCTGCAAATTCAGGCGGTTGGGTAAATGCGTTGGGGTATTTTCGTAACAAGAAAGTGAAAGAGAGGCGAAGAAAAATACTGATGAGGGATAATTTCAGAGTTACCCTTTGTTTCGTGTCGGATAATCATCCGAGTGTATATCTAGATAAGTAATTAACGGAAATAAAACACATGTATTCAGAAATTAATGGTGGATTTTATTTGATCATGACCCCAAATATGTATGTATTAGTTCAATAAATGTGTAGTTATACGCACTGAGCGACAAGAATTAATCGCCTGCTAATTATCATACAAAACACCTCCGCAGAATATTCTGTGTGATCTGATTTTGTTAATCCATTCCGAATAAAAATCTGTTTCTGTTCATTGAACTCGGTATTTTCGGCAATTACTTCATCTACAACGTTCTACAATTACTTTCATGATTGTGTAACGATCTTCAGTTGGTGGAAAGCTATAGGAAAGACTTGTTAGTTCTCTAAATAAAGTGACTTAAAACAGATAAAAATGCATTGGGTAATACTTTTCTTAGTTTCTCTATATATTCAGGTATGCAAATTTTCAGCAACTTATGTAAAAATCATTAGTTAATTAGTTTCAAATTTTTAAATGCACATGTAATTTCATAGGCACACAACTGTGTTCCTTTGGGTCAGTGGGATATCGCATTTGATGAACCTTCCACGCAAGAGCGTTTAAACAATGCTTCAACTATAACAGAATTTGCACAAGAATTAGGGGTTTCAGAGGAATTTTTGCAACAAGTAATAATTATTATCTAATTAAATTGTGATTAAATTAAATACAAGACTTTTTTTTACTATGTGATTTAAATTCGTAGCTAAAAGAGAACTGGGAGAAAGCCGTGGAAGACGAGAAACAAAAAGGGAAAGATCGCCTCCGTCAAGGAGGAGGCATCGGTGACTTTTTCGGTCTGGGCGGTGGCGGTGGCGGGGGAAATTTTGGAGGAGGTGGAGAGCAAGGTGGACCAGAAGATGATGGAGATGAGGATGACGAAGGTGTCACGATGTGAGTGGATAAATATGCACATAATCCAAAAATTTTACTAAATTTTTGCTATAAAATTCAGGGCACCAGGACCCGGCCCAGCTGGAATTTTGACGGGACTCTTCGGTATTTTTTCCGGAATCGGAAGTCTAAACCCTAAACGAGTCATTCAAAGTACAGTCAACTTTTTCCCACCGCATCAACGCCTCGCTGCTCAAATGGCGTTGGATAATGCCTTCGGACTCCATAATGTCACGACTCTTGCACCACTGACGGATGCCCCAGCGAGAAATGGAACCGGTCCACCTGCCCTCTCGTCGTCAGCTACCACGAATAAGACAGATGTCGTTTTAAGGATCGCGACTACGGTCGCAACGACGGTACGTTATCAAAAATAATAAACCGTTACAACGCATGTAATAAAGGAGTGAAACCACGTAATAAGTGTTATGTATGAGGTTGACATTCTGGGTGAAATTTCCTATTAAATTGACACATATATGGACATTGACCGTTACGTGACCTTTTTTGACCTTTTTGACTTTGACGGGTTTGACCCCCAAATGCCGCTTAGAACTCGGTCTGCGCCTTGAGGTTGTTTACGTTGAAAGTTTCAAGTTTCTGTCTTTTCGTTCAGAGTTATCAGACGCAAGGACAGACAAACGGATATAACGGTCTTATAAAGGGCTTTCACTCCTTAATAATTTTCCAAGCCTTCGTAAATTCTGATCTGAATTTTGTACGTGACATCATCTAATTTCCAGGTTGACAACACAACCCGCAAACGGTTCAACCTCAAGGAAACCTCTCTTTTGGAAGATTTTGAAGAGGCTTCCGTAAAATTGAGCCCACCCTCTGACGTAATTCCCATCGATGTGCGAAACATTGAAACCCGACCAGGCCTTGGCTCGCTCGAAAAAGACTTTGCCGACACTGCCGACACTTTCAAAATCGTCTCAGTAAACGTCCACGACGGGAAGAATGGGGCCAGCCAAGAAGCAGAAAAGCAAGTTCTTATAGTTAATGCCACCACTATTTCGGCAGAAGCTACATCAGAAGCTTCGACCATAGGGGTTTCTACCACGCCGGAAATTGTGGAAATTTCGACAATTATTGTTAAAGCAGCAAAATGATAAGGTTTATTGGATTTGGGAAATTTATTCTTATACTTTCAATACGTGGTCCTCGTTCTTTGGTAACTTTTTTGGTGCTTCAGCATAATTCTGTAATCGTTTATACAAGAAATAAAATAAACCAAGCTTAAAATACGACTCTAAAAATTCCTTTCATGAAGACAGGATACGTGCTTAATTACAGATGTGTTATTTAGATTAATATACATAAATATCTGCAAAGTGACGGAATTTTACTCGGTGTCAAATTTTTTATTGCTCTCCAGTGACTAAACTTTTCTTGGAATTTTGCTCGCCTTTCTTTCAATCCATTCCTTTATACTTTAGTCATCAAATGCAGAATAATGGGAGTTTGGCACGCTGTAAAAATAAGTTTCAGATTTCTGAATGAATAACAAGAACGACTACTCATTCGTCCGCTTGTCCAATTTTTGAGACATGCAAAATTCCAGTTCACTCGTTTCATTATCCTTTCGTGAAAATAGCTTTGTTCAGGTTGCACAAAGAAGTCTGTCTGACGCTGGCTTTTCGTAGATTATTTTCCATCCGAGTGTAATACATAACAGTTCTTTGTCCATTCTCTCTCAATATATTTTTGGCAGAGGGAGGAACCAGCAAGAGTTTTAAGATTTCATTTACATAATTCGACTAGAAAAGTTTTTCGACAAAAATCATGCTTCGCCAAAGATTGTTCAACATTGCGTTATTGCAATTGGTGAGAAAATTTCAGAAATAAAAAACTGTTTCGTAACGTATTTCAATGAATTTACTTGATTTCAGTGCATTCTTGGAATGAGGATAAATTCCAGTGCCTATTTTGCCCTTGGAATAATACAGAGACAAATGGACGGATCAGATTCTGCTCAACCGGAAGAAATTGGATCCGCACTTATCGACCATGATAAGGATGTGACCGATTTATGGAATCTTTCGTACGCACTGCTGGATCACGTCGTCATTTTTGCGGCGATTCTCTGCCTTCTTTTTGGAACTAAAGATGTGAGTGATACATATTTTACGCAATTTGATGGTTTTGCTAATTATGTAAATTAATCACGCTTTTTTAGGAAAACGAGACTCCAACGGCATACAAATGTTTCCTTCTTCGATGTTGGATGCTTATCTCGGTAATTTACAATTGGGGATTTTGTATCGCCACGGCTCTCGTCGTTGATTGGACTTTCTGGACCATTGATGAATATAATATTGGACAATTTATCTTTGTCTTTCTCAACATGACAATTTTTCTCTTTGTTGTGACCTATGTGAAAAAGATTGATGAAGGAATAGGGGGAGAAAGTGTTCGATGCAACTTTAATGGGGGTGGCAGTGGTGACCAGCTTAATAGAGTTTTGGTCAAACAGTCGTAAGTCATAAGTCGTGGTTTTAAATACGTAGCTTGTAAGACTTATTTTTAAAATGATTGATTAATGATCAATTAGATTCTAGATATTCTGTAATTGAACTTAAAAAATAGTTCTTTATTTCAGTTTTCCTAAAATCCGGTCAATTATTGCTTTAACTATTTTGATTTGTTTCCCCTTTTTCGTAGCTGAAAATAAAATATTTTTTAGACTTGCGTAAAAATTTAAAGTTAATAATTAAGAATAGGCACTAACCAAACAATGACCCCGTATATGAAAAAAAGTCCCAGCATCCATCCATATTTTGCGGAACCCTGGTAGTAAGAGGGAACACGGTAAGAATTCTGTTTGCATCTGCTACTAGTAAAAATCCGCTATTTCTAATATAACGTAATGCGACTTGTGGGCTAAATTATATTTAAATATAAATTAAGATTATGACATAATTCTGGAAAAATAATTATTTCAAAATTTCTGCCGAATTATTACTGCCATTCGTTGCATCCGTGAAAATTGACGTGGAGAAAGCACGGTTCGTCGGCAATATTAAATTGTGGTTGGCACATTTTTGGTACATAAATAAAGCCCAAAGTTCCCATCGCTTCGTCTGTAATGTTCCTCCCACTGTAAAATTCTGACTGATCGTACGCCATCAATGAACCTTCTTCTTGTGGAATATTTTGCATTTCTAAATAAATGAGAAAAATGTATACTTTTTTACAGCAATTAAAACTTGGTTGAATTACTATTTTATGTACATACGTGTAGAAATAAACGGATTTATTATGTTTGCTTTGTCTCGAAGTAAGAATTCTAAGGCGGCGTGGGCTCCGGAATAATTGCAATTTCCAAGATACACATTTTGGCCGGCATCTTGGTCACAAGCATCACCAAAGTTTGTCGTTGGCTGGATAATGAAGAACAAAATAATTGCATTAAAGGAAACATTTAATAATAAATTTCCGAACATAAAACATACCAACAAATGCTTTGCATGAAAAACTGTGGTCCTTATTAAACTCTTGTTGGATGTGAACGTCTCATAAAATTTGGCATTCTCCATCGCCATCTCTAACAAATCATTAAACACCTTCGCAAATTAAATACATATGCAAATTGACAGCAAAAATTACCCAGTGGCACGTATTCATCCAACTCTCCAATCCATACAAAGATTCGTTGACCCCTCAAATTTACGAGGGGATCAATCAGTCTCATCCATTCGTACCTTCGAGCATCTCCTATCGAGAGTCTGAAATCATAGGGAAACACACCCATCCCAAGTTTACTGCAACGAAGACCAAACTCCACCAGAGAGTGGGGACCGCATCGGTAAAATGCTGGTGGAAATCGAGAATTACAAATAATTCGAACAATAAATATTTTTTCTTTATGAACCTTGCGAAAACAACGCTACGCCATGAAAAAGTGCAGAGTGGGAGACATGCAACTGCGTTGCCATTGAAGATCCGGATGAAAATCCTGACAGCGTGACGGCATCGTGACGAACGTTGTATTGACCTAAATATTATTCTAGAATTTTCACAAAATTTTCAAAAATATGTCGATGCAGACATAGATAATTTTAATACCCACTTAGCAAAATTGGTGGTGAAATGGTTTCAACTTGATTGGAATTTACTATTGATGAACTAATAATGCAGAATAGCAGCACAATGTGTGTAACGGATTCCATTATGTAGTCCAAATATTTTTTAAAATAAATAAAAACCTGAGATTTAAAATTGAAATAATTTACAAGTTTCGTTAGGTTAGGTAGGGATCAAAATGGAAAACTCGTACTACTACACATGACACCAAAGTTTTGTTTGTATACTAAATTTTACACGAGGAAATGGATAGGAGATAAGCGAGCGTCATCTTGAGATAAGATTATAACATGTGAATAAATTTGTGAATGAGAGTTCAGAGTCCGTTCTCGTGGGATGAATAATTCGATATGTTTACAACTAAGGTATTTATTTACGTATTTGAATCTTGCTTTATTTAATCCATTATAAATATGGGTAAATTATGATTATGTCAACTATGAAAATAATATGCAAGTATATTTCAATCGCACTGGTTTTTATGTCATTTTTTAATTTGAAAAAGTCAGATTCATTAACCTACAAGCTTAAAGGTTGATATAATTACAACTTGTAATTTACAAGTTAATTGCATGTTATGTTATTGTGCTTGTTCATCCAAATGATGCCATTCCTCTCTGCCAAGTCGGCAAAGTCCAAATCCTTATCTAGACTTGGAGACGGACCTATTTGAAATTATAATTACAGAATTACAATTAGAAGTAGAATTACTGTATTTCAAAATGAAACGTCGCTACTTGCATCACTATAATTGCATGAAAACTTAAATATTTCAAATTCATAACTACGACTTTTAGTATCTAGGTAATGTCCCTTAAGGGACAATCGTGCTTTAAGCTTTAAACCTGCCTTGTAAGACGAGTTTATAAATGCGATTTATATTCAAACACCTTTATAAGATTTACATACGCAAATGGATCAAAGACGCTCTAAAAACGGTGATACCGAATCATCCAAACCTGACAAAAGATCGATCGACTCGTCAAAATCCTTGGAACATGTTTCAAACATAAATGCAGAAACAATAGTTTATGAAAATAGCAGTCCTCTCGTAGATGACAAAAGTAATTTTGTCCTTTATGACGAATATAATAATGATGATAACGAGGATAACAATGATGATAAGAACAACAATAATGTGGACATCATTCCCAAGAAGAGTTCACTGAAAAAGAATTCTCGCCGAACTAGTAACAAAAATCCCAAACTTCAAAAGCTACGCGAATTGTATGAACAAACCAACACTCGAAAAGTTGACCCATCACGACCACCCCCACCACCGATTGATGACATCGACGACGACGTACAAACCATAATTTCTGGCGATGATGACGACGACGAAGATAAAGTACTAAATTATGGTCTTATTACCTTAATTACCTTAATTTCTTATTACCTTAATTATGGTCTAAAATTACTGAAAAATTTTTAATTTGCTTACACAATTTCAGAGAAAGCAGAGAATAGTTCGAGATAATTTTATGAAAAAGCAGCGAAAAATACAACGTCGAAGAAGATTAATGTTATCCGCATTCGTTATTGCAACCGTTAGTAGTTACATGATATCAATATTTTGCATATTTAAATAATTATTCTAATTAGCTTTACTAATTAATAGGTATTTAGTATCGCTTGTATTTTGAGATTAGTCATTCTCAACAGCAATTTAGGAGTAGCTCCGTCATACCATGGCGAAGTGGCATTTTACGACGCCTTCACGGCGTTTGTAAGTCTTTCAGCCTTGGCACCGATCGGTTTCATCGTGTCATATTTCAGAATGCATGCCGTCTTTGGATTTTTGGTGATGATTCATTCGAACCCGAATTTATTGACATTTAAGAATGCAATTTGTGCACATTTTGCAGTTTATTCTGGGCTCATTCTACACAATAACGATGTCAGTGAAGGCATTATCACATGCAAGTTTGGGCTCATCGGATGACACACTTTCCGGAAGTATGACTGTATTTCTGACCAAAAGGGTCAACAGGACTAGTGATATTCCCACGTTTTATCAGAAACTGCAAAAATCTTGTGTAATTTCCTGGAAATTGGATTGAACGCTATTTTTTTTTAAATAGAATTCTAATTAATTGCGCAAATAGGAATGCTGTGGATTTAATGAGATCGATCGATTGAAAGACTGGCCATCAAAAACCAAAAGAATTGATTTTCCGTCTAGTTGTTGTCAGGATGGAAGTGAAACTACATGCACCGGATTGGGAAGAATGTTTAATGTGACACGGTAATAATTAATTAATCCTAATTAAGCAATTAAGTTTAATAAGATTATTACCATCAAATATTTGAACTACAGGATTCCAAGTGGATTCGTAATAATTCAGAACGAAAAATTTATGCAAGATTGGACAATAGGAAAAGGACCGCATAAATTGGACGTGAAACCAAACTTTCAGCTTTCTCATCATCAGCCACTCCTTAACCAGGACATTGTACCAGAACTTTTTCAATCATTTGAGAAAGAAATGCATGAAGAACTTAAATTCGTCAACCATTCCAAACTACCTGGAAACGTCATCCCGTCAGAAATTCTGTTAAAATTTGACGCTTTTGTGGAAGAATTGATCTATAGTGGGCAGGTTTTTAGGGGAGAGTGGATCTATTTTAGATTATTTCCAACTAATGTGCACCATGGCGAAGAGACGCCTGCGACCACAAGTCCTGTTTCAGATAAGGAGTCAACAATTCAGCCGACAACGACAAAACTTCCTGAATCAACGACAACAAGACCCAAACTATCGTCCACAACTACTGAACCAAAAAATGTAGATCCAAATTTGTTCTGCAGTGATAAAGAACTGAACCGATCTTACCCACATCCTGAAACATGCAAGCGTTATTTTAAATGCATGAAAAACGGAAATGCGACCCTGGGGGAAATCTTGGATTGTGAAAAATGGCTGCATTTTAGTTCAAGACTTCAAGTACGTCAACATACAAAAATTCTATAATATCGATATAATATTTTCTGATTTAAATACTTTAGAGATGCACAGTACCCGAGTTTGCTAATTGTTGTAAGTTAAATACATATATACATCAACTAACAGAAAATTTAATAATTTTGACATAAAACTGACACATTTCAGCCGAAAGGGTTCAAGAATACAGTGAGAAAGACGATTTCTTTTACATGGCGGATTATCGGTAGATTAATATTTTAACAATGTAGCAAGGAAAAAATTATGTACTAAAAATTACTAAATAACTGGTTTATGCAGAATGCAACAAGACGAACTTTTTACGTACTACGTATCACGAGGAATTTCTGAAAACATTTTATTGGATCAAGTCCTTTGGAAAAATGTGAGACCAAAAAATTATGCTAAACAATCCTAAATTATTACGAAATGACTTCTTAGCTATTTTCAGGGATGTGAACGAGACGTGCAATCTAAAAACAGTGTCGATGGTCTATTAACATGCAGCGATCTTAAAACTGACAATTCACTCTACGATAAATTTCTTCTCCCCGAATCTGGAAAATATTTCAGATGGAAAAGAAATCTACAAAGTTCCGCCGATATTAAATCTTTCTTCCAAAACGGTCACTTCTACATTTTGACTTGGCTATATTCACTCCTACCAATTATTACCGTACTCACCCTAGTTTGCTCCATCTTATTCGTGTAAGCAGTAGTTATTCACTTATCGTTAACATAAGAACAATTCTCTCATTTACATAATTCTCTCAATTTCCAGACATTTCTACACCCGAATGCAATCCGCCGTTATGAAAGAGCTCACTCCACTACAATCCACAGATTATGCCATGCTCAAAATAAATAATGTCGCCGACATTGAAAAAATGGACCCCGTCACACGCCAAGCTCATGAAGCCTTGTTTCGAAAACAATAAAAAAATGCACGTGGAATACAAGAAAAAACGAAAAGAATCAAAATCCAACCAAAATCAATCATAATAAATTAACAATTAATTGTTTAACTGAATTTGTCATCGTTTAATAATTGACCGGACCTTTGTTCCGCAAAAAATCGTACAAACCTTGAATTTGATATGTACCATAATTACGGAACACGCCCTTTTTCATCCATAAATAATTATACGTTGTTATATCTCACATTAGATAATGTAATTATATCATCAAATATCTACTAAGAAAAATGTGCACACATATCAGAAATCCATTCTCTTCACACCTTCATCACGTCCTAAAATACTGAAGCATAATCAGTCAAAAATTTGATCTACAAATCATTCACGATCCAAACTTTTTGCTCTTTTCGCTGCATTTCCTCTCGTCTACCATTAATTTTGCGTTATCATCGAATTGTTGATGCCTACAAAAAATGGTTGGTGGTCAAGCCGCAGAAGAGATCGTGACGCTTCACCTGTTCCTCCTCCTCCTGAATTTTGACGATGCAAGGTCGCAAATAGATACAAACAAGATCGACAAGGTAAATCCCTACTTACACGTTTTAGTTAAGCGGACCATAATTTTAGACTAGTTTATTTAGTAAACACAATAACGCAGTGGCCGCGGAAGCCGTAGGGACATCGGGGGACATTGACATTGTAGGATGAGGAAGGGAGGGGTTTGTATAAGATGCGGACATCGAACAACCGTGGGGACATTGTCCCTCTTTTTTCCCTCAAACTTCCGCGGTCACTGCGACGACTACTGCACTGCAAAAGTATGTAAGATCCATGAGATTTATTATTTATAAGGTGTGGCATTTTAACGATACATAACAATAACATTACAAATTATGCTTGCTCACTCTCTCACGTTCCATTCTTTACGAGGATATTTTACTCTTGAACTTTCAATTTGTACAAAAACCCCTGCAATTATAGAACCATCAACCAATTATGTCGCAATGGGACAACACATTCCAAGGCATTTGAGAAAATAAATCAAATTCACCGAATGAGACTTGTGCCAAATGTTGTGGTCCAATAAAGATTTTATCTACGAGTTATTGCTGCTCACGACATTAAAGTGGATATTTTTATGGACCGTGACTTATTTATTTATATTTTCGTCTTGATCTATTTAAATAAATCGTCAATATTTGGACGTGTTATACTGTTATTTTTATTGTGATATATCATTATTTGGGCGTCATTCACTTTGTCAATCAGTCAATTCATAAGGTGGAATTGGTGTTGACATTTTTAAAGAGCAATAATCTTGTAAAATCCATTTCTGTGTCATACTGACTGATGACTGACAATGTCACGAGACGATCAAATTATATATCGTCCTCTGCAAAATGGCGACACGACTTGATTGACGGAGTCCATTTTAATGTTTTGTGCGATATTATTAACAAGTCTATTAAAAAAAGTCAACTTTTATTCAAAGTTCCAGCAACCAAGTTGGTTTGTAGTGCCGATAATGCGATAAAGTAGATCATTACATCACGAAAAAACTAATTCCGATATAGATTGCATCTCCAACCAATAACAAAGCCTCATCGCATTTCTAAATTACTAAAAAATGTTAATTTTAATCTCGAATCTGTCAATCTTTTCGCATTGAGCAACTTAATTCATTCATCTCGTTGTGAATTGCAACTACATATGGACGTCATTCATACGAGACATTCATACAACTTGCAACTAACAATGAAACTTGTTATTATTTATATTTTTAAAAGACGCATTTCTATTATGCACAAAACATATTAAGACATCGATCAAGAGAAGAAGTGAATTTAAGCCGGTGGAAAAAAATGGCTAGCTACAGCCTTCCGATTCTATTTAGAGACAAGGAATTAACAAAAGTACAGATTTGATTATTGATTTGATTGGTTTTATATTGTTGCTTTATCATTCGCATGCCTGGCCTGGGCATGATGCATGCATGATGGGATATGTATTTATGGTGTAACAATTGACAATTAAGCTGATTTGACAAATTGGACCATCTGCATGTCACATACTTAATCGACCCATGTAATCATTGGCATTGACCATTGACCGACGACGGACCAACCATTAGAACGCTTTGATTTTCATCGCAGAACAGAAACCCTGAATTCCAACCATCATGAAGAGATTTAGATCCTTAATATATTTGCGAAATGATCTTGAATTAAAAAATTGCGAGTCTAGTCACATCTTAAAATTTGCTATATATTTGTCATTACGTTATGCAAAATTAATAGAGTATGTGTGCCAATTATGTAGGTATATACACGCATTCTCAATGCTATGAAAAAATAATATGTATGTATGTGGGTCGTATAAGAAAGAGGGAAGATCCGGAAAACTGCAATAAAAATTTTGGAAGACCTCTAGGATAACAAATAACACGTAATTATTGGGCTATTTAATCCAATTTTCGCAACCTTTGAGTCACTAATTGTTTGTTATGCGGATTGTGCGTAACTGATGCCCAAGTGCGTTTGTACTTACATAAAAGTAAGTGCGTGTCAACGGTGAATGAATTAAACGTGCGTATCACGACAGACTACCAATTTCATCAACAAGAAGCAGTCCAAATTTAATAATAGGCTGTCAATAAGTCAAACTTTTTGCAGAACCAATTCGCCGAATATGGTATCGTTTGAACCATTGCAGATCGTAAATTATACTTGTAATGCCGACACAGATCTGTATTTGTTGTATGCCCACGGATTTGTTTTTTCCTAATTAACTCACCAATTAATTAATTACTTAATCAAAGAAATATTTTTAATCTCGTGAGTTGTAGTGTAAAGTTGTCAAAAAAATTTTGGAGCTTGGTTAGTGCATAATTAAGAAACGATTTATGACGACCGCACCCTAATCAATTACATTACACCATTTACTTATATGTATGAATTGTCTTGATTGCTTAGGCACACAGGTTGAGAATTAGTAAGAATTTACATAATTTTACCCTTCTGCGTCCATCCAGCCTAATTCTCATGAAAAATGATATGACGCAGATTTCAAGAAGTTTAGATCTTATCTTGCCCACTGTCTAAACAATGATGAGATCGTTTGACAGATATTGTTGCTGCGAGTTTTCTGGCACCTTTTGTTATTTCCATGTTTCTACGTCACAGGATTTATTCGAAGTTATCGATCTGACCACGGCCAGATTACATCCAAATCCAATTGTTTGTGTACAAGTATTATGATTACAGAGGCCCCGTTCGTTGTATATGGGCTGCTGCTGTTTTAAACTGAAAATAGGCATCAATAACCATATTTATGCTGACAGATTGACATTCGCATATGGAGCAGTTTAGCAAATTTACATAAGTTGTGTCCTGTGCGTACATATTTAAGAGAATGAATGAGAAAAAAAGGTGCGAGAAGGTCCAACCTATGTATATGTATACTTTCACGTTTACTATGTATTTGGTCAGTCTGTGTCGATGTCATAATAAACGACCTGACGACTAATTTTCCCAAACTGTAACATGTATGGATGAAATGTGGCAACGAACGAGGAGTGTGATCAAAACCATAAAATATTTTGGTGGTGGTGGTAGTTGAAAATGTCAAAATTTTAATAAATGCCGATCAAATATGCCCAGGAACTACCTAGCGTGGATAGAATCCATGTATAATAAACGGTAGCAGCATCAAGCATCACCTCAAACTAGATTATTTAATTTTAACATCATTCTAATAAGTATGACGAGACGCGTCCCTTCTTTTGTCTCTCTGTCATTAAGGGAGCAAACGCCGTCCGCTCTTATAATTCCTTCGCATAATGAGTTATTGTAAGTTCAGGGTGGGATACTTTTTGCAAACTGAATTAAATAACGAGTTTATTGGGTATTGCTGCATGTAAAATGGCTAAATGGCATGCTGCATATTCCGTAAAACAACGCCAACAACAGTTTAAACAAGGCGTTCGAATGAGTCCACTCCACTCACTGTACGCTCAGGGTCCTACCCTTTGCTTTGGTGGGTGAGATGTGAGATGAACTTTACTATAAATACGTAAGTGGAGGGCGCAAATAGTCATCAGTTAGTCAGCAACTTCCTCTGAGACAGTTTACCAGTAAGAAAAAACAAAAAGCGTAAAATGATCAAGGTAAATAAAGTGAAATAATAAATATTTATAAAGGGTGAAATATGTGGTGGAATATATTGTGAATTGGGTGTGCCAGTGATTTTACTCTATAGTTTTTATATTAAATAATTATTGTAGATCGTTTCTCTTCTCGCGGTTGTTGGCTTTGCCAGCGCTGGAGCTCCTCTCGGATTCGGAGGATATGCCGCACCTTACGCAACTGCTGTAAATTAAAATTCAAAAAAAAATTTGGAGAATTATTTCTCGGGAAGATTTGATTGAGAAAAATTATATTGTGATTAGGCCTACGCTGCCCCAGCAGTGAGGTACGCATCTGCCCCAGCGATCGGATATGCCCACGCTGCCCCAGCCCTCGGATACGCCCACGCTGCCCCAGCTCTCGGATACGCCCACGCTGCCCCAGCTCTCGGATATGCCCACGCTGCCCCAGCGCTCGGATATGCCCACGCCGCTCCAGTCGCCACTTACGCCCACGCTGCCCCAGTTGCCCACTACGCCCCAGCCCCAGTGGCCGTCGCCAAGGGTAAGGATTCCATGAAAATTGTCGAGCTTAACTAATTTGAAGGATTTTTACTAATCGGTTATCGATTATGCAGCTGTTGCCGTCCGAGCTGAGCCATACGACCCCCACCCACAATACAACTACGGTAAGAATTAGCCAAAAAATTCGCCTTAATTCCAGTTAAACTAATAATAATTAATCTTTAGGATACTCCGTTTCCGACGCTTTGACCGGAGACCACAAGTCTGCCCAAGAATCCCGAGACGGTGACCTCGTCCGAGGATCCTACTCCCTCGTCGAGCCCGATGGTGCCATCCGAACCGTCACCTACACTGCTGATGGAGTCAACGGATTCAACGCCGTCGTCGACCGATCTGCCCCAACTGTGACCAAGGCCGTCGTTGCTGCTGCCCCAGTCCGAGTTGCCCAACCAGTTTACGCTGCTGCCCCAGCTGTCCGATACGCCCACGCTGCTCCAGCTGTCTACTCTGCTGGATACGCCGCCCCAGCTTATGCTCACGCTGTGAGTGGCACATTTTAAAAATATGGCGCTTTAATTTTCTTTTATAATTCTGGAAATAATATATTTCTGAACTAATTTTAGACCTATGCTCAACCCGCCGTCGCTGTCCGAGCTGCCCCACAAATCTACGCTGCCCACCACGCCGCCCCAGCTGTTTACTCTGCCGGTTATGCCGCTCCAGCCTACGCTACCAATGTAAATTTTGAATTTTTTAAAGAAATCTGGGAACATTTTAAAAAACAATTTTCCAAATTTTTAGGCCTACGCTCAACCAATTGCCCACCACGGAATCGCAGCTGGTTATGCTGGACAAATCTACCACCACTAATTAATTAACTATTAAAGTTAATTAATTTTTTTAGTTGATCTGAAATTTTCATTTCTTTCCATAAATTATTTATTTTTCTTTCCTGTTCTTTCTTCTGATTCCTTCCAATCTTACTGTACTGCTGTCTGTCTCTTGTTTGACCTCTTGACCTTTACGCGTTCTTCTTGTTGGTTGTTGATAACAAAGTATTTAATGATGAGTGTGTTGTATGATGTTGTTTACGTGCCGTTTTTCGAGCTTTACTTGACTGTACAAAAAAATATTTGCAAATCTGTGATCAATCCCTTCCATAAATATGTTTTACTTGATGAAACACTGAAATAAAATATATACAAAAATATATCATTATTAGCTTTTGTCAATTTTATTTTTCGGCATTTACAACGATTAAGTCGATGTTCATATAAAACGATGGCACATATATCACAACCATGAATTTATAACATAATATGATTAATGCTAATATAAATTCATGATCACAACTATATTTTGTGATAATTTTTTCGTCTTTTTCTGTGCATGTCTTCATAATGAATTGCAGATAGCATTCGAAATATTGACAAAAGTAAACTTTTTCCTCATTTTTCCACAAAAACTTCCGTGTAATCCAATTAATTGCAAATATTCCCTGCATGCATGTAACCAGGAAAAAATATTTGGGGAGGAGATTCATGAACTATCAATTAAGTATTTAATACAATGCAATCCCATTCATTGATCCCACAAAATTATTGCGAATAATGGGTTCTAATTTAAATAATGTGTTCCATTTTGATATAGTCCAATCTTACAATTATGTATGTATCTGTGTATATTTAGTTCTGCTTGATATCGATACATCTTATGCTAGGAAATTTCATTTCAGAGAGAAACATTCATTAGAATATGATATGATAAAGATGTTAAATGGCGTTCGCCATCACCGGTTTCAGATTAAAGTATTCTTGCACTTTTTTAGTGGATTTCTGGGAATGTTTTGTTAATTTATAGCTATATTTGCACATTATTATTATTAATACATTTAACCTTAAAACTGTTCACGTATTTAGATCGTCATATTTTTCAATCAAGTTCTATCATTCTAACCATTTCTTGAAGCAATCAATTTAAGCAGTCTCAATTTCCCCGTATAATGTATGTACAATAACTTCATTACATAAATGCGTTCTCTTCTCATCGTAGTAGTAGCTTCGTCCATTCCTTCGGTCTCAATTTCCCCATATGTAACTTTACTGTAAAACACGTTCTCGCTTCTCATAGCTTCGTCTCAATTTCCCCATTTGTAACTTTATTCATAAACACGAGCTTCGTCCATTCCTTCACGTCGCCGTTTACTGAAAAACTTCATTTACCACATATTTTTAAAATGCTTATCACAAAAATTCCGTCATTTGTACGTATGCAATTCTACATAAATATATTTTTTAGCCCTTCTGTCTCCTGAGAAGGGTTCAGGGTTGGATACTTTTTAAACAACTATTTTATTCAATAAAATAAAACAGCATAGTTCTCATTGGACGAAATATGACACGATGGTCCGGTAGGTATCAAAACAAGGCGTTGTGTGTGTATATACATATACATGCATATATATAGAAAAATGACTTATGTATGTATATACATAAATAGGGTCTGCTGACCCTTATCTACATATTTTTATGATCATTCTTGCTATAAATATAAAATATTTGACGAGAATAGACATCATTCAGCCACCAGCGTTTGTATCAACAGTTGTAAAGTAATAATAAGTGTCAAACAAATAAAAAAAGGCATAATGATCAAGGTAAATATCTGTATTTATGATTTCGTAAAAATCAAAGTACAAAATTCTGAGTTATATATTTCAATCGGATTTTAAAATTTCAGATCGTTTCCATTCTCGTTGTTCTCGTCGGCGTCGCCAGAGCAGGAAATGTCGAATACGTAAGAATTTTAACTGGTCAAATTGTAATCATAAATATTTGTTAACTAACAATTTTCAATTATTTCCCAGGGGTACGCAGCGTCCCCACAAATCGTGGCACACGCCCCAGCCATCCGGGCTGAACCTTACGACCCCCACCCACAATACAACTACGGTAATAATTGCCCAAAAAATTCGCCTTAACTCCAGTTAAAATAATGATAATTAACATTCCAATTATATTTAGGCTACTCGGTTTCCGACCCCTTGACCGGTGACCACCACAACGCCCAAGAATCCCGAGACGGCGACCTTGTCCGAGGATCTTACTCGCTCGTCGAGCCGGGCGGTGCTATCCGAACGGTCACCTACACTGCTGACGCCATCAACGGCTTCAACGCCATCGTCAACCGACAAGAACCACAAGTCGCTGTCGCCCAACATGTCGTTGCTGCTCCTCCTGTCCGAGTTGCCCAACCAGTTTACGCTGCTGCTGCGCCCGCTTATCATGCCGCCCCAGCTTATCATGCCACCCCTGCTATTAGTTACGCAGGATCTATTGGAGCTTATGGTGGTGGTTATGGAGCCATCGGGGGTTATCATCATTAAATCTTGTCAATAATTCAGAGTAGTAAATTATGAACATTTTCTAGAATTTTATGACTTTGTAATACGTATAAAATAATTAGCTCTCTGTGATACAAAAGTTTATATAGTTTGAAAATCTGTGATAATTTCCTAAAAATGAAACCGATGGTAAAATTAGCTTGGAAATCTGTGATAATTTTCTATTTTTAAGAATAAAACCGATACTAAAATTAAATTTCAAAATCTGTGATAATTTTCAATCCACTGAAATAAAACCTCTGGTAAAATAATTTTTTATTTCGCCAATGTCCAACTCCACACATAATACGCATATTTAATGACTCTCCATCGCAATTAATATTCACTATGCGCAAGTAGTTAACCGCTGTGATAATTACAGGTTGTTCTACTATAAATATATTAAACAATGTTAACAATTGAATTGATCCCATTTAATCAATCACTACTACCGACCACGTATTGCAGCCTGTTCATTTCATTGCTCAACTTGTTGAGTGGTGCGTAATCATGCAAAGTTGTGAACTTGATTTATCACTTAAATATTATTTTCTGCTCTACTTGACCAAAACTTTTAAGCGTCAATAATACAATAAAATAAAATGTGGTAATAAAATTGCCCTTGGGCTGCACAAAAAGACAACTAATTACTTTATTACTATATCGAGTATATGCACGTGTATTGATATATGTATATTCATGTGCATACATGTGGATAGAATTACAATTAAAGATGATGATGCTACTGCAAAATATGAAATTTTTTCGTCTTTTTTTACGACGTCTGGTCAGGTTGACGTTGACGTTGACACAAATGCACTTGACGACGATGAAGATCAATTTTTTAATATGTTCAGTAAACAGAGAAGGTTGCGTTGAGTGTGGTCAATTATTTTGATGTCGTTTTAATTAAATATTTTGTTTTTGTGATTTTATTGGTCTGGTATCATTGTGACATTTGCAAATATGTGGATGTGGATGTGGACCAGTTTTTTTGTACAATAATTGACATTTTATTTTTATTTTTATTGGTATTCAATCAAATGAGGGTGGCAATGACACAATTATTTGGTAATGATAATTATATGGATGGATGGGTTCTTGGATTGAATATTGATTAGTTACCGTCTACCAAATTTGTAACGATACGCTGCACCGAATCCGACATCAGGTCGACTGTGCCATGATTGACCCTTGAAAATAGTTTGTGAAAATGGATGTAAATCAGATAAATGTACATCTGGGATATTTCAAAACTGGTTAAATTACCTGGCTCCGTCCAAATTGTTGTCCATAATTTGCACCAACACCAACATCATGGCGACCGTTGGGACTTTGCCAAACTTTCGTGCCAACCCCAACGTTTCCACCGGCCCCCCAATTTCGACCGTTGTTTCCACTTCCGCTCCCGTTAATGTTCCAGTTCGGCTATAATTTAAAATACAATGAAATAAAATAAAAATTCAAAATCAAATGAAATTTGAGTCTCACTTTAAATCTGGCCGAATCCAGACTTCTCATTGCGTTCTGCATCGCAAGGTTGTTGGATTGTGGGGCTGCTGTTGTGATCACAATTAATGCGATAATAATACCAAATGTGAAAATGAATTTGTGAAAAGACAACATTTTTCAGTTTCTGAATTCTTTGTACGAATATTTTAGCTTGAACTTGTATTTGCTGCTGGAGTATGAAGTCGGATAAGAAAATTATGCTCTTTATATACACGTGAAGATGCCGCAAATATGTATGGCTCATAATTTTCATGGTAGTTTCGGTTTTCAGTGAACTACTAACCAAACAGAAATCAATAATAATGAAATCAAAACGATTTAATGAATCGAATAATTCCAAGAACGGACGGTTGACGGTATAAATAAAGTTTATTAAAGGAAATGCACATCGTAAATGTGTATGAATTCTGTTTGTGGTTAATTATTAATAAATACTGACTGCATATATATTGCCTTGACCTTTGCCAGCCAGCCAACACAAGCCTCCTGATTCAGTGAATTATGCATTTCACATAATTAGCGTCATTAATTAATTGATTGCTCATTAATTTTGCATTTGCATTTTGCATCTATATGTACATATATGTCCTCTGATAACGATGTAATCGATCAATATATATGTACATATGTATGTATGTATGTATTGTATGGCATCGTGTAATTGCATATTTTATATAGCGATTATTAAATATTTTCCAGTCCACACGTACGTATAACATGCTCCTCTCATTTACCAAATGTCTCAAAATCAACGTTCACAAAATAAACTGGCCACGCAAAATTGTTTATTGTTATTAATTGGCAGTTTTGATTACAGTTTAGCATAAAATAGGTAAACCCCACACCCAAAATATGTACATATCTATGATTCAAATACATTGTTGTACCCCAGTACAAATAATTTCGTGCACAGTAATTTTATTAAAATTTGAAATCCGTGGAAGTAGTCAAACAATGCTGGTAAACATCCTCCGGAGTAATTGGTGAATCTGTAATATTAATTTATCGACATTATTATAGACTTTGAAGAAGTACAGATAAGCAATAAATGTAATATTGCCCCACATACCCAACTTAAACCATTCCGTGTTTCCTTTATCTGCGCGTGCTGCAGTGATTGCATTTCGCAGTGCAAAGTATACAGCCACCGTGGCGCATAGGATCGGCTCTCCGGTCGCTTTTGACCGCAAAATTCCATGAGGATTAGGAGCGTCCTTCAATAGCGATACTCTAAAATCCTCCGGAATATCTTTTGTTTCTGGGGGTTTGTATTCCTGTGAAATGTATGGAACATACGAGCAATTAGTTACAAAACCTCTGTTTATAATCTTTTCATTTTAAAATATGTACCCAAGTTCGGTTCGTCAACAACTCTCCGGTTTCTTTGCAATGTACAATTCGCTCCGTAGTCCACATACCCTGTCCGAAAATGTAGCCACCTTCAATTTGACCTGTATTTAAAATATGAGTAAAATTAATTTAAATCATACATTTGTACATATACATTGGTCGCGGAAGATGGGGGACATCCGGGACATTAAAACTGGAGGGAGGGGTTTATACAACATGGGCAGATGATGGGGACATTTAATAACCGTGGGGACATTGTCCATCCATCCCCACGTATGTATATCATCAATGTTGACCTACCTAAATCCACGCCGGGGCTCAAACTCTTCCCACAATCTTCGATCAAATCGGTTCGAGCAACCTAAAGGATTTACAATGTTTTCGAGTAAAAACCCGAACAACGATTTCGTATCTTTAATACAAGTGAGAACCTTATATTCTCCGGTGAGGACGTCAATTTCAACTTCCGCGAGTGCCAAGGCCCAAACTTCGTACTCCTTAAGATCATCCTTCGGTCCAGGTCTGAATTATGGTATGCAATTTATTCATACATCAGTTGTACTATATTTCTATTTGATCATTTATATTTTCCATACGTGTAAGAAGCCGTCAAGTCGATTTTGGCTTGATGAGCTGCAGCAATTAATTGTTCCCAGGTTGGATTTTCAAGCTTTTCCAAAATTGGTTTCAATCTTTCCTTAATGGTTTCACAGGCTCGTAGTGCAGCCTAAAAATAAATGTCACACTATATTCGGTAACGGTCGACGTATAACGATAATAAATGGTCGAATTAATACTTACAAAACAACAAACTTCAGAGGCTATAGAACCCCCGCTAGAAAAAGCATTGGCCCCAACGAAATTGTTTGTGGGCTTCAGCTTGATTTTATCCATTGGGATTTGGAAGCTTTGTGCGATGGTTTGTAGAACCTGAGAATGTAACATTTGAGAGTTATTTTTTTTACTAGTAGGCCATCAATAAATTGGTCCATGGTCCACTATTACATGGTCTGTGGTCCATCGATGGACCAATTTTTTGTGGTCCATGGTCCATGAATCATGGACTATGATCCATTGCGAGCTATGCCGAGTGTATACCACTGATTGTAGAATTTATTCTCACCTTAGTTTGAAGACCTTGTCCCATCTCTACTCCTCCATGAGTACAAGACACTGTTCCATCAAAATGATAAATGGCTATCATGGCAGGAAAATTGCACCCAAACTCGTACCTTGTTACACAAGTTAACCTTGTCATTTGAATCGTTTTGATAAAACAATATCAAAATTATAGGGAATTTACCCCACATGAAACTTCACAGGAATCAAAGAGAGGCCTCGCTTTTTCCATCGATTCTCCTACAATAGATGGATGAAAATACGATTTGGATATGCTTGCGCACATGCAATGCCAGCATATCTAATTAGCATATTTCTTTACCTTGTTAAAAGTTTCCACAAACTTTTTTCGGTTTTCATAATCTCCGGATTTCTTCATCTCTTCAACTAGTCGAGGTATCTGGTTTTCTTCTTCGAAATTACCTCCTCCGAAAAATGTTGGAAGAAACGGGTCTCCTTTTTCAATAAAGTTCACTTGACGAACGAGCAGAGATTCTTTCTTCAAGTAAAATGCGATATGTTCCATGATATTCTCCTATTTAAAAAAAAATTAGTCCCAAAGTGTTTAAAATATGTCAACTAGATGAATAAAATTAGAATTTCTTATAAACTCACAATCAAAGCGACCCCTTTCACAGATCCTGGCGCACGAACGCTCGTATTTGTTGCTGTATTTGTCGTAACAAAACCTGGCTTAACTTCCCAGCCCAATGCCTTATAAACGTTTTGCATATGCATGGCTGCAATAATTGAGTCTGCTTCATTTGGTGTAAAGCCAGCATCGCAAAAAATTTCGGTCTTTAAGTTGCCAATTTTTCCAACATCGTTAAACCCAACCTATAAATAAAACATAATTTTAGAACCAAACTAATTAGGGAATTTGATGGAACCAAAGTTCCCCAAGTAATTTATATGTTTTTGCGTGTACTTCGTATTTCATATAAAATGGGAGTCGTCGTCCCAACATCTTCATATTGGTTTCGATATCCAACACAATTCGAACTGGTTGACGAACTGTGGTGGCAGCAACGGCGGCAGCAGCAGCGATGTGGGCAGGCTGGGTTATCTTCCCCCCAAAACCACCCCCTATCCTTTTAACTTGGATGTTTATGCTAAGAACCAAGAATTATGCATGCAATTAAATGTAATTTCATTGTTACATATGATAAAGAATAATTACGGAATTGCAATTATTGATCAGCACAGATTTTTTTAAATGAATACGTAAAATATCTCTGTACGTGCGTACCTGCTGCAAGGAATTCCAAGTACCAAAGCAAGGTTATTTTGAGTATGATCCATCCACTAGCAAAATAAATGTCTCATTTTAGTACATCAAATTGGAAATATGTACCTAAATGACATATGTTCATACTTGTGTAGGAATGTGCATGTCGATTCCATCCTCACGTGGTATGCAAAGACAATTTAAGGTTTCCATAAAGTAATGGTATTGCGATCTATGTATGCATTCGTAATTAAGTACTTAAAAAATAAATTCAAGGTGGGTAACGCTTAATTAATTAAAATTTCATATAATTACCCGATTTTCATATCTCCACTGATGGTGTGGTTCACACTGACGCTGGGGTCACCCTCACTGGTAAATGTACCAATAAAATGCTTTGGCAGAAGACCAGCAGCCTCCACATTTTTTATGGCGTCCATTATATCCACGATAGGTTTGGTTACCCCTTCGTATGCAACTTTCACCTTTCTACTTGCCTCCACGGCTATTTGTCGGTTTTCTGCTAAAAGGAGTCCAATTGATTGACCGTGGTAGGAAACTTTGTCACCCACGTTCACAAACACCTGTAACAGTGTAAATATTTCCATATAATTACATATTTTTAACACTTACAATGGAGGTATCCCAGCGGATGCTCTCCGATTTTGAGAAAACTAGTGTCAACCGATAACGAATTTGATTAGTATGAAATTGGCAAAAGATCCGATCTCCCAATGAGCACGTTTGGCAGAGATATTTGCATCGGAAGAGGAGAAAACGCGCAGTAAATTTTTAAAATAATAATAATAAGCATTTATTTATATATGAAAATGTAAAATTTGTCAACTTTAGGGCACGTTTTCTCCTCTATCTCTGCCTAACTTGCGTGGCTTTTGCAAATTTCATATTAATTAAATTCGTGATCGATTGACACTAATTTTGCTCAAAATCTGAGAGCATACGCTGGGAGACCGCCATTGTTAGTGATGAAAACTATTAATTAATTAAAATATACTTCATACCGGTTGGGGTGCGGCCGTGGGAAAAAAGAAAAATTCCATGAAATTGTTCTTCCCTTTGATATCTTTTGCCGTGATAAGCTGAACAACTCCTGGCATGGCCTAGTAAATCAGAATATTATTGTTTAAATGCGATTTTCTGTAGTACCGAATTTATTATCTATCTTCTAGATATTTACCAGTGCTTCAGTGGCGTCGATACTCTTGAGGGTGCCCGAACCAATGGTACTGAGGATGAAAACGCCAAATAACTCATCCGGCCGTTTGGGTATGTCGGTCGTGTATTCTGCTTCTCCTGTAATTTTTGGTGATAATGTATAACAAGAACTGCAGGTAATTTTGGTTGACAAGCTTAAAAATTCTTACGACATACCGGACGCTTGCCAAGCTCCTTCATATTTTGGCATAGCTTTATAAAGTCTGGAGTCCGACTTATCGGACTCGAAGACTTGAGTGCCTTTACTGATTGACCTTGGAATATCCGGTCCTCCACTTTTTATGTGCTGACTCGCTTTCCCAGGCAGGATTCCCAAAATCGTCTTTAAAGAGTGCGTATTATAATTAGGACATAAATGTGCATATCGTCGCTGTTCGTGCAAAAGTTGCCGGGTGAGAAATCAGTCGGAAACAGAAGTTATCGCTTTCAAAACCAGGGGTAACTTGGAAATATACGGATTTGGGAAATATGAGACTCCATAACTATAACAGGGTGTCACGTTTTTCTCGCATTTTCATCTGACAACTTGTGTTTCCGATTGGTTACTCAGCGGACAACTTTTGCACGAACAGCGACGATTTGTACGTATGTATAGTTGCATTATACTAATTATCATCGCTTTAGCTTAATACCTTATACAACAGGGATTGAGTTAAAAACTTTCTATACTCTGGAATTGCTTCAGGAGGGTGGAAATCGGGTTTAATCTCTTTATCCAGGATTTGGAAAGCGTTTTGCAAAACTTGATCGTTTCCAATGTCTGGGTTTTTTGCTAAAAATTCTTCCGTAGCAGTTGCATGCACCTAATAAATATTTATAGATATTAACATCCAGTCCCGTTATGGAAGATGATTTTTCGTAATATAATAGCTTTACGAATTGTGGATTTATTCCGCCGTAACAAATTCGAGGTTGTTCTGCAATCTTTCCATCCACAACTTTCAGGAGAAATCCTGCGTTTACGTAAGCATGCGCGTTTTGGAATCGCCTCGTTATCTGTGCGAAAAACCATATGCAAAACAATTTATATACGTATTTGTGTGTAGTATGAATGTAAATAAGTATGCTCACAACAATTGGGAACATAAAACATAAAACAAAAAAGATAAACCAATACAAAAAGTATATCGTACTTTAAACGATCTGAAATGGTAGTCGGTACTGCGTTTTGGAAAATGTACGGACAAAATGAGTTTGCCGTTCATGTCCGTCTTTAAGAAATCCATCATTGTGACTAATTTCATTCCGATAGTACAATCACTAGATGCTAAAATGTATTAAATAAGTATATCCATTAGGAATTCATACTTCTTAATTGGTCATTCATAACGCACTGATTTTACTTTACCGATGGTTAGTTTTGCTCCAGCTGTCTCCAGCAGCACAAAGACGTCAGATGGAAAGTCATGATGGGCGTGTTTGATCATCAAATTCCCAGCAATTGTTGCATTCTGAGAGATAACAGAGAATTGACAGAGAATCGATTGGAAGCGTAAAATATCGTAAAGCGTTTATGATTTACATTTCGAACAGGAACATTAGCAATTCTTTCCATGTGTTTGCTGATTTGTGCCACATATTCAAATCCAGCTTTAGTTTTAGCAACGTCGGCAAAAAATGCAATCGCAGCCGTTAAAGTTACCCCTCCCCCTAAAAGAACTTCGCACGAGTCGACTTTTTTCTGTTTCAACTCCGGGATTCCATTTATTTCGATGTAAGACGAGTATGGACCTTCGTGTTTGTAAACACCTACAAAAAATCAGTTAGTTTTAGTCATATTTTGAGTAATTTACTTCCAATGGACGAAACATTTATGCAAATATGTATGAAGCTATGTACCAGTTGAAGTATTCCCAGCGACAAATCTCATTCTTTTACCATCAGAGTTCGATTGTTTGATTGCTTGAAACACGACTTTTAAATCAACGGCTGTGGTCCACACGGATCCATTTGCTAACACGATTGTGGAGTTTTCTTTGGGTTTGGCTTTGTCACACTTGCGTCCTTGACCTTGTCTCATGGGGCATGGACATGAAGCACAATCCTGCAAAAAATATCGGAAAAATTAAACACAGTTTAAAGCTTATTTTGTTTAATTATTTAGTTAATTACATACTTCAATGTCATCACATTTCCGCTTCAAGTCTTCCAGCGCATCGACGGCGAGAGACTTGAAAGCGTCAAGAATAGGACGATAGCCGGTACACCGACAGATATTTCCGTCAAAATTATCTTCAACTTCTTTAACTGTTACTAAACCGTCTTTCTTTGATTCTCGCAGGCTGTGAATCAAAATTATGTACAATGACGTATGGAAATTAGTTATTAAGCATGTAATGTATGCAACTATTTATGGATGTATGTACCTGTTCATGCTCATAATCATCCCAGGAGTACAGTAACCTGCATAATATGAGACCGATTTTAGTAGATGAAAAAACAAATAAGAAGTAGTCATTCGCCGTAAATATTTACTATGAAGTATCATCTCTTTTCGTGCAAAAGTTGTCAGTTTTGAGAAAATAAATCAGTCGGAAATAGAAGTTCTCGGCTCATTTTTGGGAAATATGAGACTCCATAAGTATAACATTGTGTCACATTTTTCCCGAATCTTCATCTAACAACTTATGCTTCTAACTGAATCATAATGCTAATTTTTAACGCTTCCATTACCGCATTGTGTTCCATGAAAGTTAACCAAGCGATTTTGAATGACATCGTATCCAACGTCTTTGTTCCCAAGATCTTCCACCGTCGATATATCCCAACCTTGACAGCTGTACACTGGAGTCATGCACTGTGTAAAATGTGTCAAGTATTAATTCATTTAAACTCGTTTTAATCCAGTCAATTGCTAATTTAATATAAAAAATGCATACAGAATTTATCCCCTTTGTGACATCAGCGCCAATTGCGGCGTCCTTTGTGCGGACGGTAACAACGCATGCGCCGCACCCCCCTTCCCGACACATTACTTTTGTCCCCTTTAAACTTGCATGGTCTCGGATAAAGTCCACCAACATGGTTTCCGAGTTGACGTTTGACGTGTTGGCGTCAACTGCGATCGATAGTTATCAGTTCATCATGAATCATTCATCAATTTTCAGATTTATTTGCGTATATAAAAAATGTAAAATTTTTAACCAAAATATTTATGTACTTACCATGATATTCTTTTCCATTTATGGTGAAACTGATGGTACTCGCATTTGATCCAGATCTACGTACATAAACAAATTGGGTAGAGGATACACTTGTTTGAATTCTTATTTTGTATGTTTAAGGTATTAATTTTCGTACCCCTTCCCCATGGTTGAAAGATCCTGAAATTCAAAGAACTAGGTCAGAAATGCAGATGAGAAACCTAAAATTAACAATGTTTAGCTATGTCGAGTTAAACAATCAGCGCACTATAAAACACGAACATATATTCTGCAAAGACAAGTTGAGTTAGAAGTTGGGGTAGATATGCATTAATCGGAGACCTTGAATCTATATTCCTATACATCCATGCCTTGGATGAAAAATGATGAGTATGGAATCTGAAAACAGTTCTATGTATCTGTCTGTAGTGCAAATTACAGCTAGACATGCAAACAATTTTGTACCAAAAACAGCAAATTGTTTAGGAAATTAGTACGAAATTGGGTTATTTTGAAACGATGTATCATTTACCTGTGTTACTTAGGATTAGATTAGTAAATCCAGTAATGCTGACCTTTCAAGACCGGTCTGCAAAATAGGTGATGCTCACAACAAAGCTTGAGTAACACTGGAGGTGTATGTACACACTGGAAATATAAAATCTAGCCAGTCACTAGTGACTCACTACCACGGGTAAGTGGCAATTCATGCTGTGTACATATTTTATATAATTCCCACTTGATTCATGGTCATCATGATGAAATTGTCAAGCTATATAGTTGTATTACAAGTATTTTTTTACTCCATTTGTTGCACTTCACACTATTGGGTGATTTTTTTTTCTATCCGAAAAAGGTCTACATATGTACATATTCCTGTATGATCATAAACATCACGGGATCCACGGGTTGGCGTCATCACTGGAAGTGGAACTGGAAAGTGCACCTAGTGACTGGTAATTTGGGTACATGTTTGTAGCGTTCTGAATAAACCCTGGCAAACGAATGTAAAGAAGTAGCATCAAAGCGATTGAAATTCTCTTTAAAATGACTGACTATGAAAGTTATGGTCCAATTTGGCGTTTGACCTTACGCCAGGGTCACCTTGACCTTGACGGGAGGGACCCAATTTTCTAAATCCACTGAGGGGTCAAAAATTAGAAGCACAATGGCGAAAACGGTGTTGGCTTATGTTGAGGCATTCTGTTTACAAACGGACAGACAAACGATCACAACATGCAGATGCTATTATGCAATTTAAAATATACATGTGGGTTTTATTAGCAGAAAAAACAGTAGTACAACATCATATAGCAACAAACTTTTTTAAGGCAACTTACAATGCGATGACGCCAGCGGTCTCGCTCCGATTTTGACGAAACGACGAAAAATATGTAGCCTTAGGTAAATAATTAGACACGTGTTTCCGGATTTTTCATAATGCTCAGGTTAAACGAAATTATGACGAAATCCGTGAGCGAGAATTCCTATTTTCACGGTGACATTTTTCTGGCAAGGGAGAAAAATACAGATTCTCCATTAAGGAGTCCATCATAATTTCGTTTAAACTTAAAATTGGTGGGCACGAAGTACTACGATTTTGGTTTGTTGCATTTTCGAAAAGTTTTCAAAATTTTCAGAAATTTTCAAAAATTTTCAAAATTTTCAGAAATTTTTTGAAATTTTCAAAAATTTGAAATTTCAAAATTTGTACAAGCAACATAAAATCGGGAAAAACACTTCATGCCAACGCATTTTAAGCTTAAACGAAATTATGATGGACTCCGTAATGGAGAATCTGTATTTTCTCCCTTGCCAGAAAAATGTCACCGTGAAAATAGGAATTCTCGCTCACGGATTTCGTCATAATTTCGTTTAAACTGAGCATTATGAAAAATCCTGAAACACGTGTCTAATTATTTATCTAAGGCTACATAATTATCGTCGTTTCGTCAAAATCGGGGCGAGACCGCTGGCGTCATCGCATTGTTAGTACACACTCGCCCATCCGCTGGCCAATTATTTGCACCGCATTTTCAAGGTTGCAGTAATTACAAGTTTTTGCTCCTTCTACTTTTCAGGATTATTATTTTTTGTTCTAATGTTTGGCAAAACTCGTCTGTGACGGTCGTTTCTCATTATTCGAAGGTAGAACTGTATCCACATATCTAACATATGCAGGTACCATAATATCTAATAACCTAAAGCGCTGAAATGTGAAATAAAAGTGAAATAGTGTTGACATGATTGTACACTTTTAACTCAAACCAGAGCTTATGCATTCGCCTGGAAATACATATGTGCTTGTGCATATGGCGATAATTCGAGTAAAACATTAGCGATAGACATGCAATTTTTTACCATATGCCAAATAGTCAAGTTTGAAGATGAGTAAAACGTATGTGTCGTAATTTTGTACATGTATACAACTTTTGGTGTCCAGAAATATGCAAAATCCAAAATTCAATTGAGGCAGATTGCGAGATTTGGCTAACGAATTTCATTTCACTTAAAAATTCGTTTACGAGAAAACTAAATAGGCAAAACGTGTCCCATATTTGCATAATTCAATTATTACTTATATGTCATAACTCAAGGCAATCAAGTAGTGAATCATATTGGGATCATATAGGGATTTTTATGTATATTTAGAAGCGATATAGAGCGATAAAGTGTCAAATAAGTAATCTTTCATCAATATGTCATGATTTTAATATGCCAGGAATACTTATTAAGTATTACATACCTTTTATTCGAGCCAAGTTACTCATTTATTTTAAAATTCTTTCAATTTCAGTTTGTGAATTATGCAATTTCATGTAATTTCTTATGCTCATAATTTTCGTCACTGCAATTAATTAATTCCTCCTCAATTCCGTATTTATCTATGTCATCACGTAATTTTTATTATTTAGCGATTATTAAAAATTCTCCAGTCCATAATAACACGCTCAATCAAACATATAAGTATTATATAAACACTGTCTAACACATTTTGCATGTATACGTATAATAATCATTATGTATGAACGATTAAAACTGGCCTAGAAACGTTACCGTCTCTTCTTTTCTTCCTAATTAATTTATTCTTAAATACAAATGTCAATGTATTTATAACAGAAAAAAATGTATCAATAACTAATTAATAAGTGCTTAATTATTATAGCGTCTCACAAGAACAAGAACAACAAACTCGCTTCTTTTTCTGTCTTCTCCCCACACATTTTGGCCAATAATAATCAACATTATTACTTATTTTTGTCGTACAATTACACAAATGTAATCTCTTCTCTTTTCGGGTGACTGACTACAAAACGAGAATTTTAATAACGTGTCTAACATGTAGTAAATATTACTTATTGATGAATATTTTTTTACCTGATCAAGGATAAATTATTAGTCGTCGTCGTCGTATTTGATAATAATCAACATTTTTATGATACTCATCTCCCCTTCTTATCTATTGTAAAAGTAATGATAATTTCTTGTCGAGTTGTTTTATTTATGATCGCATACTAATAAATATAAAGAGCTGTCGTGAATCTCATCAGTTTTTTCGAAATTTTACAACTCTGTTTTTGATTTTGTATGTTGCACCTTGGTTGATTTTTTTATTGCCTAAATTACGGTTCTCCTCTCTGTAAATACAAACTTATCGTCGGCGTGTAATAATTTGAATAGAATAACGGAAAAGTAAGTACAAGAAGAGAGCTTGTTTCTGTTTTGGCACTACAAAAATTGAAATATTTTTTGGTTCTATCGTGCACATATTTATTAATTATTAATAATTCAATATTTATTGGGATGACTATTTTATACGCAAAAAGTCACAAACCTTTTGAGCTTTCTTTTCACAATTTCTTCGTCTTGATCAAGTTTAGAGTAGATTTTTTTAATCTAAAAACCTAACTTGACTTAAGTAATTGAACAAAAAAGTCGAGAATTATTAGTCGAATAGTTTACCGCTATTTTGTTTAGAATTTATGTATCCCTTAAAAGTACGCCTGTTAGTTATTAGCATTCGTCATTTCATTTCTGTGTAATAAGTTCAAAATGATAAGTACTTATCATACATATTTCGTTATTAGTTGAGTGTATGTAGTTAGTACATAGTTTTTAATTTTTAGTGAGTGAGTGTTTTGAGAGATGGGATTTTCTTCTTTATGTATTTGTAGCAGTAAAAATCTCATTTTTTTCATTTCTTACTCAATTTTTCTACCTTATTTATGCAAGATTTAGAAAATTTTGTAATAGTTCTTCATTTAATTTCACGAATTTTTTCAGTTCACTAGCAAAATTTTCAAAAAGTTTGCAGCACAACACGTCAAGTTAGATAAGTAGGTAATAAATATTTAGTATGGATAATATTGTTATTAAAAGTGTATAAGAGGGGCCTATAGTCATACACTATCCATGGCGGCGAATCTTGCGCCGGCATTGTCACAAACATGAATTGGTGGGCGTCGTAGTTGCAGTCTTCTCCTCCTCCTCCGCTGAAAAAGTGAGAATCATTTTGTAAAAAATTATAAAAAATAGTGAACAAGGGAAGTCTTCCAGCGTATGCTCTCAGATTTTGGCAAAATTAGTGTCAATCGATCATAAATTTTATTAGTATGAAATTTGGGAAAGATACGATCTCCCAATGGGCACGTTTGGCGAAAATATTTGCATCCGAAGAGGAGAAAACGCACAGTTTAGAAAGTATAACATTTGTCAACTTTACTGCGCGTTTTCTCCTCTTCGGATGCAAATATCTCCGCCAAACGTGCCCATTGGGAGATCGTGTCTTTAGTAAATTTCATTTTAATTAAATTTGTCATCGATTGGCACTAATTTGGTCAAAATCTGAGACCATAAACTGGGAAATCTCCCTTATAAATCACAGTTTTCTGTGTCCCGTAAATATTCTCACCTTTCTCCGCTGACCCCAAGCACACACAACAATGATGAAAAATAGTCCGATTGCCACACCCACTCCGATAGTGAATAAGAGATTCATATCCCCAATATCGATTCCACCTGAAATTCGAAAATTATTTTTGGTCTAACTTCATAATTCATCAACTAAAACAAAACAATAATCCAGCCTGTCCGTCTTTCTCTATCATCCAATATTTAACATTCAATTTTACTTGCAACTTCTCTAGTACATCTGATTTAAATAGTACTAAAAATATTTTACCTGTAATTATAATCACCGCGAGGTTGAAAATTTTTACAGCGTTTTTTTCGTAGTAATTCTATTCATATTTGGCATGCTTTTTACTTAGATAGATAGATACTTATCATCAAACTATGGACAAGGGTGCAAAAGCGGATGCAGTGCTTTCTTAGACGAGATACATACATAATTTCAGGGATTATAAATACATTGCATGCATGTAAAAAAAATCATATTTCAAAAATTATTTCATATTTATGTGTAACTGAATAAAAATGACCGTTTCTTTTTTTGAAAAATTTCAATCTCATCATTAAATGATAACCCACACAGTAGAGAAAATAATAAATAAAATGATGCACAACAACTGATGAATATGTTGAGATAAGATCTTACCCGTCAGGCCTGTGAAAGTGTTGAAAGATTGAAATGGTGATTGATTGATTGATATGCATTTGATCAGAATTGAGAGAAGGTGTCATCGCGAATCATCAGGTCAGGGTCAGGGTCGGCACAGGAAATGTCAAGTAAATTTCAAACCATCAACATTTAGAATTTTTATGTTTAACACCCATTTTTTACAAAATTAAATATTCCCGAAAAATTAATCGATATTAATTCATATTATGATCAAATTATAGAAAAATTATCCCTTGTAAATTTTGCGTGTTATTTATCATCGTTTTGCGAACGATATAAGTTAAGAAAAATTTGAATTAAATAAAACGTAAACAAAACCCATTAATTGAATGAATTTTACTGTGATGGATTATTGAAAAAGTAAGCTTTTTTGTGTACGTAGTAGAATATGATTGATTCCATTTGATGATGAAAACATGCATTTTGAGAAGATGAAAAAAAATATAATAAAACTCACAATACGCAATTAAAGTTATGGCGTTTAAAGGAGAATAAAAGTATTCAAGATAACTACTTATTCTACGTTTTAGAAGCTATTAAATGGCAAAATCATAGGACACGGGTAGCAAGAAAAGATGTGACATAGGGCGACGGCAAAGGGTAACAGCAAGGGTTGGTGGACAAGAAGAAGAAGAATTTTTAGGGGACAGAAGAAGAGCAAACAAGAGATTGAAGTACAACAGGTTGATAAAAAGTGTGGAAACGCACCGCTACCTGTAAACAGAACAAGGACGCGAGAACAATTTAGAAAAATTGTACGAAAATTATTTTTGCAGGTGTACGAAAAATCTTTACTTCAAGAGGGATTTACATAATATAGGGTGCATGCAGTAAGTAAATACGTAAAAATAACAATAACGTAGGGATATTTTTTTAACGAGAAATTAATTGCCTCAAGATAAGTTAAAGTTTTGATAATAATTTTGCAGGTTGATGGTGTATTATAAATCGAATGAGATGTGCAGAGTATATAAATAGCAAGTTAGAAAATGTGTGGGTTTTTAGTTTAAAAAGATGAATAAGAAAGATGTGCAATGATGAAAATTGTAGATTAATGGGGATAAAATACGTACAAGTGCTGTCTTCTTCATCGGAATGGTCGTAGGTAACATTAGCGATGCCGCAGTTCCTCGTCCCGTCACATTTTAGGTCCATTGGAATACAAAATTGGGATTTAGCACAGCGGAAAAAGCTGTTGTGGCAGTTGGAGATTGATCCTGAAAAAATTAAGGAAATAAATATATGAAGCGTCTCAAGGGATCCAGATTGAGTTTTAAAATTGGTCTGAAATTGTGCATTTTTCATGTATAGAAAAATGGAGTGAAACAAAACTCCAAAATTATTTAGACTGGATGTTGAATTTGTATTATTTCCTACATGATAAGTACCTATTAAAAATAATAAATAATTTCTTACCATCTTGAACTTCTGTCCAAACGGCACGGAAGCCTAACAATCATCATTTTAATTATTATTGAATTGTTATTTATTGATTTTAAAATATTATTAAAACTATTCCTTAAAATAAAATAAAATATTTTTTTTACCTGGAGCACCTATTGCTTTGTCCGCCATTATGAAGCTGTAACGAAATTATGCCATCGTAAAAATCAATACTTGCAGTCATTTTGAGCGAAAAAGATTAACTTACGTAATACGCATTGTATTTCTTGTTGAAACAAATTGACTATTTTCCTGTAGCAACTCTTGTCCGCAAAGTTCGACCGGAATTCCATCAACATCCTCCCAAATTCTGACAGCAGCTGCGGCACAACCTCGAGCTGTTATAGTTTGAAACAAAGTGATAATTTATATCATGTTGAGTTATGATTGATTGCTCTGCTGCATAATTTTAGACTATTTTCTCACTGTTTGGGTCTCCTTCGACGGAAAATTGTTGGAAATGGAGCATAACTCGGTTTCCAGGTCGGACTGCCAAGTACCAGTTACACGTTTTGTGCCCATCGCCCTTGGTTGTGGAGGGTCCTTCGTATTTTGCAGGCCATTGTGGGGAAGTGATTTCACCGCTTATTGCATTACTAATATTTCCACCGCAGTCGTCTGAAATTAGTAAATAGTTTGTGAGATTAATAATAAACAAATATATAAAATTCGTATCTAGACTTTACCTCCAAACACATTCCCCGGCGTGAAAAAGCTGTATCTCGCCTTAAATCCGGAATAGACGCCTTCGTCATCCGTATGCAAGAGGATCTTGAGTGCGTCGGCCTGCTCTCGTGATTCGATCGGCCCTGGAGCCGTCGATCCACAATATCGACCAACTAACCTGTCTTCTTGATGAGCAATGACATTCCAAATTTCTACCCAGTCTTCATCGCAATTACTCCTGTAGAATAAGAGGAAAAATAGTATTAATATTTACCCTGAGACATAAGGTCAAGTCAGTATTTCTTACCCATAAGCTCCACGATCCGTCAATACAAACTTATCTGCCCTGAGTTTGAAGCCGTCAAAAACAATGCGCACTTGTTCTTTAGGATGCTCCATGTGAAATAGATACATACCTGAAAATTTAGTAAATATACATAAATGTATCAATTTAGGTGCTTTAAGTTATCGACTTGTTGATAAGCCCATATGCACTTACAATTAGTTTTAGAAGGGTAGTTGGAAGGGAAACGTGGCGAATTAAATTCTCCTTTCATACGCGATGTGCTATAATATGTAAAATGGCAGGGTACTCCAGGCTCTTCGGTTCCAGGTACGCGATATTCTGTAAAAAGTACAAACAAAATTTGCATGTAAGAGAAAGTCTTAATTCGTATAAAATAATTAGTTAAACAAATAGTTCACCTGTTTCAAAGCTGAATCTGCCTTTAAACCCTGAACCCTATTAAAAATACGTAATACTCGTTAGAATTGCGGCTTTGTTGTATTCTGCAAGATGAAAAGTGATTAAATGTGAATACTACTAACCTGCGTTTCTCCAGAACTGAAGACCAAGACCATCCTAGGTCCATCAGAAACTACACTGTGAGGCAACTCTTTGCCACAAAACTCATAGTCTGCTTTGTCATAAGCCTGAATAACTTCTTGACCCTTTAAGTAAACTTTTAGAAAGCCGTCGCCACATCTGCGAAAAAAAGTAAGGCCAACTTTTACCTTGTACTACAAAAAGTTGTGTAATTTCGTTATTTCGGGAGAAGAATGAGTACCTTTTGACATCTGATTGATTGACCTCATCCTCCGCACTGTTGGACTGAGATGGAACATCAAAAATTTCAAAAGAAAGACGAACTCGTTCCAAGTTTTGTTGGTCCTGGAGTCCATAGACAAAATAGCGACATACAATTTTAGGAAGGTAGGGAAAAGGGTAGTTCGGTGAGTAGACAACGCCAGAAGATTGTCCCTTGCTTAAGATACGCTGGTCACATTCTGTCCCACGAATATGGTCACCTGTTCAAAATTAAGAAGTGAAATTGACTTAGAAATTTTTTTCTTGATGTTTTTAGCTTTAAAATTCTCATCATTCCCCGAAATGCAGTTAGAAAAGCATGATAAGTTTACTCACCCATGTTCTTTTCGATAAAATCTGCAAACGAGAGATAAAAAAACATTCATTTAATTCAATTAATTGTCCCACCCATCAGACCACGAAATCCCCGAGACGTGACATTGACAAATTGGGATTGATTAAATGAAGACATGCCAAAGCCAGTCGTACATTTTCGTGGTAAATGGCATGTCCCGCATTAATTAATGGATGGGCTTTAATCAAACTGTGTGTATATATTTACTTACCAAGCTTGACGAACGAGTTGGAGAACTCGTACACAGCACTAAACCCCCTATTTTGCGAGTCCGTATTTCTATCCAATGTGGTGAAAGTGACCCTTTAAAAATGAATAGAAATGGCATGTAGAACATGTGGTGAGAAATAATTAATGCATATGCACCAAATCGGACAGGCAGATAATTTAATTGCGGTGAACTTACAGCATCATGTGCTCGGAAGAATATATGACAAGATTTCTCTGTTGTCCACAATACGTCCCGATAAGCGGAGAGGTCGGGTCGGCACCGTCATAAACTTTAACGTCGTCGAACGGACAACTAATTTAATGACAGAAAAATTCGAAAATTTTTAGAAAAATTCAATCCATAAGTCAAAATTCGTAATTTTATTACGTACTGTTGTCCACCATAGAAAACGTCAAAATCCCGAAATTCTATTCTCACTCTTTGCCCCGGACTTCCAATAAATTTGTACGAACAGGACAGATTTTTTGGATAAACTCCAGGATAAGTTGGCGATAATAGTTCTCCAATCCCTTTGTTGGACGAGGCTAAAATGGTGTAGGAGCAAAGAGTTCGTGGTACCGGGGTTCCCACGACGTATCTCGCTGTTACGGAATCAAATTAGTCAATCAATTTGTTATGAAATTGGCCATAATTTCGCCCATAACTCAGTTATCCGCCAATATTACGTGTCACTTACATTCGTTGATAAATGAATAAGTGCCCTGGAAGATGGGCTCGTCGGTGGAGTTCTTATCCGAATAAAACCCAATGGCGATCCCTCCATAGAGAGAAATTCTCTTTCTGGGCGGAATCTTGCCACAATATCTTCCGCTAAACGGGGTAGTTATCAAGTCTGTGAGATCCGTCCCCTCAACCTCCGTCCAGATATCGACCCACTCGTGAATACATCTAGACATAGGAAATCAAACATAAAATTCTGATTGAAAGGAATGCAATAGGCGGAAAACGTAGCTAAAAATACGGAAAATGCATAGTTTCCTGAAATTTCCGCGGAGAAAGTCGCCAAAACATATGTTCAACTTACTCAGGTGGCGTTCCTCTAACGTTGAATTCTTCAAAATTAATATCGACACGTTCACTCGGCCGAGCCACGAACATGAGCATGCAAGTGTATGTGATCTAGAGAGAGAAGAAGAACCCAATCTTAATTAGTGAGGCAACTTGAGACAGGTAAATATTTATTTATGAATCCTCCACTCCACTCCACTAACCAAGTTTCCTTCTTCAATGGGTAGAATGGGAGACTCGAAAGTTCCATTCTTAGGACCATTTTGCGAAGAGATGTAAACGTGATCACATTCTGTGCACACAAGATAAATACGTCAGCATATGTACATATCATTGTCATCCGATTCTAATTTTAGGCTGGGAAAATAAATTCATCTTCGTTTACTTACTGCTCATTGCTGCGGAATCATCGTCAATCCCCGCCCCCACGGAGGCCACCAGACGACTCAAATCTCTCCTTATTTGAAGCGATGTTTTATGAACATGTTGCGACTTTGTTTCATCAACTTCTTCAAGATCTTTATTTGCTTTCTTTTTTATATTGGAATTGGAACCCGAGTTTTCTTCATCCTCTTCGTCGAACGGGATCGAGTTGGAAGAAGAAGAAGAAGAGGCGGCGGCGGAGGCTCTAGAAGAAGTCGAGGACGCGGAAGGAGTACTTTTCAAACCGTACGATAACGATTCTAATCTGCGAGGTTTGATAATGACCCCCAAACCACCAGTCCCGTTCGGATAAACGCCAATGATTTCATTTCGGGTCTTGTTGTAATTTAGGATACTCTGATAAGCACCGCTTATCCGGTGAGGTGACGTCGCGTTGAATTCTAGAATGGGTACGATCACGGTTTGTGTGGCGGCCTTCTTTCTGGAAGATTTTGTGATTTTCTTTTCGGAAAGGGATCCTTTCGGATTATTGTCGGCTTGTTGGGTTGATGCCTCGTCTGGAAAGGGAGGAAATAAATATTTTGTGTCATAACTTTTGTGCAGCATAATATATGAATGGCGTCATATTATACGGTGGCAACAACTGGCTCGTGTGCATAACAGTGGCCGCGGAAGCTGTGGTGGGGACATTAGAATTGTAGGATAGGGGAGGGACGGGTTTATGTAAGATGGGGAGATGATGCGGACATCTAACAACCGTGGGGACATTGTCCCTCTGTTTCCGCGGCCACTGGTACACAACACACACACCAAAATGCAGTAATAATGGAGTAGAATGGAACACGGGGAGAGAGACGAGATGAAACTGAAAACTCTTCTTTGAACCGTGTGGCGTGGCGTGGCTTGGCGTGGCTGGCTTGGTTTGTTACACGCCTGGGTGAAAGTTGGCAAGAAAATTGAGGTCCCTCCAGCCCTCTGTCTCTCTCACTCAATATTATGTGTGCAGGTGTATTTAGCGAGTGAGTGGGCAAAGAAGGAAGGCACCCAGTGTATAACATTTCGCTAATGGAGATGAATTGCCCAACTCTATCCACTCACACTCATCTTTCTAATCACTCATTCCCTTTCTCTCTCTCTCCGTCCGATATTATCGCAAGAAGCGAACAGATCTTCTTCTCTTCGGAGAGCTTACAGGTTTACCTGGCACGTCAAAGGGAAGGGAAGAGAAAGTGGAAATAGGACGGGCCGTATAGGATTATTACTACATGCCCTAAGAATGAATTTTATATGAATTTCTTATCAAAAGAGGGAAGGAAGAAAAACGGATGGTGCGTCACATAGATAATTTTCGAGGAGAAGAAGACACTCCGTCGGACGGACAGTGTCAGCTCTCATAATTGAGACGGAGTTTAAAAGGATGCTTTCACCCGTTAAATCTGGACCAAACTTTCTCCTACTCACTCTCTTCATTAAGTCAACCTCCTCATTTCCCTCGACATTCTCGGCATAGCAAACTAATTAGATTTTCCCTCATTTTCTTACAGCCAATAAGAAGACGTAGCAGCTTTCACCTTCCGCCATCTTGCTTTCACCTTAATTTAAGTGGTTGTCGAGTTAAAATCGCCTGATATGATGGCATTCTGATGACGATGACAAAGTCTCTACGATGACGGAAAGCGCTTCATGTAAAGTTGACGTTCTATTCAAATTTAAGTCTCTATTTTCCACTCCAACGAATAAAATAAGGCTTAACTTTAGAAAAAAATATTTACAAGGAAGACTTGATCGTTCTTTCTCCGAAAAAAGGAAACCGATTAAAATTTCCACTCGACATTTATTGTTCCCCGATGGAATTACGTTCTCGGGAATAAATATAAAAAAAAGTTGGACCAGGCGTCCGTCTGAGGATGAGGCACGCAACCATCACATCACGTCTTATCATATACGATGATGACGAATGACGTCAATTGTCCAGGACAAAATGTCCTTTGAGATTTGATTCACATCTCATCAACTTAACATCAACAACAACATCGAAAATGATGATAAACACACATTCGTCTCGGATTTTCCTCGATTTTTCTACCTGCTTTCACTCTTTCTTTTCTTCGTGACACTGCCAGGCAGTGGCCGCGGAAGCTGTGGGGACATTAACATTGTAGGATGGGGGGAGGGAGGGGTTTATATAAGATGGGGAGATGATGGAGATATTGAACAGCCGTGGGGACATTGTCCCTCTGTCCACACGCTTCCGCGGCCAGGAATGAAGACCAATCAGACCGCAGTCACTGTGTCAATAAGTTCTTTTTTACACGTCATCATCAACACATCATTCCTAATTTTATGTTCATGATGAAGACATATTCCGTACTTCTGATCGAATTTATCCATCAAGCTAAGCTACCTGGTCCGATATACGATTTGGTCCAAAATGTCCTTGAGATGATGCGTTCCTCCCGTTATTTGTTCAGACCAAGGACATTTATGACAAAGACAGATCTTCTCCTTCATCCAAAAGAAGTTCGTCTCTTTCTCTCCCTCTTTCTACCCTGTTTTTTTAAGATGCGATTGTATGGAACCCTTTGTTTATCGATCTATACCTACAAAACTCTTTGCAAGATTTGTCAATTTATTGTCAGAAAAAGAAAACGATTGCAAAATGAGGGAAGGAAAAGTAAGTAAGTAAAGAAACATGAGAGAGAAAGTTCTTCTTTTTCTCAAATATTGACTATTTTTTTATCTTTATAAGATGAAAGCTACTACTCTTTACATTATTTGAAGATGAAGAATGGGTACTTTATATTATGTCGACTTCAAATAATGTGTACGTATGTACGTCTTGATTTCCAAACAAATAAGTGGAAGTTTTCAAAGTAACTGAACTTTTGCCCTACTTACAAATCGGGGGCACATACATAAATAGTTTACCAGTTTTTATTTGTTCAGCATTATCGCCAAATTGGGAGAAAGCTAAGCTAAGAACTAAACCCGGACTAGTTCAGTCAGACAAATCACTCCGAAACAACATCGAACTTTGTAAAAAAAAAGCCAGGATCGACGAAATTAACGTGTTTTTCTACAAACAAGGTTTAGAAAGCGAGTTCATAGGTGAACCCCATAATTCACCGCAACCTTCGCCAAGCCAAAATAATGAATGGAAAGGCTACTCCTCACTTACCGATCGGCCGCTACATTCAGGTGGATTTAATAAAGAAAGATTTATGTTGACAGTCACTTGTCGAAAGCTCCCACGCCAAAAACCAACTAGCTCAGGAAAACTACACCTCAATCTAGCAGCTGAACCTAAATACCGCTCTATTATTTAACCTGGACTAGTGAAGAAGCTGATATGAATTTGCATGCATGCAATGGCCGCGGAAGTGTGGGGACAGAGGGACAATGGGGCCACGGTTCGATATCTCCATCATCTACCCCTGTTATATAAGCTCCTCCCTTCCCTATCCTACAGTGCTAATGTCCCCAGATGTCCCCACGGCTTCCGCGGCCACTGCATACATGTGTGATTCCCCCATGAATAAGACAATTCATTTCGATAACCTTTAAATCTTGCCTTTTGTACGTAACGTCTCATTTTTGTAGTAAATAATTTAACGAAAATCCGCTCACCTTATGAAATTAAGTTGCTTACGGTCTATTGAAAGCTTCGCCCATAAAGATGATCAAAATGATGAAAACCGCGAGAAAGATGACCAAACAGGCCACCGCAATTCCCAGCATCATTTTCGCACAGGTTCACTTAACACAATGGTTTCAGTTTTAATATGTAAATTGTAATATTTAAAAAGTTTACCGGTGTGTAAAATCGTAGTTAACAAACTTTTTTTTTTACTTCTGGTCTCCCTAAAATTTTAGATTATCTCGCAAAATTTAGACTTTGCAAAAATGAATCGCCTAACGAATATACGACGTTTATGCAAATCGTATACAGATGTAGATAACCTACCAAACCACACCACCCAGAAATATATTAGCTGTTGACTGCGTATGTATGATATGAAAATAAAGAAATGTTGCTGAAGGATGAATGGTTCGTGTGGAGTCGTAAAAGTCGTAAAAACCTTTTTATCACCTTCAATAAAACACCAGACACAGCGATGAGACTCGACCTTTACGGATCTCGTTTTCTTTGTAAATTTGCGTGTTTCTTTTATACGATAATGTGAAAATGGGCTGGTTAAGTCATCAAAAAAACTAACCACCTCGCCCTGGAAAAAAATGTACAATGATGATGATGAGCTATCTGGATGTAAGCTTTCCGATTTCTTTCTGAAATTTCAAGCCAAAATCGACAATTTGGTTTTTCAAAAATTTTCGATTTTTAACGATTTTTTCCTCCAAAGTAAGGTGTATGTATGTGAAGTGAAAGAAGGTGAAAGTGAGACTGGGGCGGAGAAGGGATAGAGTTTGGCTACAAAAGAGGAACACCACCACCACCACCGACCGACGAGGAGTCGCTGCTTTCTCCCAAGGGCCAAATCCTCTCTCGCTTTCTCCACTCAATCCACCTGTCCGCCTATGACATGGGCCACGCCGAAATAGAGATAGAGATACGTACCGACCGATTTTCCCTTCGTTATTCAACCAGCCATCCATCCATTCAATTCCATTCAACTCTCTGTTCTCTTCTGATCATATTATCATGATGGCTCTCCAGCCAGGGGGAACAAAACTCCAACAAAAATATTTCCCCTGGAGCATACTCGATCAAAGTTAGTGGGAAGTTTTTCCAACCAGGTAGAAAAACAGGGGTAATTATTATTAACTTATCTGACTCCTGAGATTAGTACGATCAAAATTCATACCGACGGAAGGTGCAGTGCAATAGGCTTTCAATTTTGGTAAAAATGTGGGTAAAAAACAACTATAATGAATCTACAGACAAATGTTCAGAAGGAAAAAAATCTGTAATTATCATACCTGTTCACTTTCATTCATTTGATTGATTATGATAGTGAATGATAGAGAATGAAAATGAATTTCTTGCTATTTCAGTGAAAATGAATGAAGGTTTTAATCATTTCAGATGAGTGACTGTGAATGAAAATTATTCACTGCTTTCACTTTTCACCCTACATATGCTTAATACATGGAGCGAAGTAACAAATGAAGTCCAATGAAGTGAAGTGAAATGAATTTGAGCGAAAATGACTGAATGTGAATGAAAATCTTCAGTCAGAAATTGGGATGACTGACTTTTGAATGAAAACTAAATTTTTGAACAGGTATGGTAATCATTATGATTACCTTATCTTCCTCCTGATCCTGATATTATCACGATCAAAATTCATACCGACGGATAAGCCTTCCAATTTTTGTAAGATCTGAGTAAAAAAACAAATCTACACACAAATTGTCACTACTTGAGAAGAGATGTGCCATGTTTGTCTCGATATCTCTCCGGCCGACTTTTTCGCCAGGTTTTTTCTTCCTCTTCTTTTTTTTCTGACAAGGCAAGAAGATTTTCTCCGAGTTTGGTACAGTATTCAAGAAGAACTTGTCTGGCTGGGTGCATATTTGAGTAGAAAGTAGACATCCAATGTAGCCCAAAAAGGACAAAGTAGACGTAAAACTTCCGGTATAGGAGACTAACCAACCAAGTTGGAGAGGATCAAGAAAAAAACAGTGACACGGGGCATGTAAGTAAAGTCTCAGGCTGTCTCTGGATGAGGATTCCGTGTTCCAGATTACTTATACTTTAACCCAATGGCCTTATTGTGTCAGAAAAGTGGACAAAAGTTGCAAATGTTATCTTTCACTGACTGTGAGGCTTCCCTACCTCACTTTCTCCTCCTCCTCTTGACTTGATTTCCCTCGAGTGAACAGTAATAATACGAGAAGATGAAGTAAATCGGCCATGAAATCAAGTCAAAAGATGACTTTTGTTACGTCCAATTCAATAAATCCATTATTCAACCCATCACACGGTGAAACTTTTGCATTCATTCATTTCATTTCATTCCGTCCGTCAGACAATCTGCTACATCAAGTTCGATCGATTACCCTAAAATATTGGGCAATTCTTCTTCTTTCTTCCAGGGTAAAATATTATTACCAATAATTTGCATAAAGTGAGTCGTCAATCTTTCTGATGACACGACTTCCCACTGTTTACCGGGATGATTAAGATAAGACAAACAAATATGATTGAGATGTCTGACATGTTTGCATTGTTGGGTGTACGGTTACTTGAATTTATTCAGGTTTTTGGTCCAGAAACGTAGAGATCCACGGAATTGACGTGAAATGAGTTTTTGAGGTTTTCTTCTCCCCACAGAGAGCGAGAGTAATAATGGTACGAAAACAACTTATTCCGCGTTTCGGTCGATATTCGCACTCCTCAATTCAATATCTTTGCCAATATCGAATCCAGTTCAGAGTAAGAGAAAGCAGATGGAAAGACGAGACTCAAAACCGACACGATCCCCAACATTTCAATTTGCACACACTTATGCCACCTCATTGGGAAGTCAAGTCAGCAACAAAATCCAGAATATCATCGTCGTCTCGGCTCTTGTATAATATGGGATTTTGCACATGATCACATAGATAAAATAGTTTTTTATAGGGGTTCCGCTTTCACCTGGGGAAAGTTTCACTTTTAAAAGAAAAGTATGCATGGAGGTAAAAAAAGGTTAGAATGTTCCGTGTAGCAATTTCATAATTGACAGTTTTAAAAACAGGATGGAATTTTTGACAATGAAAAATGTAATTTGCACTGAAAATTCTTTACATCACTTGATTAGCCTGGAATTTTGATTGTGTCCTCAAAGTAATCATCAAAAAACAACGTCTTTATTGAAGATTCTTCAACTTTCCGCGTATTATTTTTGAAAAAGGAATGATGACAAAAATAGGCAGCAGCAGCAGCAAGGACGACGAATTTGCGACGTTAAATGAGCAAGAATTATGTATTTACATAAGGTGCACACGAACCAACCAACTTGAGCGTCAAACTCTTGACGAGAAGCTTTTATTCCTCGTCGTAAAGTACTCGAGAAACGGAAAGATGAGCAAGTTTGAGAGGAAGATGGAGTGGATTGGATGGCATGGCTGGAGGACCAAGAAAGAAAGCGAGGATGAGGATCAGACAAGACACGACCCTCGCAAATCTCATCAAATTCTCTAAATGCAAAATCCATTAGGGAAGAATTTGAGCCATACATATTTTGAAAACCTCTCCTTTTTTCTTCTCTCAGAAAATGAAAGTGCCTTTCTCCTCGGATAAGATGCGATAAGTTGGCGAGGAATTCCAAATTCCTCCTCTCGTCGTGCTTAATTTTGGCAGCAAAAGGTTTAAAATTAGAATTCATTATTCACAAGGGGAGAATACGGGGTAAAATTTATTCCCATCGTGATCAATAAAACTCTCGGCCATGTCCCATTTTCTTGATTTCAATCATCTGTAATCTGCAATGTGGAGAAAAAAACAAGTCTACAAGTTGTTCCACGGCCTGGCCGCGTGCAATAATAAACCGTAGAGACGAAATGTAGGAATGGGGTGAAACCAGTAATTCTTCCAAAAAATGTGTGACCATACCCCTCCCTGACCTCTAGGAGGGTGGTCCGATTGACCCCAAAAGTCGATAGGATCCTTCCCCTTGGGTCATATGTATGATTCCACAAACCGATTTCGATTATCTCTACCCGTTCTTCCCTTATTCTGCCGACGGACGGACAAACGGACGGACAAGACATTTCCATAAAGGTATTTCGCTTAATAGACTTTCACCCCATAATAAATTCAAATTGATCTCTTGTCCTTCATCATTTCCAGACTCGCCATATGATGCATCGGACAAAATTGGAATTACTTATATATTATAATGGAAATGAGAGCTACCGTCTCCTTCACTCGATTTTGGTGAAAGTGGAGGTGAAAGTGGCTCATTGAGCAAGTGTGCCTAATGTATTACGAAGCATGGCGAAATTTGTTGGTCTGATCTCCTGATCTCCAATTCAAACCAACTCGTGATGAGGACTACCACCTCACTTTTCCTGCCTGCTGCTCTCACCTCTTGAACAAATCCCATGCAGCAACACAAACTTTTCTAATGCGGATCTACCATCTACTTGACTACGATTCGGACCAGTGCAGGATGAATGGGTGAAAGTGACTGGAGTGGTTTGGTACGGGCAGCACGACAACATAGGAAAGTACCACTCCAAATCCCACTTCTGTACATAAAACACTCGTCTCGTTTCCCTGCCAGATAGCACAAAAACTTGTTGGAAACTTCATTTTGTCACGAAACTAGTGGAACGACACGCTACACAGACAGAAAACCAGACGGATTTACTTAGAGCTGGACGTACATAAGGAGATGAAGAATTAACTCGTGAGATTTTAAGTCGGGGCAACTAATTTATTTGGTAAATATTAGTCAAACAAGACATGGAATAAACTGGTGTTAATTCGTGTCATGAAAAATGAAATAGGATCGTCACGTACTACATATTTCAAACAAATAATGCCCCCTGACAAGCTTAATATTGTCGACAGAGAGCAATTTCAGGCCACGAAATTCCAAGACCAAGATGACTTTCACCCGAAACTTTCCTCTGGGAACAAGAGCTCCACCTCTCCCACCGATCCACACTCCCCGCATTCTCCAAACCCGAGTCGGATGGAGTTGCCAACTCACTTTCACTCAGGATCTGATCTTGTCACACGAAAAATTTCTCGGAAATATATAAAAAAAATCTTCCAATTTAAAATAAAAAACCAAATCTTGATTGTTCTTAATTTGTGCGCAGAGAAATTAGTCGATTTTTTATACCGCAGAGATTTTCCTTACCACGGTTACGAAAGAATTTACAAACTTTCTCTTTTATTTTGTTGGCTTGCTTTCTTTCTTATTCTTTTCCCGCATGAAAAATTGGCCTATTATGGCACCCTCTTGAACAAAATGGGTCTAAGGGTTGAAGAATTATACCACTGTCTCCAACTCAAACGCCCATTAATCAAGCGACACCCAGACATAATAGTGGAACTGCACCCCAGAGCATAAAACGGGGGGAAATCATCTCTCCTCACTCTATTTTTCCGCGTTACTTTAATGATAACCAATCAAGAAGTCACCATTTTTTTAAGTATCTATCATATCGCGTAAGGGACGTGGCGACAATTCCAAAAATGTTAATGGTGAGAATTATTACCTGCTTGCATCAACTCGTTGTAATGATCCTCAATAACTTCAGGGGTTGTAGAAGCACTTGATTTTTCCGGAGAATCGGAAAAGTGTTGAAGCGGTCGGTGAAAATTTAAGTTAACGACGACCTCATTTTTCTGACTATTAACGGATGATGATGATAAAGATGAGGATGAATAATGTTCAGAAGAGGATGAGCTCTGTTTTTTGTCATGCCTATTATTATGACTTATATGAGGTCCCTTCTGCTTATCTGAGTTATCATCACCACCACCACCACGAATATCACCGCCCCAATTTGAAGCATCGTTCTTATTGGCAGAATTGTAAAAGGATTGTTGATGAGTAATAGCAATTTTTTCACTGGATGATTTTACCCTTGTGGAAGAAGACGAAAAGTCACTCGTTATTAAAGTTGGCTTATCACTGAGCGAAGGTGAGGTCGATAAGGACGAGGATGAGGTGAGGGGGTTAGGATTGTTATTATATTCGATGTCAGCGTCAGTGGCAGCAGAAACTGTCAGGTTGGAATTGAGCACCACAAAAATAAAGGTCACTAGCATCACTGTTCTCAAACATGGCGGGGGGAGAAATCTGCTCCTTCGGGGGAGGAGGTTTTTACTGAAACGTGGTGTGAGCAATTTTCTACTATTTTCAACAAATGAGGGGGCAGACTTCACTTCTGAATGGTCGGACAAAGTCAGTTTGGATTTAAGCTTGATTCTTGGACGATGATGGCGAGGATTGTACTCCGATGAATGCGTGGAGTACCCGGAGGGACATGGTGGATGAAAAATGTCTCCGGGTGTGGTTTCACCACCGATTAGTTTCGCCATCCGAACCTGATTTTAGAAACGCGTCCTTTTAGTTGAAGGAGGAGGAGGAGAATGTAAGCTCCATTTTATACTGGAATTCAAAACCATACAAAAATGCGGTGAAATTTTAGATTATTAAGCTTAACCGACAAAATTAATTAATTACACGAGTTATCTCCGATAAGCCAAAACTTAATGCACCCACCTTATTCCGTGAAAATACACACAAACTCAAGAAGAAGACGTGGTTTCCATCCACCAACCACACACACAATTTTGAAGCTAATACCCCATGGCACACTTGGTTAGGATGATTGACAGCTTTCTCTCACAGTGCTGATTAAGTAACCAAAACCAAGATTGGACTTGCACGTCGAGAATTTGCTACCACTCCTGCTCCCGTTTTCATTTTCATTTTCAATATTTTCTTCTCCCATTATCAAGCCCAGCACTATTTATCAACCAGCCAAAACCAGCAATTAATATCCACACCAATCCCACCCAATCATCATCATCCCCAACCGACCAACTTGCCCCCACGGAATATTCCTCCGATCAGTAATATCACTCCCCCATGATGATCATGATGATTATCTACGTCCTGCTTTCACTCCGGGTTGGTTGGTTAAAACTAACTGAATCACTCCAGGTGGAGAAAGTAGGGCGTTCCAAAATTAGCGCAAAGGTCAAACGGCCCCTGGTTCTTCTTCTTCTCTTGATGATGACACCCGTCTCGAACCTTCCTTCCTAATAAATCCTCACCACCCTCACCACCACAACCACAACACAACACTCGCCCACCCCACGACCCCTAAAACAGAGTACGAAACAACCATGCAATGCAAGTTAACAAAGTGTTGAGTGAAGTGAAGACGGGTCAGTCAGTCAAGTCCTGCTCTCTGTACTATCCTAATACTCACTTAAGATTAGTTAGTACGGCTGAATAATTGACGACCCAATTACTCTCCAAGAAGAGAGGCAGAGAGGGACACCCGTACTTGTGTAGGCAGTGGCAGAGGCTGAGTAGTAGTAGAAGGACTTCCTCTCTCTCTCTAAGTGAATGTAAACCTTGCACAGGCCGACGGACCGAGAATTCGGTTTATTTGGGTTAGAAAGGATTCTTCTCAGCAGTGGTACGAAGGAACGAGGGAAAGCACACACCTCCTCTGAACATATAATAATAATACTTCTCTCTCCTACTACGGCAAGAAGACCACTCGCTCTACTGTTCTCTCTCTCTCTTCTACTATGTATGTACTCCTGCTGCTCTGCGGTGCGGATTCACTTTTGGGAAAGTCTCACAATGAAAGAAATGAGATGAACTTGCCCAACCAGCCAGCCAACCAACCCACCAAACTCGGGCAGAAGGCACGGAACGACCCGACACTCCTGGTCCATCCATCCATCCCCCTCCGCAAGCAGGACGCTACTCGTAAGTACGTTCACCTCCTTATCGGGTAAAAAATCTCATCAGATTGCATTAAAAATGACCAATTAGACAAATTCGTCATCCCCCCTGGTAAACTTTTTGGGTCGAAATATTTGCAAAACCAGGTCGTAAAATGGATCCGAACTTCTCACACCAGGCATGAACCTTACTTACGGGATGAAGAATAACGTGAGAGAGAAGCAAGGGAGCAAGTTTTAGGCTTAGCGTGTGAGAGAGACTTTCTCCTTAAAAACTTTCCCCGCTTTGATAACCTAAGTCTGCTGCTGTGTGTCTGGACCTTAGCTGTATGCATGCACTATAGTAACTTTCTCTACCATGGACCGAATGAAATACATCGATTTTTACATGGAATGGTATTGCATGACATGTCACAACTGTTACGAGACGACTACTACCATGCAATTCGGAGGGCTATTGAAGAAAGTGTATAGTTGGTTAGTTAAGAATACGGCAAGAAAATTCTGCAACTTTTCATCTTTTCATGCCGAGAGCTCAATGAAATGAAGCTGATTAATAAACTGAGGGGAAAATAATACGTCTTTTTATGCATAACGGCTTTCTTTTCAGAGTGGAGTTTATTATGCATTCACAATCCTACAAATTCCGTGTATATGTATGTGATTCAAGGTTTGTTGGCTGGTCTGGTCGGTTAACCACCCATCATTTTTTTATTGTTGCTTGATGATGAGAAACTCCACGCCCTTGGCAAACCTCTTAGCACTAATTCATCTCCAGCTATATGGCTGTATCTGCGGTAAGTATTAGTATGGATTATCACTACCAAAAGTGAGATGATTTAGTGAAGAAAGAAGAACTTCCGGATTAATGTGGCATTTCCTTTCACCGTTTGGTCATCCACATCACCGCAGAAGAAGCTCAGGGGGATAAGAGACACTTATCTTTGAGCAAACCAAAAGTCCTTACATAAGAAGAAGAAGGGGTCCTCTCCTCTCTTTCTGTTTAATGCAATCAATGCTTTGCTCCCTCTCTCTCTCCGCTTCTCCTTGAATGCTTTGGCCCAACGCCAACCTCAACCTCCTAATTCTTCAATTCATGATGCTACCACCACCACGACACACATACCAAGCCGGCTTTCTCTCCAATTGTAGAGAGAATATCGCCACATACATATCCATCCATCTAGTCATCCAAAAAGATCCAATGCCAAGGAAAGCAAAAGTACTGTACTTGGGAATCCGAAACCCAACTGGAAACAGAGACAGTAAACGTTTTTTCCCACAAGTTTCAACTGTTTTCGAGAGAAATGGACCGACCAAAGTGTTCCAGGCTGAATTGAAGTGAACTGAAACTACTACTGCCTGGAGGGAGGGGGTCTTCTCCTCTCTTCTGATCTCGAAAATGTTGTTTTCCTACAGAGACAAAAACTTACATCATCTACTGCGAGGAGAGAAAGTAAAACATTCAAATCTTTGATTACGTACGTATTGTGAATTTTTGACGGGAAAGGGGAAAAAATTCATCAATTGGGGCACTATTTTTTAAAAGTAATATTCACTTTCTCTCATATCGCGAGGTTAAAACAGATTCTACTCGGGAGAAAAAAGCTGGTTATTTTTTTCGGCATAATGCAGATTTCCAATCACATATTCCATGCACTCTCTGTCACAAACATGTAGAGAGAAGTATGTACGCAGTGGCCGCGGAAGCCGTGGGGACATCGGGGGACGTTAACATTGTGGGATGGGGGAGGGAGAGGTTTGCATAAGATGGGGAGATGATGCAGACATCGAACAACCGTGGGGACATTGTCTCTCTGTCCGCGGCCACTGGTAGAAAAAGACGAAGGATCCAATAATGCAGAGAATGCAGACAAGCAGTCCTTGATACGAACCTTGACAAGAATACAGTGCACATTCATATTTCAACCTTTCTTTCGAACATCATGTGTAATGTTCTGGTTTCATGGGCCATGTTTTCTCTCTGGCTGTGTGTGTAATGTGGGCAACAAAAATAAGATATATTGACGAAGAGAGGGACTTTGATATGAAAAGACTGCTCCTGCCATTTCCTATTCTTGTCCAATGTTATTTCTTCTCCCTCGAAAACGGTAATTTGATCTTTTCATACGCTCTGCAGTCAGTCAGTTGTTAGTTATTATGTAATAAATGGCACAAAAAATGAAGAGTGAATGACTGCATTGAATATTATTTGTGTCACTCAAATCTCATTCTGACTGACTCTGTAAGTAATGAAATATCAAAAAAGAACACATTGCTGGAGGAAAGAGAGAAATGAATGCGCTGTTAAGGTACCATTGTGTGGGGGTTTTGAACTTGAATTTTTGTGTCTCAACTTTCCCTTCCATTGGCTATTTTGAAACATGTTCATCTCCGTTGGTTTTTCAAAAAATGAAAGATTTTATTACATCTAAATAGATAATTTTAAGGTTTACATAGTTAGGATGTTATAATTTTGATTTTTTTGTCAGATGAGAAAATATTTAATGTTTTCTTATTACTTTGCATCTATTTTATTTCTATTTTCTTATCGAAGAAAAAAATCAAAATTCTAACCTCCTAACTTTGTAAACCTAAAAATTATCGATGTTTAGGTGCAATAAAATCTTCATTTTTCGAAAAACGCACAACGATGAACAAGTTTCAAAATCGCCATTTGAATTCATCAAAAAAGAGGTGAAAGTTGAGACACAAAAATCCAACCTCAAACCCCTCATACAGTCGCCCCTTAACCAAAATATGTGTCTCTTTCACTCTAAATAAAAACATGACATGTGAATTGCAATCACCCCGATTTTGTTCATTTACTCGGAAGAAGATTGACATGGAAGGAAACAAGGATTCGCAATTTGCACCCCGCGTGGAATCCTTTTGACAGAAGCAGATTGACACAATTCAATGTCAAAATAAAATGTGGCATGCACACTTCAACCATGAAAATAAAATGGAGACAGCCAGTTATAATTTTCACTTCGTGGAATAATTTCTCTGCGTCAGTTTCGGAGAAGATGACACATTTATAATGGCACAATATTTATTTTTGCAGTAAATAAACTCTAGTTTGAATATCTCTCTCTTTGTCTCTGGAATTTTGAAAATAAATCATAAAACTAAACACTTTAGACAAAGAGCAGCTGCAGAAAATCACCTACTTGTCTTCCATCCGGATCATATTCCATTCCACGATATGCATACTTACATTTCTTGTTATTTCATCGTGTTACTCAGGCTTCCTTTTATTTTTGGGAGCTATTTTTTAACAAATTTTCCTTATTATTATTATTCCTATTATTACGCCAAGAACAACAACAAAGCCTTTGTAGTAAAGAGATCTGTCCTTTTCCGGAGTGCATCTTGTTTTCCTGCCAATTTCGTTTCTCTCTTCATTCATCCCTCTCCTTACTTATTCTTTCTTATTAATAATGTATGATGGAGAAGAAAAGTGATAACTTGATGCATACCGAGTTCTCCTAAGTAAGATATGTGTTTATACTTATGTATGGGGGCTAAGTAAGTAAGTAAAAGTGTTGGACAGTGGCCGTGGAAGCCGTGTTGGGGACATTAACATTGCAGGATAGGGGAGGGAAGGGTTTATATAAGATGGGGAGATGATGCCGACATCGAATAACCGTGGGGACATTGTCTCCTCCAGCTTCCGCGGCCACTAGTGTTGGACACTCTTGTATTTGTTCGATTTCTTTCCAGCCAGCCCGGCCTGGTCGTGGTCTTCCCTAAAAAGTATGAATTTGCATTACATTACATTATCAAAAAGTGATGTCTCCGTTGGAGGGAAAAACAGACGGGGAAAAGAGAAGAAAGGATTACACAAAGTAAAGTGAGTTGCATTACACTCCCCAATTTCATAAATACAGCCACCAGCTTTCTCTTTCTGACTGAAACAACATTCGCCCATGAATTTCATGCGAAGCAAGTATCTATCTCTCTGGCACGAAATGTGTACACAGAACGAGAGAAAGTGGGCAAAAGGAGTGAATTATTGTATAAATATGAGAACCTCCACCGCCAACCGCGGTGGTGGATCGGAGAGAAGAGGAGAGAAAGTCTCTAATAACACAGTGAAACCACACGGTAGGAAAAATACGATCCAACATCCAACGGGAGAGATAGAGACGAGAAAGTGGATGGAGTTACTTTAAAAGAACAAAAGAAGACGAAACGGTTTTGAAATACGCTACTCGCACGTCACCTTTTCCCTCAAAAGTTTATGTAGGTTTATACACACGCCAGGAGCTATTTGGATATAACGTGAAGATGAAACGAGACCCATCCAGGCCAGGTCGTATTTATTAAATGTTGTTGCTGCTGCTGCCGTTCAGACTCAAATTGAAGATGGGTTTGGGTAGTAGTAAACAGCACAGGGTGCACCACCCGGAAGTTGGAGAAAGTCGGGTGGGTATACATAATTATGTAGGATTAAACTTTATAATCAGTCACCTATCATTTGCACACTCGCTCAAAGTAAGTTCGCTTTGCATGTCCGAGGAGTATTTAGTTTAGTACCAGGTTTGGAAGAAGTGCAATGTCGCAAAAATTATTACGTTCTGCTCTTTGAAGCGACCAGCCAGACTGTGAGAAGCTTGATAAATGATCCCCTTGTTCTAAAAGTTTGGAGAAAACAAGATAATTGCTCGCTCTTTCATCTGTCTGGAAAATTAATTGAGATATTTACGAGGGTGACTGAGGATAGTAAAGGGTGACTTTTCGCTGGGAGGGAAAGTTTGTCTGTCTTCTTCTGCCACCACTGCCGTGATTTTATGTGATGTTATTTTTTTGCATGGAT